GCGACGGATCCGGTATCTTGGGACTATTGCCGGAGCCACGGACAGCGGAGTATTATTCCTGGCTGACATCTATCCGGCCGAGAGATCAAGAGAGGCTTCCTCATCGAAGACGATTAGCCTCACCATATTAATACCACTAAGGTTGCTAGCTACGCCCGTGAAGGGTTATGCTTGTACGCGTAGCTAGACTTAGCGAGGAACAGTGTGGGCTCTGAAACGGCCACGCCCGCTCTAGCTTCTCCAACCCGGCAGTTTGGCGCCATACGCCAAACTACACTATCTCGACGGCGGCGGCTCTACGAATCCGAAAATGGATCCGGCCGATTCGCAACCCTATTATCTTCTAAGCTTAGACCGGTGGAACCTAACTCTGTCCGTACGTGTCGTCGGTATCATATGAATATTTTCCAATTTGTTGAGCAGCGTTAGACAGGTCGTGTTGCTCGCCGGTCCACTAGAGACGCAGAACACTATACCGTCCCTAACTGCCGGGTTCGACAGGTCCTTCGGATCCTCGGCTGGCTCCGGTAACATATAAGCCCGCGCTTCTACCAGCTAGCTTAAGAGCGAGCACTTTGCAAGGGAAACCCAGATGAGTGATCAAACTATAAGTTTAGGGCCTGATGAGCAGCGCCATTCCTACTCGCGATCTACACTCTAGACGCAATACTCCGAGTTCCGAGTTAGCGAAGTTAGATATTTGTCGGTTTAGTCCGCTAATATGTAGGATTAAACCGATAGGGTATTCTAGGGTCATAGGTATTTTCCATCGCTTGAGCCTATCTGTGTTGTGTATCGTCTCTCCTTAGTTAGGTATGTGGCACAATGAATTCTTGTAACAAGCAAACATGACTGGTGGAAAGGGGTACGAACTTCTTGGAGTCATTACTTTAAATGGCTAAAACAGTTAACAATATTGTTTATTTTGGCCTTGGTAACTTGAAAACAGATATAATATAAGGATAATTATTAATATATAATGAAAAAGGGGTAACTTGGCGTAATGATCTAACATTTGGTCCGCTTTCGATATAATTAGTTACTTATTTTAATTTAAGGAAAAGGGTTTAAATCTTTTAATTATTATAAATTTTATTTTTAATAAAATTTAAACTTTATTATTTTATAACTTAAAAAAATAACGTTAATATATTTCCCGTTTAATTTATTTTTTTTAAAATTAAATATTTTAAAAGCTTAAAACTTAAAAAATTACCGAAACTATTATTAATAAATAAATAATAATTAAAAAATAAACCGTTTTTATTTTAAAAAAAAATAATAAAAAAACTTTATCCCACTTTTAATAAACCATTTTAATAATAATAAAAAGTATACTTTTTATTTTATACCCGCTTTTTTTTAAATATTTATTAATAATAAAATAAATTTATTAAAATAATTATTAAAATTTATAATTATTATTTAAAATTAATATATTTAAAAATATATTATTATATTTTAATAATTAAAAGTTAAATTTTTTTTTTTTTTTAAGTAATTATATAATAAAATATAACTTTTATAACCCGTAAAATTAAAGTTTTAATTAAAATATAATAAAAATAAAATAAATTATTATATAAAAAATAAAAAAATTTTTTATTTTAATTATTATAAAGTTTTTTTTTTTATTATTTTAAATAAAATAAATTTAATAAAAAAATTTTATATTAATTTTAATTATAATATATATAAATAATTAATAAACTTACGTTAATTAAATATATATAAATATAATTATTCCGTAATAATACCGTACATTTTTTACATAAACACACGGAATAAGAAATAATAATAATAATGAAAAAAGCTGCTTTTATATTAATATTAACCCAGAATTATAATAACTCATTCATTATTGGTCAAGTTAGGACCTGACGGTCATTCATACAAACAACCTCTCTCTTAACCACAAGACCGGGAGCCTGGATCTCGAATCCACGCAGTTTGATTAATATGTACAACCTTCGCAATAGCATCTACAAAACTTTCATCTTGTCGCGACTTTTTACGTTTTACGTAAGGATGAGTACGCCGTTTACTTAGTATAAGCTGACCTACTCTATATCGTAACGAGAGGTCTCAACACCTTCCTTTACTACATATACGCCTTCGACTAGTAGGGGTCGTATGTACTTATCTACACCTAGATACACTATAGAGCGAGCTAGGGCGACCGCGTCGTTACAGAGATAGGGGTTTACATGTTAGAGCAGAGTGAAAAGAAAGAAAAAAGTACATATACCACTATATTAGTCTAGCTCGTACATATTTACATGCCTGCCTGGGACTTTACTACTGCTGCTCCTACCATACACAGTATCGTATCAGGCGATCCGATTATCCGGGCCACCCCAAGACAAAAGCCCCGTCCCGCATCTCCAGGATTCGACCCCGTCGTTCGCGGAGGAACGCGTGTGGGACGGTGGTATCTAGGTACGTACGTTGTTTCTCCCAGGGCGCCGGTAGACCCGGGAGGCCGGGACAGAGGTAGGTAGATACCTACCTACGTAACATGTAGGCAGAAAAAAAGGGAGGAGGAAGGCATATACTACTCTGCTTACCTACTCTCCCCTTTCTTTGTCCTCCTCCCGCCTATCCCCTGATCGAGCGCTCCTGCAGGCACCCGCGCGCGTCCCCTCGAACAAGGAAGTTCTGAACCTGACGATCGGAGTCGACGAGAGACATTCCCGCAGGAACGTTTCCTTGCTGTCGTCTTTTTTCTTTGGGTTTTGTCTCATGATGCGGCAAGTAGTGGGCGGGGGGGGAAGAATAGGGGTGCGGGGGCCGTAAGAAAGAAGGAGGAGGGGGGAAAATCAAGGGGAAGACGCGGGTTGAGGAAACTAGCATAGGAGAATTAATCAGGAGATATCTATCAACGACATACATACATACGGTACGATACAGTACGTTAGGCACGTAATCGTGATTAGAGGCTATGTGACTGGGTACCTGTTCCGCACGTATGGGATGTCTTGACGTATGTCTTCCCATAATGCTGGGATCTAGGGTGAGTTGGATATGGCGCATCGAAGTACATAACTAGATAACATATCTGTAGCGCTGTATGGCAGTGTATTGTATATACTTAGCATAGATATCATCTACGATCTTAACTACTTGTACATAGATAATATATGGGTACTATGTAAACAGTCTGAATGTATGTAAGTAGGTAGACGAGAACCTCAAAAACCCACCCCTCGCAACGGTATCCCCAAATACAAACCAAACCAAACTAACCCTCATCCCCTTTCGTGACCCCAACCTGAAACGGAGCGCCGCAGCACAGAAGCCTTGCGACACAGGTGCGTACGCGCACATAGAAGCACAGGAAATACGCAGCGAGGCCTACCTACACATTGTTAACGGAGATCGCGCGCATGCGCTTCGATGTCGTCCGTATGACATTTGCATCCCACTGTATGACCCCAGGCCCGGCCAGCCAGCGCGCTATCTGGACCCGGTGTTTGCGTCCCGCGTCCGTGGGACACAGGAACCCAGTTCCGCGACTCGTCTGTTCCTGGGTTTTCCTAGGCCCCCCAGGGGTGGTAAGGGACAGGAACCGTACGCTCGGTGTGGCTCGGCGAAGCCCTCCCTTCCATTTATTTCCCTTCTCGTCCTCGCGTGCCACGAAAATCGGCTAACCAACATCTCGTCCGTTCGCGCGGGTCCCCCCAGCTTGTTGGGAACCGCGAGTTTGTGCGTAGTCTAGTAATGTCCGGGAATATCCTCCCCTCCTATTCCCCAGTCATATAATCTCGTTACGGCCGTTGCGAGGCACGTAACAGATTTCTACGCAGCAGCAAGCGTGCTAGTAATGATTCCGGTTTGAGGGGTAAGGGAAGGGCGGGAATTCGCTTGCCTGGGATCGGAAATTTTTGCTTCTCTCTTCCTTCTCCCTGCGAATTGCCGGGTAGGAGAAAAGAATTAGGCGAGTTGTCTCGGGTCAACGCCTGACATGACATGACAATTCCATTTAGTGAACAGCGATCGAGTCGTCATTTGATCCCTGCATCAATGACAAGACGTGTTCACTTAGACAATACATTGCGATTGGGGATTGAGAAGGCGTACCTAAGAGCACTTGCTATACTTCATACGTAGATGTCTTGGGTCAGTGGGAAAACCCCAGCCTCAATCAGGCCAGACGTTTTAACTGACGCGGTTACGGTTGATTCTCGAGTCGCGGTCGCGCAGTGGCTCATCTCTTGTCTAAGTGCCACACGAGTAAGAGCAATGTTAAGACACGCAAGTCTTACCGAGCACTCTCTGCCCGTCTGAACCTGTATCCGCCTCCGCGTTTATCTTCCGACGGATGGAACCCCTTTCCCCTGACGGGAGAACTGCAAGTATCCGACTTACCATCTCCGCGGTATGTAATAGAGTCTGCGCTGCGATGGTGCCAGAGACGTGGGAGCAAAAGACTTGGCGGGCGTTGACGACGGCAATCTTTGGGGACGGGTCAGATAACAGCACGAAACATCTTGTCTCACGCGGACAAATAATCTCGTGCGACCTAACTTTACGACTTTGGGGTTAGAATGTCGACGATTGTTTGTGCTGGGCGTCTGCTCGCTTCTTCCGGCGAAGGGGCTATGCTGTGTCAGGTCATACGGCGATCTGGTAGCCTTGGTGGTCCGATGAGGCGGAGGACGACAGTAAACGTTTGCAACGCCAACTATATTTGATTACCTTTCATGGTATAGCATCAGATCTACCGACGCTTGTCCGGTACGATCGTGGCAAAGCAATAAATAGGACGATAACCCACGTTGAGGGACAATCTGCTCTTAATGAAAGGATGATGCGCTAACGTCGTGGAACTTTGCAACTTTGCAGATGATACATCTATTAGCCACGTCTAGATTTTTGGAATATTTGCTGCCTCCCCTGAAATAGGATGATCCCCATTAGAACGATGATATCCAACGCCGTACTATGATATACCATGACATACATGCTAGACAAACAAAAAGATCAAGGAAGATAAATGACTATAAGCGAGACTGCATCGGCGGGAAATTGCTCTCCTGCGGCCACTGCACCTCAGGCCAGATATGGCGAATAGCTTCCCAAATATGACTATTGGAACATCCTGGTTAGCTAAATGGAAAGGACGAGGAGAAGGGGTTAGACTAAAGGATATCGTGTTAAATTCATACCTAACGTAGACGATGTTCAGCCCATCCCTCACTTCTGAGGGTACCTCTCTAGCATCTTTTTCGTTCTGTGCTGGCAACAGGACCGTCTTGACTCCAGCACGGTATGCTCCGATGAGCTTCTCCTTGATTCCACCCACTCTTTTCACGTGACCGGAAAGTTGGAATTCACCCTATCATAGGTGTTAGTATATTGTTAGTAGAGATCTAAGGAGTTTAAGACTTACAGTCATGGCCATAGTCGGAGGCACAGGTCGTCCGGAAAGAAGTGATATGAGAGCAATTGCCTGAGCCATACCACTCGACGGCCCGTCTTTGGGCACGGCACCAGAAGGGCAATGTACATGTAGACTGCGTTTCTTCATGATGTTTTCCGTAGGATCCTGAGTCAAACCTAGCTCGTAGGCATGGTTGCGCACCCAACTCCTTGCAACTTTGACACTCTCCTTAAGCACATCTCCAAGATTGCCCGTAAGCTCGACACTTCCATCACCAGGCATGTCAAGGACCTCGATGAAGAGAATGCCCCCGTTGCCACCAGAGCTGTAAGCAACAAGTCCAGTCACTATGCCCGGCTGAGTAGTTTTCTCCGCTATCTCGTCTTCAAACTTCTCGATGCCAAGAATAGCCTCAAGATCTTCCACTGTGATGTCTGCTTTGTATGTCTCCGGGTGACCGCGATCGTTGGCCTCCACAAACTCGACGGCTTTTGCACGACAAACGGCACCAATCTCTCGTTCGAGGTTACGGACACCTGCTTCGCGAGTATAGGACTCGATGATCTTTAAAATTACTTCCTCACTAAAGCGCACTTGATCCTCCGAAAGACCATTTACCTTGATCTGTTTGGGAACAAGGTGTCTTAGCGCGATGTGTTTCTTCTCAAGCGTAGTATATCCAGAGAATTCCAAAGTTTCCATGCGATCCAATAGCGGACCCGGAATGGTGTCGAGAGTGTTCGCTGTAGCAATGAACAAGACTTTGCTTAGATCGATTGGAGTGTTGATATAATGATCATGGAATGCATGGTTTTGCTCTGGGTCGAGAACTTCGAGCATTGCAGCCGAAGGATCACCATTATGGTTAGACATGCCCAGTTTGTCGATCTCGTCCAACAGGAAGACAGGGTTCGCCACGCCGACTTTCCTCAATCCTTGCACGATCAAACCAGGCATCGCGGCAACGTACGTTCGTCGGTGACCTCGGATCTCTGCTTCATCCCTGACACCTCCGAGTGAGATGCGATGAAACTTGCGACCAAGGGCCGTGGCAATAGATCTAGCTATACTAGTCTTGCCGACACCAGGCGGCCCAACCAAGAGCAAGATAGGAGCCTTCTCGACTCGTTTCTTATTCATCAACATCTGGACTTTGAGACCACTCGCCTTTATCTTCTCTTCTAGTTCAGGGTCTAGCGTCGCGCCCTCCTTTGCAGCACCCTTACTAGACTCTAGGTCGGCAACCTCCTGTTCAGCCTGTTTGATTTGATGGTTCACTTGTTCATTCGCCGATTGCATCAACCTGACTATGGTGAGGTAAGAGAGTAAACGCTTCTTCACTTTTTCGATGCCGTAGTGGTCACCATCAAGCTGCTTCCTAGCACTTTCCAATGTTCCAACACTAATTGGGTCGTCGGTGACTACAGACCATGGTACCTCCGCTAACGTTTCGAGATACGTCCTGACAACTTGGTATTCGGCTTGTGCTGGCATCATCTGTTTCAATCTCTTGAATTCCCGCTCGGCTACCTTAGCAGCTTCAGGCGGGAGCTTAGCATCCTCTATCTTTTTCTCAAGATCTGCTAGGTCATCCGGGTCATGCTGCTCGCCTGGACCTCCACCAAACATACTGAACGGCGATCCGCCACCGAAACCGAACCCGGGAGAGGTCGGCTTGAGTCCTGGTCGTGGTCCTTTTGAGGTACTCCGCTTCTTTTCATTTGTTCTCTCTGCGTCCTCCGGATCTCCTTGGACGGGGACACTCGTACTGGTAATGGTTGTAACCTTGATATTGCCCTTAAGCTCGTCCACCGAACGCTCTAATATTTCGATGACTTTCTGCATGCGATCGGCAACGTCGACGGCAGCGAGGACCTGTAGTTTTTCCTCGAGCGTGCCATCAATCACATTCATCATGAAGTCGGCGAGCGAGCCTCCCTCGGCGGGTACTTTCTTCGCGATGAACTGCTCAAGCCTTCGTGATAGAAGAGGATTCAAACCCCCAGTACCGCTGGATAGAAGAAACGCCGACACACGGAGATAAGATACTAGCTCCCTCGATAGGCGCTTCAGAGTGCCGAAAAGCTCCTGATAATCAGGCCTCTGCAAATCCTGGGGGCTGACCTGGTCGGTATGGGCCAACACCCTCGCCTCGAAGAAGGGACGCTCCTGGGTTACCTTCTCGATGGTAACCCTCGAGACGCCGTGCACAAGCAGGTTGAACTCGGCCCCGTTCTGACCCTGGATCGCACTGATCTTGCCCGAAACTCCGTAGCCATATAGCTTCTCCGCCTTTATATTATTCTTGTCAACGCTTGTGAGCCTGTCATACTTGTCCGGATTCAGCTCCAACAACGGTTGACCACGACGGTTTAACAGTGGCGACATTAGAGGTACGCATACGACGGGGATCTGGTCGACTCGTCTCGACCCTTTAGAAGCACGTGTGTAGATGCTCGAGATCAATGCGGGTATATCGGAGCGACTTGCTGGTACCGGTATTCGTATGACCGATCCGGGGAAGAGGACGTTGTTTTTCCTCAAGGGGATCACGGGCATCACGGCTGATTGCGCCATGTTGACTTATGCCCCCTTGGTTCGTGCGCGATTGGCTGGAGACAGAAACAATGTAAATAGTAAATATCACACAACTGCAAGTGGTACTGCTGCTATGTTGCACAAGCAAGCGGATAATATGGCAAATAGCTGATGTCTAGTATATTAGATTGAGATATATGGTTGTGTTTAGATTTGTTGAGGGTGGATGTATGGATGTATGGAGGAGAAAAGGTTGGAATATTGATGTCAATGGTTCGAAGTTTATTGTAGTATCGAAGTATAATGTAGAAGGTACAGGCATCATCGCATCCATCCATTGATGCGCGCGAACTACCTAAGCGACTCTAACGCCCTGTAGGCTACGTAGCTCGGGCTCCAGTACAGCTGTCCTGCTAGCCTAGGTATTTAAGTTCCAGGGGGGAGTTTTGGCTAAGTTTGGTTGGCTAACGTGCCGTTCCTTCCAGAAGCTGCGGGAGCGACGTACCAAAACAGGACTTACCGAGGCTCAATCCGCTGCATCTTGTGCCAGCACCCCGGATTCGACCCGGCATCAGGCCGAAAACTCCACCTCACGAGATTCTTGCGGCTAAGAAGAGCATCGTGATGATGAATTATCAATGTGATAATGTGTGATTGATGAGCTGGCACTGTAAGGCTTTACTGTGATCCATGATATATCCACTACGTGTATGTAGGCATGTAAGTAGTACCTGGTAAGTGGTATGCACATCCACGGATATTACTGGGTAGATACTTCGGTATTTAGTAGGTTGGGTACCTGGATACCTGCCCACGGCGTGGCTTTACAGCGTACTAGCCACAGCAGGTGCTCTCGTGTAATAGGGGAGACTACCCCGCGATTTAGCGCATCCATTCAAGAAATTCAATTAAAAAGTTCCAGTCGCGTAAACCGCCATCTGAACGCGTCTCATCTCATGCACTTTTAGTATCCGAATCAAACACCACCCTCAATCTACTATTCAGGGTACCATCATGACTTGTACGTGACTCTATACTATGTCTTCAAGTGCCACATAGCCTTGGAAAAGCATTGTTAAGCATGACGATCAAGATTCGCCAGTCGGTATCGGAACATCGTACTCAACATGCCTCTGTTCTGGATACTAACTCTAGATGCGTCCTTACATGCTCGCACCAGGCTATATGACACTTGAAGATATACAGTCCCCAATCCCCTCAAGCACCACACTTTCCATACACTAACCAAATCCCCCTCCCACAGCCTACGGCAGCTACACACGCACCAACTACAACGCCACCGGCGGCGACGACAGCGGCGGTTTCTTCGGCGGCTCTCAGATCTCCGGCTCGCAGGGCGGGACCAAGCACCCGTCGGAAGAATCGCTGCGCCCCGTAACCGTGAAGCAGATAATCGACGCGGAGCAGGCCTTCGGCAGCGACGGCACCTTCCGGATCGACGGCGCCGACGTGTCGCAGGTGACCTTCGTGGGGATGGTGCGCCAGATCAGCCCGCAGACGACCAACATCACGTACCGGCTCGACGACGGCACGGGCGTCGTCGAGGTGAAGCAGTGGCTCGACCCGGACAAGCAAGAGACTGACTCGGGCGGTGCGAAGGGTTCCGCCTTCCGCGAGGAGCAGTACGTCCGCGTCTGGGGGCGCCTCAAGAGCTTCGGGAACAAGCGGCACGTCGGCGCCCACGTCATCAAGCCCGTGACCGACTTCAACGAGGTGAACTACCACCTGCTGGAGGCGACGTACGTGCACCTGTTCTTCGCGCGCGGGGGCGGCGTCGCGGGGGCCGGCGGCGGCGCCGGTATGGGTATGGGTGGGGATGGCAACGCGGCCGAGGACGACAGCATGTTCGTCGAGAACAACGACGCTGCGTTTCTGCGTGGCGCGTCCGCCCGCGCGAGGAAGATGTACCAGTACCTGAACCAGTCGAAGAGCAACGAGGGCACGAATATCCACATCATCGCGCGGGACACCGGCATGACGGTCCAGGACGCCATGACGGCCGCGGAGGAGCTGCTGGGTAACGGCAAGGTCTACACCACGCTTGACGACGAGACGTTTGCTCTTCTAGAGGGCTTTTAAAGTTGCTTGATATAATACGTATAGTTGGAGTGGTGAGACGAATCGATAGCTACGCGGAGTGGGCAGAACTTATTTACGAAGTCAAGTCCGGGCGTTGTGGGCATGAGAAACCGTTAAATACATAGGAAGGCATAGGTCGGAAATCACACGGATACGGCTAAGAATGGAACCGAGGTGGGATAGCGAATGGCCTTGATATGGGCTATCTATCTACCTAGATACGAAATGATTGACTAATGATACCTGAAATAAGGAACCAAAAACAAGTTACAATAAGCAACCTCCAAGCTTCTTCAATCAAAGTGACTCGTAACTAAACTAATCGGACCCAGACCAACCTAGACGGGACCGAAGACTAGTAGCCGCGATCAAGCAGCATCGCAAGTCCGGCAAGGCCCCGTACCGAGTATTAGAAGAGGGTATATCCTAACTAGTAGTCATCAAGCAAAGAAAAACGAGCGTGAGAAAGTAAAGTCCAAGAGCTAGCTAGCCCATTCGAGGTCCTAGAAGCCAAATATGTAATTGTATGGTAGGCAAGCAAAAAAACAATAACAACCAAGCAAAAGCAAACGCAAAACACGGCAAGCAATTTGTCTGTCTGTCAACCACTGAAGCGTCATCGGATCACACAAAAAACATTAGATCACTCATTAAATCCCTTTGTCAGCTTTCAATCGTGATCTTCTTGCACATCATCAGCAGTGAGCACAGCAGCAGCAGCAGCAACGTCAACACAGCAGCGTCAGCACAACAGCAAACTTTCAATCGTCGATCCTTACATCATCTTAAACCCGGCGTTGAGCTTGATGGGGATCGAGTTGGGCAGCTTCTGCGGCTCGCGGACCATGATGGTCAGCCGGACGGGCGACTTGCTGTCGGCGCCGAGGTAGATGTCCCTCTTGGCCTCGAAGCCGAACTTCTTGTAGTACGCGTTGTTCTTCAGCGAGCTGGACTCGAGGTACATGGGTCGGCCCTCCGCATCAGCCTGTAAACATTCAGCACGTAGATATATATAGTCGTGGGTTGTGAAGCAGTGATAAGGGGTTGGTTAGGTAATCAAAGGTCTCGATCGGGTAGAAATCGACCGCCACTTGATATCCTCCATCCTTTCCCCCTATTTGCTCACGTGTGATGTACGTACCTTGGAGGCCATGTGCTGAATGAGCTTTCTCGCGTAGCCTCTGCGCTGGCCGGCGGGCTTAGTACCCAGGTAGACCAGGTAGTAGCATTCGTTGTCCCTGTCACCCATGGTCTCAACCTTCGCATTGTGGAGCACCGGTAGCAGCTCTTTGTAGTAGCGCTTCCGGCCCTCCGCAGAGAGTTGATAGTAGAGTCTCCACATACCACTGCGGATGATGGTCACCCAGTCGTCCATCTCCTGGCCTGGAGGCATCCTGTATATCGCAGAGTGAAACATGTCAGTCAACACGATTATTTGTAATTCTTACCAAGTTAGACCCCGGGAAATAGCAAACCCGAGTTGAGGCCACGTATCGACTCTCGGAACGGTGCACATACGCAGCCTAGAGCCCTAGATTTCTTTCCCCGGTTGCCTCTCTTGATCTGATGGCAAACTCACCAGAGCGCCACACCCTCGTAATCCGGTCCGATGGTCGTCACGATGCCCCTGTAACAGTGAGCCGCCACAATGTAGTTGAAGATGTCGACGTGAAGCCTCCACTTAGCCTCGTCATCGACACCAACCATGTCGTCCGAATCGAGGAGGTACTGTGCCAGTTCATCAGTAGCAAAGGCCTGCGCTAGGGATAGCGCTGCTTCCTTGTACTCCGATATTCCGATAGCACGGACTTGACCCTCCCATTTCTGAGGGATGAGAGAACGCGTCTTCAACTCAACAAGGGAAACACTGTTGCTTACGTGCTCCATGTTGGGCGGCTTTCTACTCAAACCTTTGGTCGCCTACAGTCAATCAACAAAGCATTATTAGTCACGGTGTTCTGACAATGCGCGCCACGAGTAGGTAAGGCGGAATTCCAAGCAACGTTGAGTGGGTGAGGCCACTCACTTTAATTATTATTACTTAATATATCCTGTATACTATCTCCCGTGTGAACTCTAGAGAGTTGCGTTCTGGAGATAGGCATAAATCTCGCGGGATGAGCTAAGCAATTGAGGCTCGTGCGAAGGTCAACAGACATCAATGTTGTCTTGACGAGGGTTCCTTTCCTAGAAACTGAAGGTGTTGTAATTCAGACAACAGGCGACGTCACGGGGAAAGTAGACGAGGAAGCCCCAGAGTCCGACGGCTGGCAGAATCTTTGAGTTTGGATTGAAGCGATGAGATGTGACTAGCGACAAAGAGCTACTAGCGAGAACAAAGAATTGATACTCTTGTAAGTAACTAATCCCGTATGAAGGGATCGGTGTGCTATAGCAAGATTGATCAGCAGTGTTGATGTTATTGTAACCTCGAAAGTGACTTGTGGCAACCAAGTATAGTTTCCCAGGTTGGTGAAAGAAACGAGGGTAAGAGAAATTAGCGTTTGTGAGCGCCCGGGGGCCCTTAAAGAGTTGGCGAGCTTCGGTGTACAAGCACAGTGTATAATCGAGCAGGTGAGGCGAGGAGCCAAGGGAGAGTTGCGTGGGATGGGATGCAGAAAGCCTGAATAGTCGATGGTAAGCTGAGGGAGCCGCAGAGGCCGTAGCACGGCAAAGCGACCAACCAGCCACTAGAGACTAGAGGTATGACACTATCCCATCCCTATCCATGGGCCATGGCATCCATCCACGGGTCATCCATGCCCCTCGTGGACTGCTACGTAGGTAGTCCGAAGTAGTGCGTAACCAGTGGTGGCGAGTAGCCAGTAGCAGTCGGCGCACAGGAGTATTCATATCAGGATCTGCCATTGGCTAGCCAGTACGTAGCGGATCACGGCAACGGCCGTCTGGGCACTATAAATTCGCCTATCGAATTCGTCGTCACAGTGCGTCCGACCCAACAACTTGGAATAACTCGTTTCCAGGCTTGACCGCATACATTGTAGCATACATTGTACACCAGTCTCGTGCGCGGAGTTGGTGTGAAGGTGGGCTTGGTTGCTTGCCTATTGGGGATGACAGGTAATCGTCTCTTCAAGGTGTGGGAGAGGTGGAAGAGGGTGTGGGGTGGCCAGTGGTTGGATCGTGGGTTAGACCGGCTAGACTGGTTAGGCTGTCCAGACAGGCCGTATCGCTTAATTCTTAATAATACCTCGCCGTAAACAGTGCCCAGGTTGCCCAGGTGTCGCCAACGGACGATCCTACGTTATCGCAAGTCCAAACCTCCACTAGAAGTTGGCCTGGCCCGTCCCCCGGAGGCACTGTATGTAACTGGCTGCAGCTTACTCACAATGTCACCTGATACTTGATCTCAGCATCGGCCTGACTTTTTTTTTCGAGATCAGGGAGTACAAGTTCGGAGCCCCGGAACCTCTATCTACTGCGTATGCCCAGACTTACATAGGACATACATAGTCGGCGCTTGGTGCGGCCAGCTCAATGTTGAGATCTGACAGCCATCCGGTTGGGCTATGTTTCACCGCAGGCGCAGGATGAGGTGGGGTTGCAGTGTATAATTGCGGTTTTTATTTCCGGAGGGAGTCATGATTCCATCTTTTCTAAGTCATCCTAAGTAGTTCATTCGTATCCTTGAATTCCAGTGATTTATTCTTGGTAACGGGTGTGGTTATTGATAGAAAATCCATGTCTTGTTTCTAAAGTCTAGAAGTTTAGAAGGTTAGAGCGGCATACTTTTATCCCCCCCAACCTCCGAACCAGGGTAGGAACGTTTGTGTTAATTGGTCAATTGATTGGTGGGTGCAATGGCATTTTAACGGGGTTTTGCATGTGTGAAACGACGAAGCAAATGTAAACCCCCGCTCTCAAAAAAGTACTGCTTAGGGGATATCTATTGAAATATGCAGTCCGCGATTGGTGTAAGACATGTACTACGCCTAAGGCTTATGTATGTCTATCCGTCCTTGGCCGGATGATCTTGCTGAGAAATCAGAAAAAATGAAAGGAAAGAAGCAAAAAATGACTCTTCCTCCTCCTAGAACACACGTAGTAAATTCCTCGAACTCCGGATTCACATGCGTCTGATCTCTTGCTCGTTGGTAAACTTCTCGAGACCAGAGTCAAGATGCTCCCACCATTCGAAAAGCATCGACTCGCATATGAGCTTAAACCAAGGCGTAAACGTTAGTTTCGGGTCCTTGAACAGAGCCTTTAGCTCATCGGGGGTAACGTATTTCGCATCCTTCACTTCATTGGGGTTGAGGTTCAGGTCGACATTGGCCTTGATGAAGAGGATGTAGTCGACTTGTCTCACGGGTCAGCATTATATTACAACGCCAAAATTGAGCCTTTTGCTCGCTTACTCTCGTGTTCGCCCCATTTACCATCGCTAGGGGCCTTGTAGTGGATTCGGGTTAGGAAGTGGAAGTCCTCGAAGGGAACTTGTTCCTTCTTGATGCCCAGCTCATGGTCTAGTTTTCGCTGTGCGGCACGCTTCGCACCATCGACAGAGTCCGGCAAGTTTGAGCCGGTCTCGCCGGGAATACCTAAGGGGTGCGAGCAGCATGTGTTCGTCCACATGTCAGGGAACGTGATCTTCTCGGAAGCTCGCTGCTGGAGGAGCAGTCGGTTTTGGTCGTCGAATAGGAAGCAAGAGAAGGCTCGGTGCAACAGCCCTTTGTCGATATTGGTCATCAGATGGCCTACGAGGTCAGCCAAGGCTCTACTACATAGTCTTGAGCTACCACATACATAGCTTCTTGCTGGCATTTCCAATTGGGTTGTCGTCGTTGTCGAGAACGATGCACATCTCGTCCATCAGTCGAATCTGTTCGGCATCGTGACCTTCTAGCTCCGCCGAGCTGGTGTCTATGTCTGGGAATAGACGAAGAATAGTCTCGGCCGACGGGCCATTCTGTGTGACTGTCGCCGTCGTAGTAGACATCGTGACTAAGAACTATAGATACTACCTAATACTTTGTTCACCGACGGCAATGATCCGATTTCTTGAGGAAGGGAGAGGGGGGCAATGCGGGACGCTCTCAAGATTTTGGGTGACTTGGGAAATCGTTGCGACCCTTTGATATCGATAGCAGAGAGGGTGGACCCTTGGCGGGGAACGTGAAAGTTCAATGGGTCCCGAGTATTTCTTAAGGGGTCGCATCTAGCGTCAAAACTCACGGGCCACAAATTGGCCATATATCTAGATTATTACCTAATTAAACTTCCATGGTTCTAGATAGTCTTTCGCCTATCGGAGGGTCTCAGCCTCATAATGCAGTGCACGTTTATTCCTTTACCGTAGCCCAATTATGTATCGAATTACATATTCATTATCGTATTATTCGGATACTGTGCGGGTGGCTGGCTGATGGTGGCGCCTACCCAGATATACCTATCATCCCGACACGGCTTGCATCTAAACCTTGAACTCTCGGATTGAAACCTTCTGCCGTGATACTGCGCCCTATAGGTACATACATACATACATACATACATACGTACATACGTACATACATCTAGGCGCCGACAAATCGCGCAAAGTGACAGAAAATGAAGCATGTAATACACTGCATACATTATCTTATCAACCTGCCGCATTCCGATGCTCTGCATCTCGAGCCGACTGTTCCCAGTCCGAAATGTAAGTGTACCAGTACTCGACAGAGGCGACGCTATCACATGCAAACCGTCAGCAACTTATTTTGAGTGATGAGTTTACGGAGGAATAGGCAAAAGGGTGAGCTTACAGAGCCAGTCCTATTGTGGTGCCTAACCACAAGCCGGTGAGCTTCCAGTCGAGGAGGAAAGCAGTCGCAAACGAAATGGGCAACGCAATAATGTAGTAGATCGACAAATTTGCGTAACCGCCGAATGACTGCTTTCCAATCCCACGAAGTAGCCCATGTGCAACGGCTGCGAGGCCGTCAAAGACCTGCATGCACGCAACCAGCGGCATGACTGTCGCCACCATCCCGATGACTTCTTCATCTTGCGTAAAGAGCAGAGGAAGTTGATAGCGGAGACCTGCAAGCAAGCACAAATTGAACAGTCCAATGAGACATCCCGCCCAGAAAGCCTTTCATCTGTTAGCTGATATTCTGTACATATCTCACCGCCCATTCGATAACAAACTTACCACTTTGGCTGACGTCTTGGCTGCGTTGATTAACCCCGCCCCTATTAGGTTAGCTACTCGGGTTGATGCCGCGATGGATACGGGGAAAGGGATCATAAAGGTTGTTGACGTCAATGTAACCAAAATGCTCTGCGCCGCCAAGTACGTTGTCCCGAATTGGCTTGTTGCCAACGTAAGGATCTCGAAGGCGAACCATTCGGCCATCACCATAATCATCCCGGGTAATGCGAGCTTAATCATCGGCCCTTTGTGGTGTTAGTGATCAGTCCATGACGACGTCAAGCTTTCATAACTCACCCCAATTCGTAAGAGCGCGACGGGTGAAACCTCCCCAGCATTGTGACCCGTCCACAAACACCACATACGCAAGTAGCAGGAGAGGCATTAGTGTTTGCGTTATCGCAACTGAAATAGGGGCACCGATAAATCCCCACCCGAAGTGCCATACCAAGAGCCAGTTAACGAGAATATTCAAGGGGGCGGCAATCAACAGGACGTAGGTCGTTGCAACGAATAGTCCTTGCGACTGAACAAACCGCTTTCCTGCTTCGAACGCAGCAAAACCAGGCACACCTACGGTCACAATTCGAAGGTAAAGACCCGCTAGTTCAGCAGAGCGCGGATCAGGTACTATGTGGAGGAGTATATCCTCAGCGAAGAAGAAAAGTACGGCCGCCGGGACAACAAGCGTCCATAAGAAATATATCATCCGTTGGAGTTGTAGGCCTACTAGCTGTTTGTGACCAGAGCCATAGGCCTGGGCACACAGAGTGTCTAGACTCGTTGCCAGTCCCTGCATGGGGGCATAGCAAAGAATATTTGCTGTCATAGTAGCCACTATATCTAGATTAGTATCAACAAAGACAAACGAGATGTCTAAACTCACAACTAACGGCACCTAGCTCAATCTTTCCGATTCGCCCAACAGCAAATATACTAGCAATGTTGACACTATATTGCAACAGGAACGTCAAGATCAGCGACCGCGAGTAAATCGCAATCGTCTGCGCTTCTCTCTGCCATGTGGTCTCGATCTTCCCCGAGGCCACGGCGGCCTCCCATTGTCCATTTAGACGCCCATTGGGCAAAGCTGAGGAGCTAGGTCTATCAACTAGTAAAGGCGAAGATTCCGAGGGCTGGACCGTGATTCTCGGAACCTCCTCATCTCCTGGTGTTCTGCGGACCTTGGTGCTAAAAAGAGCCTTATACAAAGTTGAGAGCATCCCGGGCCGTTCTTCTGGAGTATGTTTCGGCGGGAGAATGTGGTTATCCCTCAGCAGACTGCGCTCAGCATTGCGAGATTGTTTCTTCTCGATCCTCGTGAGAACGGGCTCATTCAAAGGATCATTTACTAAGCTCGGCCTTCTAAATCCAAAAGCAACCCCAGCAGGCTGTGTGTATAAGACAGGCCCGCTTTCCGGCTCAGACTCTGATTCAGGCTCATCGTCGTCAAATACATTCTCAATAGCCTCGTCCTCGGAGCATTCCGCGATATCTCTAGCTAATATCTCTTGTGCTATGGGAGAAGCAGATGTGAAGGACGAAGCGATATCCAGCCCCCTCCTCGTCTGCGGGATCGGTTTCGAATGTGACATTTTTGCGGTCTCTTAGATGACTTTGAAGAACTCTGATGAACTCCGAAGGACGAAGTTGTCCCTCGGCGTGCTACTCAATGATAAACAAGAAAAGCAAGCCTGGTAAGACAAGCGGCTAGCGAGGTTGAACAACAAGAAGCAAGACTTCGGCAATAACTCATCCGGCACGAGAGCGCGACAAAATTTTCTTACTGTAGAAGTGTTGTTTCGGACAGCTCGAGGTTTATCATGGTTAGTATTTTGAAGTTGTCAAGATAGACAAACTTATCTTGATAACATGACACCTTGGGAACTTAAGATACGCAAGGATACGCAGACAGCTAGGTTGACTCGAGCTGATGGTCTTTATCTTAGGGGGTCCATATTTAAAGGCGGTTAGAAGATACAATTCCGGGGCTGGGCTCCCCGCCTACCCGCTTAAGGCCCGCCACCGGAGCTCACTTGTAAAAAAGGAGCCGTCGCTCCTGTCTCGTCTCGGTTTAGTCTTAGAATTGGTGGGACGATACATCGGACTAGACCTTTACAATATTAATGTATAGATAGGAGACTAACGCGTACGGATACCTACTTTGGTTAACAGTAGCACAAGGTGAAATGGGAATACGTAACTTGAATTTCTGTCAAAATGCCGTGAGAGCACACGATGTCTCCACTTTCATGGGTTCGCACAATGCTCCCGGCTTTCCCGTTTTAAGCCGCTGATGCATTATTATGTACAACATCTTAAGACTAAGACATTTCCTATCAAAACATCTTCAAGGGGCTAAAAATAACAGCTTCCTCCAATCAGCGAAACCCTTCCTAATAACTAATGTATAACTTGGTAATTCTATAATGATAATCGCATCTTATATAATCGGCAACACATAATAATAACAATGCCAACCCCTCAACCGGACCCCGAGGAAAGCCAGCCCTCGACTTCATGCTGCGATGCGCTCTCCTTCTCAAACCTAAGACGGCCTGTCGAAGTAGGAGATTCGAGCCCTAGCAATGTATTCTGGATATGGCCCTTCCTCGGGCCATTGCTCGTCGTGAATGAGAGCAGCGACACGCGCGACCACTGCGCCAATGAAAGAAGTGAGTTTTTTTTTCATTTTTCGGTCAAGGCGTATTGTGCCTATTCAACTTGCTAACGAAGCCCCCCATAAAAGCCTTTCTATCTTACCTTCGGCTCTCCATTTACATGGCCGTCGTCGCCATAGCCATCGTGTTATCCTTTCACCTGAAGTCGCAACCCTCGGAACTGGAACTGCGCATGTCCCGACCCCTCGGCATCATCTTTTGGATTCTATCCTTGGCCTGTCTAGTTCTCGGGTTTGGAAACTATATAAGTCCGTCTCCCTCCATCACGTAATATATGTACGTGTCGCTAATCGCTGTGAGTACAGAGACTTTAGACAAGTACAGCAGGAAAGTAGCCATAGTTCAGACTGGCTGGAGAACGCAATCGGTGAGTCCCCCTGTATATATACACCTTGCCTTTTAGCTTCACCGTTAACAAGACCAAAAGATTATGTCTCTCATTGCATTATCGATCGTGAGCACCTCTGTGATTCTATTGGTAATTGAGAAATTGCAAGCTGAGAGATGACTACAATATCCACGATCTCAATAAACCCATTTTTTCTTGCCGACTCGGAAGTTATATACATGGTCTCCTTGAATATATCTGCTGGTATATATACGTTGCATCCCGGTCCAAAACGCGCCAAACCCCACAACTAAGGACCAGTCACTTAATTCCGATAACTCCAACTACAATCCTTGTTGAGCGTGATTCCTAGGTCATATCGAAATCTTTAAAGCCCTGGGGACCGTTGAAATTTTACATATATTCTTATTGGCTTAATCCGTCGAGCAGAACATATCTTGTGCTGATAGGGGCTCCCTTTCTTCCTTCTTTCCCGGTTCCGTACCACAACCACCGACTTTCTCTCTGAACTCCGCCGAATACTTGGCAGAGAGTGCATCTAATTCTTCGAGGTCCGTTGACCGGCCGTTCCACGTTACTATGGGCAAGTCGTTAAACGGGCGAAGGTTCCCCTTGTTGGGAAGACTATCAAGAAGGGATACTGGGGCAAGAGGTGTCTCTATACCCGTCCGGATCTTCTGCCTAACGTTCTCAATCTCTTCTTCGCTCGCGTCATCCGCAAGGAGCGGCTTCGAGCTTTCATGACTTGCGTACTCCTCCGGCAGATGGTTCAATTCGCTGTGGACAGTTGCCAGGTTCCTAGCAGTGTCGTCACCAGGATATAGCATCCAATAGCCCCGTGCTCGGGCCAATCTCAAGGCATGTTCCAGCCAAGACGGATACTGCGTGCTCACGATCTTTTCCGAAAGGAGCGCTGGGACGGGGTCTGATTCTTGTTTGGCTTCTAATGACCTGGAAACGAAGTCATGAAGCTCCATCCACCTTTCACCCAGGAAAAGCACTGCATTGCTAGTGGGCGCCTGCCAGAGGAATGAGGTTGAGATCTCTTCATCTGATGGGTCTCCCGAATTGGTACTTTTTAGCAGCGAAGGCGGAGTAAATGCCCCCTTCCCATCCAGCAATTGATTTGGTTGCTCAAGGCTAATACCAAAGAGCCGGCGATCCCAGTGCTGATATGTAGAAACGGCCGAATATCTATATTCTAAAAGGGAATATTTCAAGTCTAAGGATCGATTAGAGAGCTGATCATGCTTGAGGGAGGGCGGGGGATGAATGGCTCACAGTGGAAGAAATCAGGTGATAATTCAACTTGTGGAGAGAGCACTAATATGTGTGAGTATTCCGGCTGGGCTGGCCAGAAAGATTCAAGAAACCTGGCTGAACTTTCCTCCTCGTTCATTCTCTGGTGAGGGATACGATGTCTAAGCGAAAGATAACGTGCGTTAGTTGGATTATATACATGAGCGGGTGGCCACGTGAATGTTTCGAGGAAGCGCTTAGTCGGAGGATCAATATCGTGAGGAAGTTCGATAGTGAGATGAGGAACGGAACTCGAAGTATAGTCCGCTGCGCTTAGAGACCTAAGAAGTCTAATTAAACTTCCCGATGCCCCTGGTATAGCATGGATAAGGATATCAATATGGATTTTGTGCCACACTTAGATGTGAGTTAGCAGTAGTAAGCACAATCGGAGGGCGAACTATCTTACTGCGCAAGGCCTGACTATCTAGCTTTGTTAACCACTCAAGCCTCTTTGCTGATCTACGCGGTAACTCAATTAGAGTATTCTTCTTTGCCTTTGAGTGCTGCTGTGCGGCCCGCAGGAAGAATGTTTCTTCGTCAATTGAACCATCTATGAAAATAGCCTGAGGGTGCATATAATTGAAAATATGATCTGAAAGACACTTTGTAAGCCACGGCATTTATTATGAAGAAATCGCAATACGCACGAAATGCACGAAACACAGCAGTTTCCATCCGATCATCAGTCGATATCTGTGGATAGTCTGGGCGCGCATCTTATAACAAAGTCAGTAAGTGGCTGTATACATTTCTCTGGACCTTTGGAGTCGCACCATGAAATATAATCTGGCACGAGTCGTCAATGCCATTGACTTTTCGTAGCTCCTGTATGTCGATATCGCTCCGACTCATCAGAGCAAAATGCACATAGCTCTTCAAGTCGCTTCCCATCTGGCAGGCGATCGGTAATAGCGTCGCGGCGCTCCTGAGGCTTGAGGCTGCGAAGAGAACATTTCTATTTATCACCATGTTCCCCCTTGTGCCACTGATACCGTGCAATGTCGGGGCAAGCTCAAGAAACCTGACAGGTCCATTGAATATGCGCTCAGGTGTGGTCGCTAGAGCTTGGGGTTTGGGCGGGGCGGCTTGGGATCGGTCGGAGGCAGGATGCCTGGGAAGAGTCGTAGAGAAGTCTGGATAGGTATAACTAGGACGGCGCATTTGCGCATTGGGACCGAGTACCGGGATATTCTTAATGAAGAGGTAGACGATCGAAGCTACGACGAGCACTAGAGCTATACGTTTGAGGGACCGTCGCGGAGGGACTCGGGCTGGGTTCCAATTCGGTTGTCGCAATCCACCGCCATTCTTAAAAGGCTTGTGGTCGTCATCCTTTTTGCCCAGCTCTTCGTCACTAAGGAAGAAGCCTCGCATTTTCCCCCATGTAGACATACCAAAGCTCTGGCGCGAGAGCAAAGAGGAAATAAAAGGACGAGCAAGCAGACAGGTATATATCACAGGTCGGTCCTCAAAAACTTTGAAAGCTGCATCTCAAATGACAACTCTTGAATTGAGCAAATTTAGTAAATTGAAGCTTGGTAAAAGCAAAAATGATGAATGTTGGAAGCTACCCTGATACCTCGATACCTGACACCTAATACCTAGGTCTCGATAGGGCAAGGGCAGTCGAGTTGAATCGATGTCCCACTACGCAAGTTTGGGGCTGAGCGACGATGAAGCTCTAGGGAGCGACGATCCCGTTGCTCTTTTAGAGGCCCCAGCTTACATATATGTAGGGTCGCACATTCCCCATACATATAGAGCTAACCCATATGGTAGTATAAGCCGGTTCGTTCTAGCCTTCTAGGCAAGTCTGACGGACGCATCGTATTGGGCAGGCGGGATATGGCTATTATCTGTTATGCACGTACATCGTACAGTACAAACTTGGATGAAAACGTGTTATTTGCATGGATAGCTGCTTGCAAAATGGAGTTCCGGCTACTTGCATCACAACGCGACTGATAGGGTCCATAATTTAGTGTTCTTGGCAGATCGGGAGACCCCACTAATTAGGTCAACTGGTAGCCCCACGAAAAAACTACAGACAGGTACGTACCTAGGTGCATGCTGAAGCTGCAAAGTTTACCTTGGTGGGGTGCCGTTAAGCCTTACAAAATCTTGCAGCCAAACTGCTGGAAATTTTCTGCAGAAATTTGATATTTGGATTTCACGTGAGAGTGTGGCATCTATCACTAAACGCCTCTTTTTTCCAAGATTCGATTTCTGGTGAAAACTTATTTTCCTACTGGATCAAGAAACCCCCAAAAGTCTCTAAGTCAAACTCTCGGTTCCTGTTCGCGATGGGTAAATCCCGTCGGAATAGGGCCAAAGGGGGCCAGCGTCCCGATCCGATTGCTAAACCCGTGAAGCCACTCTCCGACCCTGAGTTAATAGCAATAAGAGAGAAGAGTATCTTGCCTGTCATAAAAGATCTTCAGAGCACCGAGCCAAAATCTCGGACTACTGCCGCCAGAGCTATCTCCAACATAGTACAGGACTCCAAGTGCAGAAAGCTACTTCTACGGGAGAAGATTGTCCATATTATCCTCACTGAGACGTTGACTGATACAAGTCTGGAGAGCCGAGCTGCAGGATGGGAGATTCTCCGTGTTCTCGTTGCTGAGGAAGAGCGGGATTTCTGTGTTCACTTATACCGAGTGGATATTATGACCGCTATTCAACACGCCTGTAAAAATGTAAGATTTGAAATGTCCCTTTAATTTACGAATAACCAACAAGCCGTTGACCGTCGTATAGTTAAGTCATACTCTCACGAAACAGGATCCTCCCTTCAGCAGAAGTTCGAGGGCTGAACAGCTCTTCGTCTGGAACATTGCAGAGTCGCTTACTACGATTCTCCCAGCTTTAGCCGAAGCTCAGGATGAAGCTCTCGACGCGGCCGTGCGTTGTCAACCAATTGTTCATTTCCTCTTTCTTCTAACATCCCTCGGCAACACAACTGCGCCGGTCATAAACAGTGTTCTATCGTGTATGATAACATTATCCGAAGACAACCAGCAGTTTGCAGAAGCCATCCTCTCTGGCAGTGAACATATCAAGATTTACAATCGCCTTCTAAATATCAGGGTCGGTAACGATTACAAGGCAGTCTTAGCCTCTGCAATTCTACACAACGCATTTTCTGCGGCGCAATGGAATGATTATAATCCTGGCAAGGATGGCGCCTGTGATGCTATCCTTGTCCCTATGCTTGCTAGGACGCTTGAGACCACTCGATTAAATATGAGCGCAGCTGATGGCCACGGTTCATCGAACCCGGCCGAGATTTTGCAGGTGGCACTGGAAGTTCTCGCATCGATCGGCACTACCCTCCAGGAGACTATAGAGAAAGGTAGCCGCGGAAAGAAAGAGAAAAAGGAGAAGAGTGAGGACAATGACGTCGCTATGAATGGTGACGACGAGGACGATGAGGACGACGAAGAGCAACTTTCTGATCATGAATCAGGTGATGAGGATGATGAGATGGATGAAGACGAAATGGAGGCAGATATGGAGATGGTCACCGGAGTAGATGGCCAAGAAGACGAGCTTGAAGGCATAGACGACTTGCCTACGTTGAAAGAGCTCATCCAGAGAGCAATCCCAGAACTGGTCAAATTGGCACAGGCCAGTGGCGGCGATGACGAGATCTCGAAGTATATTCTCAACCATGCTGTAACGGCCCTGAGCAACATCTCTTGGACGGTTGGTTGTATCGATTTCTCCCACAAATCGAATACAGCGATATCGCGAGCCTGGACACCTGCGGCACAGATGATTTGGCAAGACATAATAGCGGCAGTCCTTTCAAGTGACACGAGCGACGTACAGCTTGCCACTATCGTGACCAGTTTGGCATGGGCCATTGCGAGAACTTTGCATGGGCAGAAGTTCCTCGGCGGAGATGAACATAAGAAATTTATATCACTCTATCACGCGTCCAAGGGTTTTGATGAGAATCATGACGATCCATTCCAAGGCCTTGGTGTCAAGTGTATTGGAGTGCTAGGACAACTCGCACTTGCGGCTCCCATTGAACTGAACCGAGAGATAGGCATCTTCCTTCTCACAGTTGTTAAAGGACTGCCCGAAACTCCAGCTGCAGATGCTGTAGAGGCCTTGAACCAATTATTCGATATCTATGGCGACGAAAGTAACGAATGTGATAAGGAAGTTTTCTGGAAGGACAACTTCCTGCAGCATCTAAGGGACACTGCTCCGAAGGTGAAGGCTATGGTGAAAACGGTCGACAAGAGGCAGTCAGGCGAATTGCGTGAACGTGCCGAGGAGGCGAATCTGAATCTTTCTAGATTCATCCCGTATAAGCAGAAACACAGGCCATGAACGATGAGTTACTGTTAACATCAGTGGGCTTAGATACCTAGGTAGCACAATGCGCAGGTCTACGATATGAAAATGGACGTTTCTGGGGGAACCTTCAGTTGTTGGTATTGGCGGCGGTGGGGGCTGAGACATATCCATGGATAGTCGCCTATCAAGCCAGGGTGGAAGCTCTCTTCGTTTTACTACGATAGGTCTGCTGTGTGCAGTTATCACGAACCGTGGAAAGGAACACACAACCACATAATACACTCACCTTGAATACCCTATTCCCTTTTTTAACATGGTTCGTTGAGTGAAGTAGAGGCCGACCACGGCCATGTAGAAACGACAATTCCGATCTTAATGTCACTAAGGGAGTTAGGCTCATAGAAGCTTCGGTCAATTAATAGAACTCACGTAGTGGCCAGTGGCAAGTTCCATCCTTCACTTCCGAGAAGAAGAAAAAACAACCACCATGATTCTAGAGCCGTCGAGCGCGTGGTTCCCTGCAATAAAAACAATAACCTTAGTAATTGTGCTAACCAGCCTTTGATCCCATTCCCTTAACACTAGTAGGCAGAGCAGGCGAATCCGATATTCGCGCAGACAAACGAACGAAACGAACACGGCTTGTCTAGCCGATGGGCTTCAGCTTCTTCTTCTTCTTCTTCTCGTCGCCGGTCTTGGACTTCTGGAACTGGCGCCAGCTGTCGATGCGCTGGTCGCGGGTGCTCTCCCAGTCCTGCTCGTGCTGGCGCTTGCGCTTGCGGTCCTCGAGGTCCTGCTCGGCGCGGCGCTGCTCGCGGCCTTCTTCCTGCATCTGGGCCTTGGCCTGGCGCTTGCGGCGCAGCTCGTTGTCGACGAGGACCTCGCGGGTCTTGGCGCGCCACTGGCGCGCGAACTCCTCCGTCTTCAGCTCCGGGCTGTCCACCGTCCACTTGTTCTCGCGGATGAGCAGCATGCGCGCGTCCGCGATCGCCTCGTCCAGCCGCTCCCGGTGCTTCTCGTCCATCAACTCCGTCTGCGCCTTCTTCAGCCGGTCGAAGGCTTCCGGCGCCTGCGGGTTCTTCGTCTTGTCTGGGTGGATGAGGAGCGACTTCTTGCGGTAGGTCATCTTGATGTCGGATTCGGGGACGCCGGGGTTCAGGTCTAGAACCGCGTAGCTATGATAGGAGTTAGGCTCATTCTTTCCGTTGATGATGATTTTATGGTGGAAACTTACGCATCTAAGCGGAAGGCCTTCAAGATGCGATCTATCTCTGCATCCTATGTTGAACCGTGTTAGTCAATGGCAATATTACAATAGCGATTGGAAGTCAACTTGCCTTGTCGAATTCCTTTGACTCCGCCTCGAGCACGTCGAGAGCATCCTTATCCTCAACAGGCTCAATAGGATCTTTCTCTTTGGAAGCCATGACTAATTTTGAAAAGAATGTATCGGTAAACGAGGATAAAATCGATGACAGTCGACGGCTCAGAATCAAGAGTTAATGCGGTTTCGAAGGTGAGAACGAAGGTGTTAAAGGTCCGGATCGGGGGCGACGGGGCGAGGAGATAAGAAGTTGCGATACGCTGTAGTTAAACTATGGATGTACAAGCAGTAGTAAGAAGTGACGACCAATGCACCTGGATAGTGCATGTTTAGCGGGGACGTTAGTTCTTATCGGCCAGTCACGCTAGGCGATAACAGCGACCAGGGCCCTACAACTAAGAAAAAAAGTTCTGGATGCGCCCCACGAGAACTTCAACTTGAGATCGTATGCAATAAACTAGGTTTCAACCGATTCATCAGGATCTCGTGATATTAGAACCATATGAAGACCCATGTAGGCTTTATATCGCCTTACAAATAAATTGCAAACATGCCCGCTCGCGCGGTCTCGCCGGCAGCGTCCGAAAACGAAGTCGACATCCTAGGCTCACTGTTCGCTGACAGCGTTAATACGCCGGAAGAGAAAAACAAGAAGAATGCGGCGCAAGATGACCTCGGGTTCGATTTTCTGGACGGGGACAGCAACGGCGAAGATGAGGGTGACGAGGCTTTCATTGCCCTTAAACAGGCAGCTTCGTTTCGGAAAACTACCAACCTGAAGGGGAAATCTGTGAAGAAGGGTGGTGGCTTTCAAGCAATGGGTTCGTATATCACGTAGCAAGACGAAGATCTACTCTATATCCTAAGTAACTAATTGGATTACTTTAGGCCTCAATGCGAACTTGCTAAGAGCGATCACGAGAAAGGGATTCTCAGTCCCTACACCCATCCAGCGCAAAGCCATTCCACTAATCATGGAGAGGAAAGATGTTGTTGGTATGGCCAGGACAGGTTCCGGAAAGACTGCTGCATTCGTTATCCCTATGATAGAGCGTCTGAGAGCTCATAGCGCAACAATTGGGTCAAGGGCGCTGATCCTTTCGCCATCACGAGAACTTGCCATCCAGACTCTGAAGGTTGTAAAGGAGTTCAGTCGTGGGACGGATCTTAAATGTGTGCTTCTCGTTGGAGGTGATAGTCTGGAAGAGCAGTTTAGTTCTATGACATCGAATCCTGATATTGTCATCGCCACCCCCGGTCGATTCCTGCATCTCAAGGTTGAGATGTCTCTCGATCTATCTTCGATCCAATATGTCGTATTTGACGAGGCCGACAGACTGTTCGAGATGGGTTTCGCCGCGCAACTTACTGAGATCTTGCACGCTCTACCTTTATCAAGGCAAAGTCTGCTCTTCTCCGCCACCTTGCCCGCTTCGCTAGTCGAGTTTGCCCGCGCAGGTTTACAAGATCCTAGCCTCGTTCGATTAGATGCCGAGACGAAAATTTCTCCGGATCTCCAGTCGGCCTTCTTTAGTGTTAAGGGTGCCGAGAAAGAAGGCGCTCTTTTACATATCCTGCACGACGTCATCAAAATGCCCATGGGATTGCCAGAAGGGGTTCAGCCGGAGTCGGACAAGCCTTCGAAAAAGAGAAAGCGAGGATCAGATGCGCCTAGAGGAAGGGAAAAGCCGACGGAACACTCTACGATTATCTTCACCGCCACAAAGCACCACGTCGAGTACTTACAGTCTCTGCTTAACGAAGCAGGATTCGCAGTCTCTTACGTCTACGGTTCTCTGGACCAGACGGCCAGAAAAGATCAGGTCGAAAACTTCAGACGTGGCCGTTCTAATATCCTAGTTGTGACAGATGTCGCTGCGCGAGGTATTGATATTCCCATCCTTGCCAATGTAATCAACTACGACTTCCCTCCTCAGCCCAAGGTCTTCGTTCACCGAGTCGGACGAACAGCAAGAGCCGGACAGAGAGGCTGGAGTTACAGTCTTGTCAGAGACACAGACGCGCCATATTTGTTAGATCTCCAGCTGTTCCTAGGCAAGAAGCTCGTCCTTGGCAAAGAAGGCAAGGACTCTACCAACTTCGCAGAAGATATTACTGTCGGCGCGCCGATACGAAGTAAGGTAGAGACTAACGTAGAGTGGCTCAACAAGGTCTTGGGCGAGAGCGAGGATATTAGCTCCCTCCGCCGAGTAGCAGGGAAGGCTGAGAAGCTATACTTGAAAACACGTAATTCAGCCTCCAGCCAGAGCGCCCGGCGAGCAAGGGAAATTGTTGCGTCGAAGGGCTGGACGCAATTACACGCCATCTTCGGCGACCAGCTGGGAGACGCCGAGGATGCCCGCGCCGAGATGTTGGCGAAGATCAGCGGCTTCAAGCCGCAAGAGACGATTTTCGAGATCGGTAGGTCAGCCAAGGCAGGTCGGAATGACGCGGCCGATGTCATGAAGTCTCTTCGCGAGCGCTTCGGCCCTCGAAGATCCGGTAAGGAAGTCGAAGAGCCGGAAGAATCAAACGAAGCTATGGAAGTAGACGGCTCAGACGGCTTCGAGGAGGAGGACGAGGCCATGGCAGTAGATGAGCAAGAAGAAGACAGCCCATCCGCCGCCGAAGACCCCGACTCCGACTCCGACCTCGAAGTCACCATATCAAACCACACATCGACCTCGCGTTCCAAAGACCCGACCTCATCGTACCAAGACAGCGAAGTATTCATGTCCTACACCCCGCGCACCGTCAACGCGGCCGAGGAGCGCGGGTACGGCGTACACTCGGGCTCCAACACGCTTCCTTCTCACTCGCGCCAGCAACCCTCATCCAACTTCGTCGAGGCCGCGCGCGACCTGACCATGGACCTGACCAACGACGAGACGGCCAAGAACTTCGGCGTCCCGACGCGCGCGCGCATGCGCTGGGACAAGAAACAGGCCAAGTACGTCTCGCGCGACAACGACGACGACGGCTCCCGCTCCGCCACCGGTCCCGGGAAGAGGCTCGTCCGCGGCGAGAGCGGGGTCAAGATCGCTGCTAGCTTCCAGAGCGGCCGCTTCGACAAGTGGCGGCGCGCGCAGCGCATAGGCAAGCTACCTCGCGTCGGCGAGTTTGAGAAGAGGCAGTTCGGCGGCGGTGGTGGTACTGGTGGTGGGAATGGTAGTAACGGGCCGGGAGACGCGGGCAAAGGGGCTAGGTACAGGCACAAGCAGGAGAAGGCGCCAAAGGAGGCGGACAAGTACCGCGACGACTACCACGTGCGCAAGAAGCGTGTGGCCGAGGCCAAGGAGAAGCGGGTCGGCCGCTTCAAGGACGGCGCCGGCAGCAGGAAGGAGATCAAGAACGCCGACGACATCCGCAAGGCGAGGGTCCTCAAGGAGAAGAAGAAGGCTAAGAATGCTAGGCCATCGAGGAAGTGAATATGCTGTGAGGGGGAAGAAGATACGAGGTAGTAGTTACGATGCAGTCACTGCGAAGAATATAAGATCATCAAATACAGAAAGACCAGAAGTCTCGTTTTGTTTCCATCGTTTATAATGCATCGAACCAAAGCGAGGTCGCACTCTAAATTTGCGAGGCTCGGCAATGCACTATCTGCCTTTTAATAGTACAGGTCCCACCAACGTGAACAACCAACCTCCCACCAGTTGAGCCTGACCTGCACATATCGGCCAGAACTCAAGGTTGTTTCAGTCAATGCCAACTCCTCCCAATCATTTATTTTCCATTGTCCCAGTCCGGATTCTGACGATATGTTAGTTTCAGTACTTCGTGATAGATCAACATCGGGGATAATGTCTTACCTTGCGAAGGATCACTAGTCCTTCTAGTGTGCTGCTGAGACTGATGTATTCCTCATCCTCTAGTTCCGCTCGCTCGCCGTATGCTAGAAGCACAGGCGTGCTTTGCGTCTGCCATCCAGTGATTGTCTTGGGTCGACCAGCCTGGCCAACCACGTCGACGGCTTGTCCGACGCGGACGTTGACTGTCAAGGGGTTGAGGTTCTCGTCTAGCGTGACGAGGAAGCGGGGATGCATGGCGGTGGTGAGGAAGTATAGAAGGTAGTGGGAATTGGAAGTCACGAATTGCTTGGCGTCAATCATGGCGACGAGAATAGCGAGCAGACCTGAAGTAGCCACTCGTGACAGAATCTGTCGATCTGTGTGGAAGGGGTTAAGTGACATGGTACCCTTGCCCATGTGTAGGAGACCCTGCGCAATACGAACCATGAACAATGATTCTTGGTCTCTGTGGTAGTAGCTGGCCAATTGCCGAAGAAGCTGGGCCAGTCTAGCGTTGTTCGTGCCGGCACCTAGCAATCCCATGGCAAAGATTGCATTTATCGCAACATCATTGTCGTTGTCGTGACTGTACCGGGATAGTGTATCGTAGACCTTCATTTGCGGGTTGCTAGGGCTAATCAATCCCATAGCCAGAGGCACCACACGTCGAATGTTGGCCTCGCCATAATGCATCAGATGACCGAATTGTCGCAGGACCATCTCTTGTCCAACATCCTCGCCCATAGCGACCAATGCAATTCCAAGAACTGCATACATCTGCAATAATTCCTCGCCCTTCTTGTCATCCGAGTCGGGATCAATGTGCTCGTTGCAAATATGTAGTAACTCCTGGATCTTCAACACGGCTCCAGTGCCAGCCCAGGCGCAAACCTCACAAAGAATGGCAGTGGGCTTGGCCATAGGGTGAGAAACAGCCTTGAGCGTCTCTAGAATGACGTCTACTTCTTCTTGGCGGCCAAAGAAAAGAAGACCGAGACCCAAGGCTAAGAATCGAACCCATTTATCGGAAAACTGATTTCCACGGTCCTCGTCCATAAGAACACTCATGATCTCCTCAGTCGCCAGTGGGTTGGCGGAGCCAACGCACGTCATGCCGCAAGCTAGCGCAGCCATTGCGGCGGTCTGCATATCGCTATCCGGGTTTGTAACAATGGGTAACAAGTGCTCCAACACCTCTTCCTTATGAGAGCCGGCGTAGGAAAGTCCAAGTCCCATGATAGCAGCTATCCGCACGAGAGGATTCTTATGCTCAAGCTTTTCTGGGTCGGCTAGCAGCGCTATACTAGGGTCGCTGTCCATACGAACCCCTGAGGTCATGATGCCAATAGCAAGCATGCTACCCGCTACAATCAGGGGCTCCGTAGAGTAGGTGTATTTGTCGACCTTATCCAGTCCGTTCTCAACATCCCACATAAGGAGGGTCCCGAGGGAGGCCACGGTTGATACCATACCTTCGTCCTTCGTCTTCCACACCCAGGACTCCTTATCCTCCTCTACGAGCATCATTTTATCGTTGCCGAAACCGGCATTGACGAAGGCGTTGACAAACGCAGCGGCAAGGTTGTGTCGCGCAGAGTCCAGGTTGGTCATACCAGCGACTCGGTTACTCTCCAGATGGCTCTTGTAGATGTCTTCAGTGGTCTTAGGTTCGAGAATGTTCAATTCCTTGCCCAGAACCTTGAAGTACTCTGCCAGTTTGACGTTCGACACGGTATCTTCTATGTCCTGCATATCTTTCTTCGTGGCCACTGTGTTTCTATGCACATTGACCCAACTCTTCTGACGGCCAATCAAGAAACCCATCTGCTTCTTCAGCGCCGGATCTTCCGTAGAGTCGAAGACGGTACTAATAAGGTCAAGGTCATTAAGCCTGATAGCGATATTCATAGCAGGAGTTAGTTCCTCGTAGGTCATGTAGATGGTGTAAGCGGTTCGCAGGAATTGGTCGTTCTCGGGGTAAGTCAGGAGGTTGACCATGCTGACGAGGTATAAGCAGACACGGGAGTAAGTATTCTCGTCGACAAACTTGGGAAGCTCTTCGATGATCTCGAGCTCACTCATGAGATCGACGGCATCAGCCTCCGCGTTGCTCTTCAAGAATAAGGGCACGAGGATCAATGCGAGATCTATCAGATCTTTGACCGGTTCCTCCGCAGCGACCCGTTTTGCGTAGACCTCGCCAATCTCTAAGGCTAAGTGACGCACATACTCGTGGCCCCACGATCCTATGTCCTGCGTCGGTGATAGCAAGCGGTATTTCAGGGTATCTTGACGGTCCTCGTCTGAGAAGGTCATGCCGATGACCGATAGGACGTCGGCCAATGAGGATTTGTCATCGCCCTCGGGCCACTCCCCGTAGAGTTTTGTCATGGTCGAGTAGTGGGGTCTGAGGAATTTCAGGGGTTTCGGTACTGCTGTCATAGAGGATGTCGAGGTTTTGATGGAAGTCTTCATGGCCTCCAAGGCCGGCTTGTAGAGGGATGCATCGGATTCCTGCAAATTGCATTAGCGCTTCCAGACGATATACAGCCCCGAGTGTATTAGACATACTGTTAATCGCTCGACAAACATGTCGAGCTCGCTCTTGAGTTGTTGATCTTCCTCACTCAGCTCCTCCGCAGCTGCATAAGGGTTAGCATAAGACAAACAATTTCAACGGACTAGGTAAAAAACACACAATCGATCTTGTCCTCATCTTTCTTGCCGTTAGCTTGAGGCTGGCCATCTTTGCCTTTCTTGTTCTCTTCAGCCTTGTTATCGACTGCCTTGCCTTTACCCTTGTCGGCCGACGTGGGCTGGTTACTGCTCGGCGCCATGGTCGTCGTCGAGGAGGGAGGCGGACGTGGGCAAACGCAGCAGCTAATACAGATTAAAGACTAAGCTCCGAAACAGCGAATTCTCAGATGAAGAGATTCAGTAGTATGTAGACTGTTTAAATATTAATACGGTCTGACGGTTGAATGTTGACGGCGGGGAAAAATGATTGGGTTTGTTTTGGTGTGCGTTTTATCTAACGATGGGAAATCGGATAAGCTTTCTTAAAGCGAAAGCTTCTAAATCGTCAGGTCGAAGCTCCCCAAGGCAAGGCGGAAAGGTTTACTATTACGCGACTGCTCTGCCGCCTATTGCTTAGTCTTGGTTTTAGGTGGTCAGTGCTTTCGACAATACCACAGCCTTCCGATTTATTGATGTTGAACTAACCAATTAGCATTTCGTGCAGACAGTGAGTTTTTACCCAATCAAAAAGCAGGGAAAGCCTGGGAAATCTGACCAATAGAAACAGATTCCCTGTACATCAGGGTACTTAAATCTCTTTATCTTATCGCAGATTAGATTATCTCCCGGATTTTTGTATAGAATTTGGTGGGGTTATTATACTAATTGGACGTCCAACTTCGTTAATAATTGTGCTACCGTCGAAAGAGTTGACATACTCTTCTTCTGACTCTTATATCTCGTTTCCCAACTTAGTGAATTTCGTCAATAAGCCAATTCACGACCAAATTCATCGTTTTACCTCGTATAAAACGAGGAGGCAGCCGTCATGAAGCTCGATACCAAGGCCATGCGGCACCTCACAGCCGAGGACTGGCGAGTCCTTACAGCCGTAAGAGCCCCCCCATTCCTACATTCCCACCAGATTTTGTTCAACAATATCAGCTAACAAAAGAACCCCAAAGTGTGAAATAGGCAGCCGCAACCACGAGCTAATCCCCACCCCCCTAATCGAATCCCTCTCCAAGCTCCGCGGCGGCGCCAGCCGCGTCCACAAGTCGATCTCGGCGCTCGCCAAGGTCGGGCTGATAGCGCGGGTGAAGGAGGCCAAGTACGACGGGTACCGCTTGACCTACGGAGGCGTCGACTACCTGGCGCTGCACACGTACGCGTCGCGGAAGGAGGTGTACAGCGTCGGGAACCGGATCGGCGTGGGCAAGGAGAGCGACATCCTGGTGGTGGCGGACGAGACGGGGACGCAGCGGGTCCTCAAGATCCACCGGCTCGGCCGCATCTCCTTCCGCACCGTCAAGGCGAACCGCGACTACCTGCGCAAGCGCCAGGGCGGCAGCTGGATGTACCTGTCGCGCCTGGCCGCCGAGAAGGAGTACGCGTTCATGCGCGCCCTGCGCGACGAGGGCTTCCCCGTGCCTGAGCCGCTGTCGCAGAGCCGCCATACCGTGCTCATGGAGTTCGTCGACGCCTTCCCCCTGCGCCAGGTCTCGCGCGTCCCGGACCCCGCCGCCCTATACGCCGAGCTAATCTCCCTAATCCTGCGCCTGGCGCGCCACGGTCTGATCCACGGCGACTTCAACGAGTTCAACATCCTGATCAAGGAGGAGCCGGAGAAGCCGGAACAGTCCGCCGAGAGCGATGCGGTGGAGAAAGAGCACGAGAAGGACAATTTCGCGGCGACGCCGATCCTAATCGACTTCCCCCAGATGGTATCCATGGATCATCAGAATGCCGAGATGTACTTCGACCGCGACGTCAATTGTGTCAAAAGGTTTTTCGAACGCCGCTTCCACTTCGTCAGCACACAGCCAGGGCCGTTCTTCAAGGATGCCAAGAAGACGGTAGGAAAGGACGGGGCCAAGAGGCTCGATGCTGCAGTCGAGGCATCGGGCTTTTCAAAGAAGGCGCTAAAGGACTTGGAGGCTGCCATCAGGGAACAGCAGGCGACAAGAGGAGACCATGCCGGTTCGGGAGGAGAACACGATGATTTATCTACGAGCGAAGACGAGGATGACGATGAGGATGGAGAGGAGGATGAAGATGAGGATAAAGACGAAGTTGAAGATCCCGAGGCAGACAATCTGAGTGCTGTGGGTAATGATCAAGGAACTAATGCCTCTTTCACAGGCATAGAAAAACTTTCAATCGGAAATGAGACGTGATCACTAAATAGCTATAAAAGATAAGCTTAATTGATACCCCATCCATACAATACCTCTTACCTCATAAATAACGATGTCTATAGGTATAGACCGTAAGCTACGATCTATTGCCGGACACTTTCATTAATCTTACGATCACCACATAAAGAACACTGTAGAATAATTTTTTAGACACCATGATCTCATATTGATGTCTCCCTAAGTATCTGCAACCGCCAATTCTGTATAGTCGTGTGGGGGGGAAGATTAAAAGACGTATGGGTAAAAATGAGAAGGTACAACTTGCCACAACTTGCCACAACCTGCCGTTGACACACTTTTCCTCTGTATCGTCCACTATCAAGCGTGATGATCGGATGCGACATACCAACTCGACTTTAGAAGTCAGAAAAAGAAAGGGGATAGAAGAAAACTGAATCTCAAAACAAACAACAACGGAAACAAAGTCAGATCGTACAACCCGGGTACCATATCATACCACCCATAATACCACTACGGCAACAATGTCCTACCAGAAAGACATCTGCCAAAAACAAGAGAAGGAGTACAAAAGTACGATAATACCACGTGGTCAATAACACAGAATGGACCACCAATTTACTCCTTCTCTTGCTTTACGGGGGACGATTGGTTACTGCCATGCGCGACCAGCGGGGACTCGACTCGAATTTCGACGTCTTCGCCGGGTCTAGCACGACATTAGTTCCTTAACGACGTTTGGGGGGGCTGTGCCGTCCACGGCGGCCATACCGGCTAGTCGATCCCGCCAAACCGGACCAAGTAGCACTGCCTTGTGGACGACGGCCCTGAGGAGGACCGTCCTGCTGCTGAGGGCCGCCCTGCTGTTGAGGTACTCCCTGCTGCTGGTGGCCTCCTTGCTGAGGGACGTCCTGCTGAGGAGCCAGCAGAGCGCGCGGAGGAGCGCCGCTAGAGAAACAGAGTTAGCCAATGCGTAAAGGAACACAGTATAGCACCAGATAGTTACCTCTGAGAACCACCATTCTGGCGATAAGGCGGTGGTCCATGGGCAGGGCCCGGTCCCACAAGAGTCGTGCCATAGGCACTGACATTGTACTCGTTGGTACGCCACTGACGGCGCTTAGCCGTAACTCGCTTTAGCTCCTTCTGTCGCTGCGAATCTGCATAACGAATCTGCAACGGAAGGCTCTCACGACCGAGGAGCATGCCTTGGAAATGCTTAATAATCTTGTCACAGACCTCGCGAGATTCGAATCTAAGAGTACGGTTAGATATTTAGAAGGTTCAATGAGATTTTGGATTTAATCTTACCGAGCAAAGCCGACACCTCGGCTGACATGAGTAACCTGGTCCTCCAGGACCTTGCTGGACAGGACCAAAAAGTTCTGGAAGAGAGTGTTGATCTCCTAAACGGACTGTTAGATCATGAGTTTTGCAAAGGATCATAGGCATCTTACAAGCTCTCTCCAGCTTCGAGGAAGGTTAGACAGATACAGATTGGTGGTATCGGGATCGCCTTCTTGGCGAAGTCGGGAGTTGAACGATTCCTAAGATTTGTAAGCCCCTGATTAAACGGTGCGAGGTTCATCAATCAGTTATAAGCAGGAAGTACTAACTCTAGCAAACCCAACTTCATAGCCTCGACGGTAGAAGCCGCGAATACAATTCTCCGAGTCACGAACATCATAAAATTTCGCAAAGCCGAAACTATATCCCATGTTAGTCAATGTCCGCAGCATTGAGATAGATTACTCACCCCTTGCAAGCTCCAGTGCTAGCATCAATGATAGCCTTGGAAGTTTCTACTTTACCAAAGCGCTCCGCATACTTCAGAAGAAGCGTGTCGTCCGTGGTGGGATGGAAGCCGCGAATGTAAACGTTGCGGTTACCAGGCAGAGGGTTGACAAGGCTCTGCTCGAGAGTCTTCATGTTCTCTGCAGGAGTAAACACAGCCGGAATCGCAAAAGGAATGCTAGGCTCTCGATCAAGGAGAGGTGACTTAGGCTCCTGAAGAGCCTCGGCGGCCACAATCTGGTGGGGCGAAGGCGTTGTGTAAGTGGAGCGATCAAAGACTGTGACACGAGGTCCCTGGTCTCGAGAGGCCATGCTTCCGAGGAAAGGAGTGGCCGGAGTGGACTCGTTAGTAGAGTACGACGAGCGTCGGATGTCCAGACCCGGGACATCGCGAGAACTGGTCTCGGTACGCTCGTGAGTCATGCCAGTGCGCGAGGGCGTGTACGGAAAGGCATACATAGGGGGAGCGCTTGGGTTAGAATAGCCGGGCTGAACGAGGTAAGGAGTACCACCTGCATAACCCTCGGGCTGGGCTGGCGCATAACCAAGAGTAGGAATGCCGTAGGTAGGAACACCGGAAGCCATCGAGGGAGAAATGGCAACCTGGTAAATGCGGCCATCCTGAGTAGTCATGGGCATCATTCCCGGGATATGGGGGACTCCGTTGATGCCAAGGCCGCCAAACTGGCCTACCATAGCATTCATGTTCGCATCGGCGATTGCGTGGCTCTGGATACCGCTGTCGTTGGCACCATCGTGAGTAGCATGGACCGAAGACTGCTCACGTTTATGAGCCTCAGAATCTGCTAGGAGAGCCATATACTCTTCTATCTGCTCATCTGTGAGGTAAGGTCCACATACCCTAATGCCCTGGGTAGGCGAAGGCTGGGTGCCACCAGGACTAGGCATTGTGTTGGATGTAGAATAAGTCAATAGACTGCTATAAAAAGTGTATAACGTCAGTAGATTTTCACGAGATCAATGAACGGCAAGAATTATAGTGAAGAATGGACGAGATGAGAAAAGGGAGAACACAATCTTTGTAAGGAGATTTGATAACAGCGATAACGGCAGTAGGTACTGGATTTGGGGAGGGCGTTGAAGAGTTAACGATGTTGGAAAGAAAATCGGTCTCATGATCCGTGGAGTAGATGAATTGATGGATATGCCAATGTTTGGTATGTATAGAAACCCATGAATCGTTGGTAACAAGTATAACAGGAAGTTGTCGGTGGGCTTATGGGACGGGAGGAGCACAGACCTTGTACAAGCGTTGTATTGGTTCAAGATTCGTAGCAGGACGCGGAAGATACCTGTCAAAAAATAGTTAGCCTTGGTTTTAAAACGGTGATGTAAGTTGGGGAAAAGAGAAAATTGCACATTGCCGTGCTGGCCAACCGTTGGACGTCGACGACAGAGAGAATAGGGGGAGTAGGGGGGGACAGAAAGGGATAATAACACGTAACGAGGGTATTTATGTTTTGGTGCTTGGTTTGGGCCTAAGTAAGAAAGGTAGAAATAATTGAAGACGGTGACAATAATGGTTGAAGAAAGGGGTCAGGCAATGTTTGTATGATGATGCTCGTGCAGTATTGGTTAAAGGATTAAGTAGTGATCATGTGTATAGCTTGAAGGGATCTTGTTGTATCTTGCCTCGGTATCGTGGTTCAGGATGGGTGAATAATAAAAAACAACAACACGTAAATGAGGCCGTCAAAAGTGTACACCAGGAATAGAAAACGAGGACTGAACCAACCTTGGAAAATCTGGCTGGTAATGCCAATGCTGTTGGAACCAAGACGATCGAAATGAAGCGAGCGGGAACGGGTAAGATAGAGTAGCTAGAGAGCAAGATTGAAAACGAAGAGATCGTGTGTTGGATGAGTTGATGCTATGCTGAGAACCAAGTGTAAGGGGAATGGGAAAAGGAAATGAAAGACTGGAGAGAGTGTGAAGAAGAAGAAAAGAGAGATATCATGGGTGGAGAAATGATTAAAAAGTATTACATAAAAAAAGGTCGTACCTACCTGCGTTGAAGGTCGATGCTTACTTGAAGAATACTTGGAAAGCGTATGAGAGCTTCCTAGTTGTTTTGGGTAGTCGCAATATTGTTGAAGACGGAAGGCGTCAGTGAAGGCGTAAGGATGCAACAACCTTGGAAAATTGAAGACGTAATGATGCGATTAAACTTGACGGTGGATGATACAGACAGAACAACTAAGGATGCGAATCTGAGGATGCAAGTCCAAAGATGCTTTCCCAAGTATTTTTGACAGTGATGTGTGACAATTGCAGGTTTGATGCTGCGTGAAGATTGGAAGATAAGACGGAGAGTGAGGGTTATAGTGAAGAGTTAACGATCCAGTTGGGAACCGGAAAGTAGTAAGAAGTTGGGTGACGAGAGTAAGAAGTTGGATGACGAGAGTTGAAAGAATGTTGTAAAGGAAAGAAAGCTGGGAAGAATTGGGTGACCAGACAGTTTTCTAAGTAGGTTTCGTTCGAGGTCTCTAATCAGTAGGGGCAGTAGGATGGCCGGTGACGAGTCGTATAAACACGGCCAAAAAGGGAGTACTTCAAAAAATATACCAAACGTTGTTGGCGGTACATGGGTACTTGATGATTTTAAAGTTAGGTACGTACTCAGACTACACAATAGTACGCATGGACCAGTATGAATTTCTGTACAACCCTAAGTACCTACCTGTACCATAACATTGGCTTTTCTTCGTAGTACTTCCTCATTGGATACATGAATTTCTTAGGCAGCTGCCAGTCACCCTCGTTTAATCAGCCGCGTTGCTAGGCGATGTTGATGCTTGTGATTCTCACAGTAATTAACAATCGGTACGCACCTATAAGGTACTTATATACATTAAGTAGGTATATATCATTTTCCAACGGTTTATGTGCAGCATTCTTCTAGGGCTTGTTTATGTTTCTTTATTTCCCCCCTGGACATTGTGCTCCTATTGCCAAAAGCACGAAATTGAACTATCTACCTTGAAGATTATCCCTCTTGAATATGGTCGTAAGTCCTCTCGTCCAATCAATCACAACCTCCCATCTCCTTAGATCAGAAAATCTATAGTCCTCTATGCATACAGATGGTGCCCACACGGCGCAGAAGCGTCCCAGGACTGGAGGTTTAGACATCCAGAAACGGCGTCCCCTATGCTACAACTTGTAGAACAGGCTATCCCACATAACTCATCACTTGGCCAAAATTCCTCTCGGTATTGCCTACAAAGAGTTTACAAACAATGTAAACTTGCTTTTTGATACATAAGTTAAAGATGTATATATATTTATTTAAATAATTCTACAAGCTACCGTAAACCCAACTGATATTGACCAAAGTGAACAGCCTTCCTACTTTCGTAATATCATACATCGACTCATCGTCGCCCTCTCCTACTATCAGGGGGATCACCGTCTCTAGCAATCCGTCGCACCGCAAACGCCTGGATCACAGGGGTTATCCGTATCGGCAACGTAGTTGACGGTGAGTTGGCCGGCGTAGCTCAGGTCGTTGACGCCGCCGGCCTCGGGCGGGAAAGAGACGGGGATGCTGCCGCAGCCCTGCGTGTTCGGGTGCTGGGAAAGGTAGTTCAGCAGCTCCTTGACCTCGGCCCCGAAGTGGTTCTGGCCGGTGCCCTGGAAGAACGCGCAGGTGCCACCCGAACCGCTGCTGATGCCCGAGCAGATGATGTGCTCGCCGTCCTTGTAAAGTTGGAAGTCCGGCAGCTTGGAAGCGTAATTTAGGATATCTGCCATCGCCCCTTTCTTGCAGAGGGCACTGCCTCGGTTGTTGATTCCGCTGGGTCCCCGCACGTCCAGCTCGTGAGGCGATGATGATGAGGAGGGCGCGGCCAGCCCAGTGCCAAATGTAGCGAGGGCGACGAACGTGAGTGTCGAGGTCTTCATATTGTGTTTTGTTTTTGGCGGTAGGAACTTGAGACGTAATAGCGAAAGGATAAAAGCAATGGTTATAGGGATGGTATACAATACAGATGAAGAATGAGCAATGAGGTATCTTCCTAGGTAAGTACCTATCTAATATATATAATTTCTTCCATTTACGATGAAAATATGATATGCTATAAATATCCAATCCGTCATGATATCCTGATTCTAGAAGTCCTCCTTACCCTTGGAATAATTTTAGATGTGAAGAGCCGCGATGTTCTTTGTGACCCCGGTATATTACTCATCCGTAATTGTAGACTTTTTATAGAGTATAATGCTGGAAAAATGTCACGCCTTTCAGCTTTTACTAGCTGACGCCATCCATGGATATTATAAACCGTACTTACCAAAATAGCGTCAGAATATATGCCCCATGTGCAAATATTACCCGAGCTTTAGGAGGATTATTATACCTTGAGTTTACGAAGGGACACGGAAGGCCATCCCGTACCGGGGCAGCAAAAAGCCTAAGTTTTACACAGCCCATCTATATTATCATCATCATTTTTGGAATGGATTAATCAAGGGACAACCAACATTCGAAGGGGCCCTGCATACGATTACAAGCGATGTAGAAAACAAAGCGCCGCTTATAATTCGCGGTTTGTTGTTGATTGGTTGAACTATTCAACTAAACGTTGCGAGGTTCAAAAAGGGGTAAAACTGCAAGGTAAAACGCACCAATTTTATAACGCGTAAAAACGACAATATAATCTACCTTATGTACATACATGCGGTCCTAAAACCTCCCAAGTACTTCGCTAAACGCAAGTTTAGTTCGGGGTAAGCTTCAAGAGCCGGCCGCCAGGACCATCCTCGACCACCCAGATGGCGCCGTCCTTGTCCTCTCGGATACCGCGCATGCGCTTACCCATGGAGATGCGCTGAGCCTCCTTCGCCGTGTCGCCAGTGATGGTCACGCGCACGATTCCTTGTGCGCTAAGACCGGTGATGATGGCGTTGCCCGTCCAGTCGGGAAACAGGTCGCCCTTGTAGATGATCAAGCCGGCCGGGGAGATGACGGGGACCCAGAAGGCCTTGGGCGGCTCGATGTCGGGGCGCGTGCTGTGCGCGGGGATCGTCCGGCCGTCGTAGTGGCGGCCCTCGGACACGACCGGCCAGCCGTAGTTGGCGCCCGACTGGATCAGGTTGAGCTCGTCGCCGCCCATGGGCCCCATCTCGACCTCCCAGAGACGGCCCTCGGCGTCCCAGTCGATGCCCAGCGGGTTGCGGTGGCCCAGCGACCAGATCTGCGCCTGGACTTCGCCTTGGCTGGCGAACGGGTTGCCCGCGAAGGCGGTGCCGTTCTCGTACAGCTTGATCACCTTGCCGAGGTTGCTGGTCATGTCCTGGGCCGGGGTCATCTGGTTGATCTCGCCGGACGAGATCCACAGGGCGCCGTCGGCGCCGAAGAGCAGGCGGCAGGCGAACTGGAGCCCGCCCGAGGCCTTCTGCGAGTGGCGCCAGATGACCTCGAGGTCGGACAGCGCGCCGCCGCCGTTGGTGTCTAGCGTCAGCTTGGCCCGCGCGACGGCACCACCCGCTCCACCAGAGCCGCTTTCGGCGTAGCTGAGATACACGATACTGTTCTCGGCGTAATCGGGGTGCAAGGCGACGTCGTGGAGACCGCCCTGACCGCCGTAGGCGACGGTGGGCACACCGGTGATGGTGCCCATGGACTTAGTGGTCGGGTCGACGAGACGCAGGTTGCCTCGTCTCTCGGTGACGAGGACGCGGTCATCGGGCAGGAAAGCGATCGCCCATGGCTCGGCATGGGTGGTGATAGCTGTCGATGTAAACGGCTGCTGGCGAGTGTCCAGCTGTTGTGATGGGACGGCCAAAGCACCGGCCACCAATGCCAGAGCGTAGGTGACAGAAAGTCCGAGATGCATCATTTTCGGGGCGGCCTTTGCTTCTCAGTGTATTGTGTTCCTAGACGATCGAGGGTTGAGTAACTAACATCATATAAGAAGGAACTCTTAGGCTGTCTGTTCTCTCGGGGTAGGTAGGTATATAAGAAACGGGAGGACTCGAGCAACCTCTTGTCCCCATCGCCTGTCCCATGTACCATAAGTCTCCGTAGGTCGACAGATTTAGCAAAAGTCCGGCATGGCATTCCCACCCTAATCTAGCACGACCTTTTCTCTATGACGATGACCACCAACGCCAAGACCGGGTGTGTGTTGTAATTTTCTAGGCATCAATATATAAATTAAACTCATCTTTTTCCTTCTTTATACCATGCGGGGGTTCTCGATCCGTCTCCATTGTCTTGGGAGATGTGATATTCTTTTTAACCATTTAATAATATTAATGTTTTTAAAAAGTAGGAATTGGGAAAGCCCATTTCATGGGTCGCATGTGGTATAGGGGACACTATTTTCAGATCCCAAAACCTTCAGTCCTGGAGGCGTCTATGCCGTGTAAGCATCATTTGTATGCAAGATGGAGGATTCGAACCATCGGGTCTGCTTTTTTAATATATGTCAAATCGTAATAGTTATAATAAGAACGAAAACTTATAGATACGCTTATTATATTAATGACGGTTTAATATAAGAGAAATCAAAAGTTTATTCATCGACACGAAACCAGCTTAAAGCAATAAAAACCCAGTCTACTAAACTACAAACATCTTATACTGCCAACACCGTGATGGTCCAAGTGTTCCCATTGGATTCATAGTCTCCTCCGGGTTGATTGTTATACACGCACTGGTTGATAACGTCGTTCAGCGCATCCTAAGACGGGATTTCCGGTCAGCGCAAACCGTCGCGACTCATTCTACGAAAAGGGGTTGAACAAACTCACCATGCACGTCCCGAACATGCCATTTTTATCCGATCCTTCCCATGTCGCCACCACATTTCCAGAGGACACGGCGCAGAAGGTGTTGTCGGTGTTGCAGTTCACGCCACTGGCACCATTGGTGCATAGGCTACTGCGGGTGCTCCAGGAGTCGTCATAGACACTGGTATAGAACTTCCATTCAGTGGAGAAACAGTCTGCGGCGTTTACCGCAAGAGGGAGGCTAGCAGCGAAGCCGAGAAGGCTGATCTTGAGGTTGGAAAGATGAAGCATGTTGGATAGTGAGAAGTCGAAAATGGTCGATATGGAAATTGCGTGAGCAGAAAAGAAGACTTGATGAAAATGTTGATTGAGAGGTAACTCAGAAAGATGATTGTTATTGAATAGCAACTAGTAGCGAAGAGCTTTTCTCACAAGGTAACCTACCTATCTACTTATACAGATGATTCTATTGCCCATATCGTATGGCCTCCTTGTAAAAATAGATCTAGTCTCACGACCTCGAGGCTGCAAGGGTCTAGCTGTCCAGGTCCTAAAAGAACGAGGATGAATCGTAGGGTGCTATAAGATGAAGCTATAGTACCCTTGTCCGGAGGATCCTACTGAACCATCAGCGTCAGCAGTCTTAATAAGGGTATCCATATCACGTACACCACTTATTTTTAGGACCGGACCAACCATACCCGGTTATTCTAAATGCGCAGCTCTCTATATGTCTAAAAAGTTCAAGGGGTCCTGAACGAGATTGACAATATATCAGACACTCAACTATATATAAGCTGGATCACAGAACGGCGATAATCATGTATTCCTTCGACATACTTCATTTTCATCTTCATCTTCAGCACTCATACCATTATTACCTACGAACTCCTTCCATCCCTTCACAGATTTATCAAATCCTCTATCTATAAGAATTGCTAGTATCGGACAAAACCCCAAGTCAACATGCATCTTGCCAGCTTCGCCAGCCTCCTCGCCATCAGCGCGAACGTCGTTCTCACGAACGCAGACGCTACCAACCCTTCCGTCAGCCTCGCGCGAGCGGATAACCCTGCTGTGCCTCTGCTCAGGTCCGGGTTCAGCGAGAGGCGTGCCGCCATGATGGATCTGCAACCTCGTGCCGGCATCCAAGACCAATGCAACGCAGCGACGGGGTTCTTCTCGACGGCGCGGTGCGTTCTCCGCCGAGGCGTCATCAAGGCGGGTCCGGCCGTCTCTTACGGAACGCAGACGCTGAATCAAGTCGTCACGGACATATGGCGGAAGATAACCACTACCACGGCCACGTCCGGGATGTTGACGTCAAGCGAGTACGAGAACGGCAACCTGTATATCTACGCCACCACTGGCTACCCCGGCGCGCCCGGCACTTGTAGCTGGCCTTCGCTCAACCAAGGAGTCCCCACGTACGACCTGTACGTGGCCCTCATGCAGGCGGTATTGGATGCGCAATCGAACGGTGGCGTTAATCGGTACTACTTAACTTCAGCTACGGGGGAGATATACGCTAGCCTGATGGTAAAGGCGTCGTAGTAATCTGAAGAGCGATAAGGATACATTGGAAATATGAAGTTGTGTTCGCGCGTTAGGAGAGGGTGGTAGAGTCCGAAGTTAGTTACAGTTGTATGAATAGAACGTGGTGAAGTGTTAGTGCATGGGGGACGGTTCTCTTTTTTATATATAAACTTTCTTGTAGGTTGAATAAAAATATCATAAACCAAGACCTGGCTTTAAACAATATATACTTTCCTAAGTGGGTATAATGTTCTACTGGATGTCAATGTTGAATACGGCAGTTGTTTCTCATGCGCTAAGGTCAACCCCTAACCACCGAAAGAGAAAATGCACCGCTATTGTAGACTTCGTCTTCCTTTTCTTCGCCTTTTCTCTTCCCCGCCTACGCACATTTCCGCCTTAACGTTTTTAAGGAATTAGTCTCATAGGTTAGTAAAGGCTACAATAGTGACGAGAACGGAATCGTTGTTCTTGCAACTCCGAGATCGGAGAAACAATGACGTCGGGAAACTTAGAGGCTCAGTGGGACGGGATATTAGTTTTTGAAGACTTATATCAATCTATAAACGAAATCATTACGTTAGGTAGTGACCAGGTTATATACGCAAAGAACATGCGGAACTCTGCATTAGACCGCGTATTGGATACCCGAACCGAGATCGTGCTAACGTCCAAGCCGCGCCAATAAAAAGCCCACACCTCCGTGACTCCGTGCAAGGTCAGCAGCGAATCTCTTCTATGCAAAGTCTATCTGCAACGCTCACCCTGCCATGCATTGAAAAATAGCACGCCGCCGTATAATCGGCCATTATGACCAGACGTCCTCCTATAATATCTATTAGCATCGATGTTTCTAAAATACTGACGACGCGGGGAAGCAAATAGAGGATTGCTAGTCGTAAATGGACCGTAGAGTGGGTTGGTTTAAGGGGCGTGTTAGTGTAGCTTACCTGGTATTGGTTAGAGGCTCTCATGTTCTTGACGATCTCCTCTGCTTTCGTCTCTGGGATGCCACGCTTTTCCGCAATAATCTGCGCCAAGACGGTGTTGACTTCTCGAGCCATGTTTGCTGCGTCACCGCAAACGTAGAGGTACGCCTTCTTCTCGAGCAGCTCGTTGACTTCTTCAGCTCTCTCCTTGAGTCTATGTTGTACATAAACCTTCTTAGGACCCTCTCGGGAGAATGCAGTAATCATCTCAAACTTGTCACCGAGAGCTTTCTTGTAGTCCTGCTAGATTGTGAGCCGTGATCTAAAGTAGTGTGGGTGTTATACATACCTCCCATTCCGATTCGTACATAAAATCCTCGTTCCGCTTTCGGCAGCCAAAGAAAAGTAGCGTACGACCGACGTTCTCACCAGACTCGGCCAGTTTTGCTCGTTCCTGGACGAATCCACGGAATGGGGCCACACCGGTACCAGGGCCAATGAGAATAATGGGTTTAGACGGGTCAGAAGGAAGCTTGAAGTTCGAGTGGCGCACATGTACAGGTACGTGGATACCGTCATATTTGTTCCTTGGGCCGTGAAGTTCGTAGGTGAGTCCAAATGGTTCGGGGTTAGAATCGCCGTTTTGCTTCTGCTTGAGGGCAAGTAGGTAGTTCGTAGCCACACCCTTGAAAGGATCGGCACGCCCGGGTATCAACTGGTTCTCAACGACGGCGGTAATGGAAATCTTCTTGGGCTGAACCAACGAAGAGGACGAGATCGAATAGTAACGAGGCTGAAGCTTGGTGAGGCCCTCAATGAATGCCGAGAAGGGAACATTGGTCCATTTCTGTCCGTTACTGACAAGACCCAGGGTCCTGGAGATGTTGTAGTGATTCTTGCTAACCTTGTCCTGGAAGTAATCCTTGTCATTGCCGAGTCTAGTCATTTCTGCCTTGGTAGCCTCATCGGGAGCGAATGCAGCCAGCGTGCCTAGGAATTGACGAGATACGGGAGCGCCAATCTCAAGATGGTACCGGATAATAGCATCATAGGTGGTAGGGGTAGGGAACGGCACCTTAGCCGTGGGTTCGAGAGCCTTGACGCTAATTACAGTATCCCTCTTATCTTCTAGTCCCAGAATGCCAAGGAGGAGGTCAACTTCATGTCCGGCGTTCGTCGGCCAAATTGCGATGTGATCACCAGTCTGGTAGGTCAGGTTAGAGCCGCTGATATCCACTTCCATGTGAAGGCAGTTTCTATCCTTAACAGAGAACAATTCCTTGGAATCGACAATGGGGGCAATGTACGGGTTGTGGGCGTTGAAGGGGCCTTTGGCAGTTCCTTCGAGATGCATCTTGTTGGGTTCGCCTAGGTACACTTCGGGAGAATCCTTAGTGAGGCCTTCACGCTCAGTAATACCGAAAATAGGCTCGTAGACGGCTTCACGCTCCTCGAGACCCATCTTCTCCGCGAGTGCAGCCCACATAGGGTCTTTCCAAGCCAAGAAATCTTCTTCCATAGTACCCGCACCGTCATCGCCTTCTCCAGCCTCGCCGATCCTCTTAGCACCTAGCTTCTCTAGAGCCTTGTTGACATTGCGAACCATTGAGTTGTAGTGTTCGTAGGTGTTGTTTCCTAGACCGAAAGCGACATAGTTGAGGTTTTGGAGAGGAGCCTCCGAGCTTTCCGAGAAAGCCGGGTCTTCGCCAGTAATGAATTCGTAGAAGTCAACAGCATTGTCGGTAGGCTCGCCCTCGCCATACGTAGCAAGGACGAACATAACAACCTTGTCGGAAGGGATCGCGTCGAGATTGTCAAAGTCATAGTCTTCGAGATCGGCTACCATAGTTTCCAACCCAAATCGGCTCTTACCCTCCTTTGCTAACCTCGAAGCATAGTCCTCAGCGGTACCGGTCTGAGAGCCGTAGAATATGACGCAGTTCTTTCCGGACTCCTCCATTTTCTCCAGGATATTTCTCGTCTTTCCGGCCTTGGCGCCGTTTGTGTTGGCGAAGGCATTGGCATATGGGTCCTTGGTAATGCCCCAAACTTTGCCTTTAGTAAAGTAGGCGACGGTGCCTACCAGGATGGCGGCGAGGACAATTATGTCCAGAGTGTCAAGTTGAGCCATCTTGACAGGCTTGATTGGGTGATCTTAGAGTCGTTTCCGGGACTTTGACACGGCAGGAGGGTACGTCAAGCAAGATAAATCGGATCAATAGGACATTTGGGAAGTTTCTGTATTGTTAGGCTGTCCTACGTTGTAAGACGATAACTAACGATAGCTGGTAGCTACTGGTACGAAGCTCTCTAAAGGAAAGGCGCTGCGACGCTGCAACGTGTCTTCGCCGCGTAGTCGGCTGAGGAAAGGAAGGGCAAAGTTGGGGAACTCCTTTGAAATTTCTCAGCTAGGAAAAAGACGAGAAAAAAGACCGCGCGAGATCTACAACGTAGCCGCACATCCAAGAATAAATACTAGGTAGAGAATGACCCTGGTAATGGAAGCAGACAAAATGGGAGCAGAGTGGGATGATAGATTTATGATTACGGTAAGAGGAAAAGAGAAGGAAACGTAGGCCTTACTTAGGAAATGTTGCGTGGCGTGGATTTGGGATTGTGAGTGTCTAAGCTTGCAGATGGGGCGTGGGTTGGAGAAGAATCGGAGGGAAATTCTGGTGATGGTGGTGGATTAGGTACATCAACGAATGGGATCTGGATACATATACAAGTATTGAAAGATGCTTTTTCAAGATAAGCATAAGCTTTGCGACCTTTTATAAAGGATCTGGGTACATTGGATGAAGCTGATTAACGCTGCTGTCATGCATGTATCTTAGTCTGTCAGATAATGTACTATCTCTTAACGAAGATAATCTGTGTTACCTACTTGGACCCTCCGAAATTAGCATTGAAAGTACCTTCTACCTAGTAGGTATAGAGAAAGGTAGAAGCGCCTGCTCCCGCCGCACCCTTGAGCCACAAAACGTAGAATTACTAGGTACCTACTAGGTAGGTGCTAGGTAGGTGCTAGTTGGTAAATTGTTTCCTAGTTACATAATAAAGTTGTCGCGCCCACATGCACATGTGTGTCCTGATTCTAGACCTTGTAAATACATCATAATATGCAGCATATGCATCAATCTGGACTTTTCATCCTTCTCCATCACAAGCATTTTTGATTGCCGTGATGGCATCGGGTTGGAGAAAGCGGGATACCGCAACGCGAACTACCTAGCGACTGAAGGACCGTCCGAGGACCCGACAACTAAATCAGCTGGATGTGCGCCGGCTGCCGTCTCGTCCACTTAGCATCGGGAAGATCCAATAGGACGTCGCATGTGCCACAGTTTTCCAAGCACGGCAATTCGTGACTTGCAGCTAAAAAAGATGTGCTCTAGCCTTCTCCGGTATTCTATCCTATGCACCTATGCACAACTTGGAACCTAGCACCCTTTTTCATCGGCTAGTCTCTCACCCGAAGAAAGGCTTCGAATTCGGCATATATCGAAGTATACTAACCGGATCATTTCACCTAAGCAGCTCCGAGTAAAGATCGTCTCTTTCTTATTCGTATATTCGTATCCATATACTTACCTGTTAGCCTACCTTATACATGAGGGCGGGATTAATAGGTCTTTATCGCCTTCATCGATCTTTTTGTTGAGAAGTCGTTGGAATGTCCGTCGAATACCCGTCTCACTCTCTCGTTCGATCTTTTCATAAATTTGGTAATCGTTCGCCTGTTTTATATGTAAGCCCTAACGAGGTAGCTTGCATAGACGGATCGCATTCGTCGACGGAGATTCGTAGGATTAATTACTCAGCTCCTTAGCACTTCCGAGAGGAATAAGCCAGATTGATAAGGTATACCTTTACAAGGACCTACATGGATGGTATAGCAAGGTACCTACGGTGGCACATTTCGAGACCAAGCAGTTCGTACGAGGCCGGACAAGTGTGTTTCAATGTCGCCGTACTTGCTCCGTGATGCCGGCTCGGCGGCCTAATTAACAACCCGGAGTCTCCGAATTTATGCGGAATCTCTATATAATCCAATCTCATTAAATACATGCTTTCGATGCCTATCAACCCAGGAACATATCCAATAGTACATATTCGACACGAAGAAGCAATTTTCAGTTGCATCGATGTCTCAGATACCTATTAAGGGTTTCTAGGGCTGCCTCTTGCACGGACCGGCGTGTTATTTTTTTATGCCCTACCTAATTCCAGAATTTAGACAATATCGACGTGTCAAGAAATATCCATATTAAAAAGAGGATGCGGCTGCGGCTGAGTTGATTCAACAGAGAGCGCTGAATCTCAGTTGGGGTTTGTGCGGTCGTCCTTATTGGCTATAGGCAAAGAATTCCTAGAAGACAAGATGAAAAACAATATGATCCGATTAGACCTGGCGGATAATCGACGACTTATGTCAAACCTGTGCTTGCCATTGGGCCACTCCTGGTTAAGCGAAATGGATAATAGTCACAGCGGTCGTCTTGTCGGCCGCCTCTCGCATGGACGATCCTGTTGACGATTGTCCGATTGTCCGGAACTGCCGGCTACGACATGTTCCCGAGATCTTGTTCGGATGGCCCCGATCCAGTCGCATAAAACCGCACAAGATATCTATACAAAAGGGAATTCTCAGCACTTCTGATGATTCAAGGTTGGCAGTGTTGGGTAGATGCGCAGGCTGGCAGGGATAATCCAAAGGGAAAAGGTTGAATCCATCCAGGATAGCACCGTATGTTTGGTATGCGCTTTAAGAGCCCGTCCGCCACGTGGGAAAACTGGCTTTTACTGGCACAGCGGCTGGTAACAGTGTACAGTACGTAAAATGCTTGGCGGCGTTACAGCACTTCGACCTCCCGCTAGTGAGCCGTAATAGGATATGGCCCTTGCAGAAATACCCTTGCCCTGCATAAGGGACAAGCTAAAAGGGCTGTGATTGACCTGGACCAGGCGGTGGGACTCCAGCAAAATGGATACAGTACACACAGTGTCAGCTGCTAATTGGCGATAGAATGACGGAAGAGCAAAAGAAGAAAAACACTCCAAGAGTTGTCTGGCCATGCTAGCTCCACGCAGAAACGAAGAAGGACGAGTGCCAGCCAGTGAGACGACTTAGTCAATAGGCAGTAAGGCATTGTTGGATCAAATTGCATCGATTTTATAGATTCCTATTCGTATTATGCAGTGACAAGCCGCATGAGATATTTCTACATCACATTTTTCCTGAAGCTGTTTAGCTCGTCATAGCGCTACCTGTCCTAGTACTACTACTAGTACGGGAGACGTGAGAAATAGGGGACCTCGAGGCCTGGAGGGGAATACTTTTTGGAGGAGAAGGAGGGAAAAAAAAGACAGAAGAGAAAAAGAAGCAATAAAAGACGGGGAGTTATCGTGGCCTCCGAAATACCACCAACATAACCCCGTCAAGGTCCAGGCCCCTTCTTTATTTATTCAATTGTCATCGTCGAATCCCCAGGCCCACTAGACAAATCGTCATTAGGGGGTCTGTGAAGCCCGCCGTATCTTACCGTACCGGAATATCATGGGCATCGAAGCTCAACGATGGGTGAGTGCCTAAAACTTCCGCGCCTCCTCCTCTTCGGAATGTCAGCTGCAGTCTACACAGCACGCATACCTGTCGCTTGATAAATGTGCCCACTTTTGGGTTGTGTTTCAGAGTCTCACAAGAGGGAGGGGGTCTAGCATTTCAACCTTTTCCCCTGCGCCCTGATGTTCTCGCCCAGGTCTGCCTCACCTTTACTGACAACGTTGTCGCACCACTTAGCTCCGTCCCAGACGCTGCCAGACCATTTCCACGATCCTTCCTTAAAGTTTTCCCCGCGATCTGCCCCGCGACTTAATACCCACGACGGTAACGGCGACGATGATGGTGATAATGGCGGGTGGGATAATACTCTTAGACCTATAGCCCACGACCCTTCTACCTCCCGCGTCATTGCGCACTCGCGCGAGTCCTCCCTCGAGAAGCTTCAGTCTGGTTCACTAGCCGGAATCCCTGAATCCCCCCAATCCACTTCGGCTTCCTCCACGATCAACTCCCCCGGCTTACGTTCAGCCGCATCGCGTCCAAGCCCCGGTGGCATATTCGAACGTCTCGCCGATCCGAAGGCGGCGGCCTACGGACACCATCGTCAGACTTCTATTGTTCATGGCATTCAACACTCGAGGAATGGGAGTCTCGCAAGTTCGTCTTCGAGTCCTCTTAGTCCGCAGATGATAGCGGCGGCCGGTGCTGGACTTTTGCCGGATCGTCCAGACTTGTCCACGATGAACCGCTTAGATTCAGAATTGTCAACGCCATCCTCTATGGCCTCGATGGCTTCGATAGCCTCCCGGCCACTGACCGCCTTGTCGGGCACCACGGCCAACGCCTCTATCCATTCTACCGAAAAGGCAGAGTCTTTAACCATACGGTCTACCCAGGATAATAGCAGCAGCAGTGGTACTATCACGCAGAGAAAGGTCGAGCGTATGCATAGCAAAACCCGGCGCGACCATAATCACCACCATTCGCATTCGTCGAGACATCATAGGGATGAACCTAAAACAGTAGGCGAATATGCGATGCATGTATTGTTTACATCGGTTAGTAACAGCCCTGACGCCAGTATGGTAGAGATATATATATGCTAACCTAGACCAAGTTTATTGCTATGGCTGAGGATAAGCTCCAGGATTGTATCACGAAACTCTCCGATCCTGAGCCGTCTATCGAACAGATATGCGGCCCTGGAGCAGATCCAGCTTTTGACCGGTTTATTATTGCTCTCGGTCATATTGCAAGTCAAAAACCGAGGCCATTGATCGATTCTATTATGCTTTGGCGAAAGCATAAAAGTGAGGCTGCTAATGAGGCACGTGGTAATTTGCACCAGATGAGATCCAATCTACCTACCGCTTCTCTGGTGAGGCGAAATACGGAGCCATTACAGCTCCTCACTGGCAACCCAGGTGATACGGCATCCAATGGAACGCATACTCTTGAAGATAAGCAGAATGAGGCAGCTAATGCTGAACGTCGCTCTATCGTATCCATTTATATCCTATGCCGAGTTCTTTTGGAAGTTATTAGCCAGAGCAGCCTCAGCTCTATAACCCCCGAGATGGAAGACAAGCTCGAGGCTATCATATTTGGCCAGCTTAAGATCGCTGACATAGAACAGCTATACGTATCCCCACTCAAGCTGGCTAATTGGAACCTGTTCGCCCAACTGCTTGGAGCCATGAGTGTAATCAACTTTTCCAGTGTTGCAGATCGATTTATTGCCGACCTTAGTCGTTCACTCTCGGACCTCACTGTTAGAAGTCCGACGACCCCAGTTAGGGATCCGGAGGGACAAGTGGAGTTGGTGCTGGGAGGTATGAAGCACCTACATATCAAAATTGACACCGACGAAAGCTGGGACCAGGCGTGCGGCTTCTTGGTGTCCCTGGGTAAGCTGTTTGCTCAATCTCACGGCCAAAAAGTGAAATCTGCGTTTTGCCAGATATTGGATACGCTGCTTCTTCCCATTGCTGCCAAAGCTACCAACAAACACTTCTCCTACCTGAAGTGGTCGGAAGTGCTAAGCAATATAAGCCCTCGCCTAGCGACGATGTTTGTAAAACCGCGCCATTGGTTGGCTGCGTTCCCATTGACGGCAACGATGCTTTGTGTGTCGTCCCCAGAGAATCTCAGTAACCAATGGCTCCAGCTGGTTCGTACGGTCCAACCAAGACTCAAAGATCGTGCCATGCGTCCTCTATGCTTGCAAGTCATCTCAAGGCTTCTATGGGCCTACCTATACCGAACTAATGAATCCACGGCTGTGGCTACTCGGAAACTAGATGAGGTGTTACAGCTTGTCTTGCCTAGCTCTAAACGTACTTTTTCGGCTGCAGACACGGCATCTACTGGACCCTTGATACAAATCATTAGAATCATTGGTTATAAATACCCGGACTATTGCTGCACAAATATCATCTTCCCCTTAATTAATGCCGAACTTTTCAATCTGAACAAAGAGCTGAAGGTCGATCAACTTGAACCGGATAGGATGGTTATTGGAATCAGGGCATTCCTTGCAATCATGACGGATCTAGAAAAGGGTGAACTTGGACGACCTCCATTTCCGCAGCATTATCCCCCCATTCCCACCTCCGATCGGGTTCCTCCAAGCTCACCAGCATCGACTTCAGCTTCTAGTGTGATTCCCTCAAGTCCACTCTTACCTGACCGTGATGAATCTTTGTCACGGCCTGTGCAATTAGGCGCTTTAAGCGATGTTGCGAAAGCCAACTATAAAAAATTCTCAGAAATCCTTGGTAAAATTACGATCATCTGCGATAACGCGTTCGGAGGCCAAGCTGCGCTCGATGAGAAGTTCAGCAGTCCGGGAGGAGGCCCGAAGACCCCCATTGCTGAGACGTTTAACTTCTCACGACGCGATGACCATCCAAGCCCTGCCGACCAGAAACAGGCTTTCTACGAACTTCTTCATGTTGCTGTACAGGCATTGCCCCGTTGTCTACCTGCTGATATACAATTTAATTCCCTCATCAACCTCCTCTGTACAGGAACTGCGCATGTTCAATCTAATATCGCTGAATCATCTGCCCAATCTCTCAAATCCATTGCTCGACAGTCATATGCCCACCAAGTTACTGTTGGATTTGCTAGATTTATCTTCAACTTTGATGATCGTTATTCTACAATGTCTGATGGTGGGATGCTAGGACCTGGTCATATTGAATCTACTCTACGACTTTACGTCGAATTATTACAGATATGGAGGGACGAGATACGACGAAAGACTAAAGATGCTGCATCTGATCCTACGGATCTAAACGGTGCTGATAAACGAGGTATGAAATTAGACTTGTCTAGCATCTGGGCAGAGGTCGAACATGTTGAAGCTCGCGGTCTATTCTTCCTGTGCTCACAATCACGAAGAGTACGGCATTTTGCGATCACGGTTCTTCGATTGATCGTCGAATTCGATAATGCCCTGGGCAAGAATAGCGAAGAAGAGAAGGATACCGTCCGCCTCATTGATATCTTAGAAAATGATTCTGTACAAGTGATGAATTTCAAAGACGAACATCTATCCATAGCAGAGCGAAGCCGACTGCAAAGGGGTATGCAGAACAGCAACAACAAAGGGGCTCTGATAGAGCTTTGCACCAGCGACGTCTCCTATGATACGACCCTCTGGTTCAAGATTTTCCCTAATTTCATACGGATTGCCTACGATCGATGCCCTTTTACTGTGACTATCGGTCGCGATTTGGTGTGCAACCGAATTCTACAGATGTATAAGGGCATCGTAGTTCTGTCAGAGCCGACCCGAGGCCTCTACTATGGAGCTGAGCCTAATAGCGCTCGATATACGGGAAGAACGCCGACTACGCAACCCGACGTGCTCATTGAACAGTGGAAGTTGTATCTGGCTTTCGCCTGCACAACTTTAACCGACTCGGGGACGGCTATGAATGGTGCTTCACAGGGAAGCCAACATGCACGAAAGGGGTCTAAGTCTGCTGACAAGATTGTGTCGGCGAGAACACTCTTCAAATTCTTAATACCGTTGCTATTCGCTTCTTCGCGCTCTGTCCGAGAGGCCGTCGTGCTTGCTATGGGCTCCATCAATATTAACATATATCGAACGCTGCTCGAAGAATTACAAGGGCACGTTTCCCGATGCAACGAAGAAGCCCGTGCCCGAATACATCAGCGAACCAGCAGCGGTCCACGAAGGAATCCAAAGATGGATACACTAAGAGCAGAGCTCACCCATGTGTACAAGCTGACGTGCCACTTTCTAAAAGAACCCGAGATCTACCAAGACGATTGGATCCTCAGTAACCTCTGTACTTATACCAAAGATATTAAGCTCTTCTTAATGGATGGCGAGGTTCAGATGGATTGGGAGTTCCAGAAACTAAGACAACACTACTGCGGCCTGGTCGAAGGGCTCTTTGACGGCATTAACCGTACGAAAGACCCGTCCCGTTGGATGACGTTCGAGTCGCGGAAGTCTTCCTTCACCCTGATGGAGGACTGGTGCGGGTTCTCACCCAATCAGATGCAGATCCGCGCAAGGGAAGACACGATGCGACAGTCTCTGATCGACAAGAAATCACTGGGTGAACGTGGTCCTATCTCGGCCGGCATGGAAATAGAGAAGAGAAACCTGAAGACGGCAGCTCTGAGCGCTATGGCGGCTCTTTGTGCCGGCCCAGTCAGTGTGACAACCGAAAGCGGCGCTACCCTCCACTTCGATATGAGACGGATGCTTAACTGGGTGGACTCGATCTTTAGCTCTGGGAGCGATCGAGTCAACGTTATTGGGAGAAGAGCACTGAAGAACCTGATTGTTTACAACCAAGACCACCCATATCTCCTAGAGCATTGTATTGCACGATGCTACATAACAGAAGTGCCGAAGGTGCTGGAAAGCTATTTCACGGTCATCACTGAAGTGCTACGAGAGCATATCGATTACCCGTCACCCTTCTGGAAGCTATTAGGACTGTGTCTGTTCACTCTTGGAAGTGACCAGAGCGACATCCGATCCAAATCCGCACACGTTCTCGAAGCGCTGGAGGAGAGACAGCAAGCGGCACAGAACTCCAAGATATCGGATTTTGAGATCAGCATCGCGGACAAGACCAAGGCAGTCTACAAGCTGGCCCAATTCGAGATTTCGAAACGGCTGGCCAAGCAGCATCCGGAGCTCGCCTTCCACGTCTTCTCCGAAGTGACGCTCTACTTCAAGAGCCTGCCCTCGGCCGCGCAACGGAATGTCGTCGCCGTCATCTTGCCCTGGATCCAGACGATCGAGTTGAAAGTCGACCCGAACGGCGGGCCTACGGCGCAATCTTACGTGCTCCTCGCCAATCTGCTCGAAGTCACCATCAAGTCCAGCGCGGCGCTGCATAACGAAGTACAGGCGCTCTGGCAAGCCCTCGCAACTGGACCGCATCCCGGAAATGTTCGGCTCGTGCTTGATTTCATAATCTCCCTCTGCTTAGAACGAAGAGAGCAAAACTTCGTCGAGTATGCCAAGCAGATCGTCGTGTTCCTGTCAAGCACGCCTAGCACGCCCGGTATCAAGGTAGTTGAATTTCTGCTCATGCAGATCACCCCAAAGGCAATGGTCCCCAACGAGAAGAGAGAGGTTGTCCAGTCGCCCCCCGACATTAGCCAGCTGCAGTTACCTTACTGTGCTGATCTGTCAGAGGCCTTGCCCGTCGGTACGAAGCAGGCCGGTTTTTCCCTGGGACAATTATCTCTGATCCTCCTAGTCGACTTGATGGTGTCTCCGGTGCAGCTGGATCGTAACAATCTAATTGTCTTGTTGCAAGTCGTCACCGTGCTTTGGGATCACTACACCCCTCTCGTCCAAGAACAAGCTCGCGAGATGTTGGTACATTTGATCCACGAGCTAGTCGTCTCCAAGATGGATGATGGCACTCCCCTAGAGACGAAGAAGTCCGTTGAGGACGTCGTCGATGCAATTCGACGCCACGATCGTGCGGTAGTCTGGAGCTACGAAGAGAGTAATGGGAAAGTGGACGGCCGCGACAACAAGGTCCCACGAAGTATGGAGCATCTCACCGCGGAAGTTGTCAAGACTTTTGAAGTTACCTTCCCGGGAATCAAAGAAGAATGGAGCCGTCTCTCGCTCACTTGGGCAACATCTTGTCCGGTTAGGCACCTAGCGTGCCGCTCGTTTCAAATATTCCGTTGCATTCTTACCTCGCTCGACCAGTTCATGTTGGGCGATATGCTTGCAAGATTGTCCAACACCATCGCTGATGAAGATACCGAAATTCAGACATTTTCCATGGAAATCTTGACTACCCTGAAAACGCTCATTTCGAAACTCGAACCTGAGAAACTCACGTCCTTCCCTCAGTTATTCTGGACGATGTGTTCATGTTTAGATTCGATTAACGAGGTCGAGTTCCTCGAAGCGGTCGAGATGCTTAACGAATACTTGGAGAAACTCGATTTTCACTCACCGAGCGTTCGACGAGCCCTTATGGACGGCCAGCCTCCAAGATGGGAAGGCACATTTGAAGGTGTCCAGCCATTACTCGCCAAGGGCCTTAGGTCGTCCATCTGTCTTCAGCCTACTCTGGATACCCTAGACAAGCTTGTTCAGCTACCGAGTGGCAGGCTTATTGGAAACGACAATAGACTCTTTTTCTCTATTCTTGCAAATTTCCCTCGCTTCTTGCAAGCCATGGAGCAAGACGTTGTCGACAATGGAACCCTACACAGTGCAGAAATCCTCTTCTCTGTCGCCGATGCTCAAGGAATGGCATCCATCTGTGCTGCTTTAGGAGGATTCGTCGATTCGATATATCGTTCGAGTAGGGATTTTATGACCCAGTTGCTTGCCGCACTTCGCGAATACTTCCTGCCGCAGCTCGACTTCAGCCTGCTAACGACATTGATGGGTTACCTGACAAATAGCTTGCCCTGGATGAAGATCATGACCATGCGACTCCTCTGCGTCGTCATTCCGGAAATCGAAATGCGCAAGCCCGAGATTGCCAGCCACGGCTCCGACTTGATCTCCCCGCTCTTCAGATTACTCCAGACCGAGTACTGCATGGAAGCACTGGAGGTACTCGACAACATCATGACTATGTCTGGAACTCCGATGGATAAACATTATGTCCGGATGAGTATGACTAGCGCGGCGTCTAAGGACAGGAAAGATTACGAGACCACTCAGAGTCTATTTGGCATTCCGGAAGAGTCCGGCTGGTCGATTCCGATCCCGGCGAAGAAGACGGAGCTCACACGAGCTAATATTCATGCCGCGTTCTACATGTGTCAGGCAAACCCGGAGAATGGTACACCTACAAACCCGACACCAACTGAAGAAGTCGAGTTTCATGAGGACAACTACCGTTACGGCTATTTCGACATGCCGGATCGAACCGAAACCATGATGTCAGACGATGCTCAGGGCGAGGGTCAGATCGCCGACTTAGTGACGAAGCTCGATAGCCTCGACGATTTCTTTGACGACATGTCGCAAACCTCACCTAGCGAAGGCCGCTCATCCAGAACCGTGACCGAATTCGGACCCGACAGCTATGAGTCCGGCGCGCGGCTCTACGATGACGTCCTCCCCATCCTACACCAGGCTTCGACCAACACCTCATTTCAAAACGGCTTCGTCGATCGAGTCCCTATGACCAAGGAAGGCAAGCCTAACACCATGAACCCGGGGGCCTTCAACCTCAACCTCAACCCCGCGGCGCTGGCTAGACCGGGGCTGCACTCGCGCTCGATCACCTCCCCGTCCGCACCCGCATCATGGACGCCGCCTCATCTCAGCGAGCTAACATCAGACGACGAATTGACCGAGGACGTGTTCTCGGATGGCGACGACGACAGGCCGGCCAACGGAGCCCCCGAGAGCTCGTTCTTCCTGGAGAATATGATAAAGCCGATCGCGAATACAACCAGGACGCACATGCGCCGGCTGACTGGGGGCGGAAGGTCGAGAGACCACGCTGAGAAGCAGAGGGAGCTGTTCCGTGCGAGGCAACAGCAGACTTCACCGCAGGTGCCGAAGGTGCCGAACTCGTTCTTGCAGCATAAGGCTAGCCCATCGACGGGTGAAATGCTGTGAGGGTGGATTCTGATGTGAGATGAGGTGTGATGGGGTGTAGGGACGGAGGATGGAAGATATGAATGGGATTTACGAGTCAGACCTAGATGGGATGTAAACGAGGGGACGAGGGATGACAGTATGTGAGCACGCGAGCACGTTAACTAATCTAAGGACACCGAGATGCATGATATGATATGATATGGTATTTGTGGGTTATACCTGATGAGTAATGCAGCGGTAAGCATAGAAAGAGGAAGAGAAGCGGTAGGATATATCTTATTGGATCTTAAGATGTACGAGGGGATTGTCCTCGCGAGCGATGTATACCATGTGTAGAATAGAGTATCTATTCTGGGCCCTTGATGAGCCTAAAAATACCGGTCAATATGAAACGCATTGATTTGCCGGATACACGGAGGCTATTGTTACATGAATGTGAAATGTTGAGATATTTGTAGTTTGCACATTTGTAACGAAAAAGGGGTTCAGGGGACATCAGGTTAAAGAGCGGGAGACCTAAAGTTCAACTGCCAAGGGTACGATGGTGGGGCTAGAAGCAGGGGCGTGAACCTTAACGCGACGTTTTACGGGCCTCCAGGTCCCGCCTCGCCGCGGAAATTCGTCAGAGCCTATTCCAGGCGCTAAACTTAGTCTGTCTTGTGGGGGAGCGGTCAATTTTGGCAATTCAAGATATTTTTCTTGACAAGCTTCAATCTTCTGAGATGCGACGTTCTCGAAAAAAGGGCGGGTCAGCGACTTTTCGTGATATTTGCGAAAGGAAAATACGTTCGCCGATAGCGCAGTAACCCAAATTGACGAGACTAATCCGAGTCCAAAATACCACTGTCGCCCAACTCGGCGCGTTTCCATTGCATGTTATCGGTGGATTGATGATGCCGTAGTTAAGCTCGGTCCAGGACAAAACAAGAAAAATGGTGAAGCGCAAGTCTTACGGGGGCGAAGGCGGACATTCAGGGAAGAAACAAAAGACTGCTCACATACATGAACCGCCAACTTCCGAAGAGGTCTATAACGGAAGACAGCTTCGTCAGCTGCTGTCTTTCCAGCAAGACCTTCGACAAGCTCGACATGGTACGTCGTCATCATTTCACAGTGAATCTATCTTTCGTCGCACAATACTAACAAATGCGGTTCATAGGCCTCCAGTCCTTTAAGAACCTCCTCGATAGTATCGTCAACGGCGAAGACACCGATTCCGAGAAACAGCAAATATTACTCGAATTTCTAGAATCGGTAAAGCCTAGAGAAAGGGAGGATGAAGTCCCGGTGTACCTACCTGATATAATGGAGACATGGGGCATGGCTGTCCAGTTGAATAATGAGAATGTCATGTCTGCCGTTGCTGTCGTACTCGCGCTTCTTCTCAAAATCTTATCTGGGAACGTAGACCATGTCTCGTACGGCTTGGGAATATGCCGAACCCTACTCCAAAAAAGACAGCAAGAACTCATCGCCAAAAATCTTTCAGCCGACAATGGCAAAGATTTTATAATATCGCCCACGTTAAGGCTTCTCAGGGAAGCCGTGAGCTTAGATGGTGGTGCCCTTGCGGCGCCAATTTTCAGAGCCAGAAACAATACATTCAAATCACTTGCTAGGAATATGGGACTTCGATATTTGGGAGAAGGCGTGGAAGACCCTAAACGACCGTCCGTTAGAACTAATGCGATTCACTTTCTACTGAGCAGCCTGAAGCTGCTCCATGTCGAAGCGAAGCGGGACCTGTTATCACAGAAGGACATTGTCGCCGCTCTCATGAGACATATCAGAAAGGATCCTCCCTCGTTGATCTACGAAATACTAAATACTCTAAGATCATCCGTCATCCTGGACAAAAAGCTACCAAAGGAGATCAAGATTAGGATCCTAAATGCTTACTCACTTATCAGGATAGCAGAACTTTATGGATACCCCGAAGATACTACAGAGCACGAGAACGAATTGGACGGTGAACGACCGTCAGTTGAAGATTCGGCCCATGCGTTTTTACTCGCTGCTTGTACCGATTCCGATGCTGGTATCCGTCGGTTAGAACACGGTTATTATCCCGATGGTGTAGATCCTAATGCCACACCGTCAAGTGTCAATGACGATCAGCCTGTGGACTTCGGCATCGATAGTATCCCTTGGATGAGCAAATTTGAAAACGATGTACCTGTGCGTAACACATTACTGGCGGAATTCATCCAGACATTGCGGCCGTGGTCTAGCACAAAGCAGAATGACCTCCTGGTAGCAATTTTCGAGAAATCGCCGGAATTAATCGCCCATTATTTCTGCCATCGGAAATCATTCACATTCGATCCAAAGCTCACCGCGACATGGATTGGATATGCTGCACTGTTATACAATACTGTTCAACTCCCAATTCCGTCATGGTTTGGACATGCCAAGGGTTATGCAACAGTTCCGCCTCCTACTTCTGTAGTGCTTGGAAACATAATCCCGCTACCCATGACGCAGAAAGCGATCACACGATGTTTCTCAATTCAATCTAAACTTACTTCTTTTTATGTCATTCGCCTCTTAACTCTGTCGATACAAAAACTAGGGCGAGCTCTAGAGATGTACCGAGAAGCGTCATCGTCATCCGAATCTCTCTGGGAAGAAGCGTCTCGTCGACTTCTTGATGAGTTTTACCAAAGGATACCCGATATGAAGGATGTCATCAAATGCTATTTAGCAATGGATCAAAATGATCTACTTCAACGACAAGCTGCGAGTCATCTACTGTTACTTTATTACGAAATAATTCCCCAGTTCGCATTGAAGGCTAAATTTGATGTCTCGCCAATACTTCTGTCTATGATTAAAAAGGTCGAAACTTCCGAAGCAACGGGAGAAGATATGGTTATGTCTTTGTTAGAACTCGAGAACTTGTGTGCAGTTGCGAAATACTCCCCAAGCATGCGGTGGTTCGCTCGAGCTTCCAATATGTCTCACTCTCCCTTTACGACTCTCCTAAGGCTGTCAGTCGAGAAGACAACTGGGCTATCTAATGAAAGTTTAGGAAATGTTTTATATTGGGTAGCTAGCGAGCATCAGTTGGTTGAGAGCAGGTCAAATTTCCAGGGCCTGTATCCCCTGATAGCAGCATTAAGAAGTCTCGAAAATGTCGATTCAGCGATCTGGACATTCCTAGACAACTGTGCTGAGCGCTGTGCTAGGACACCAGTCAAATACCTTGAAATGATCGAAGAGCAGCTTGAGAAAGCTAAGGTCACGGAAGACAAGGACATTATCACTTGTCCTCTCATGATGACAATTACAGAGCAACTCCCATACTTAATATCGTCGCCGCCTAGCAAAGCCATACTTAAATCATTGGTTCAGCTGCTTTCAGAATTTCTTGGCCATTCACTTGCCGCCGGTGTGAATAAACGATTCCTGAAGGCCACTAAGGAACTTTTGGCCGCTAGTCTTGGCGACCAGAAGAAAGTTGGAGCGAAGCTGCGCATCCTAGAGAGGGAAAAGTCTACACCCGAAACACAAGACGACTCTCACCAAAATGGTGCCGCAGTTATTAATGGGCTGGTGAATGGTGTTGTCAATGGGGCGGACGACGATTCAAACCATGAACTTAGCCCGCAGGACCTGGAACAAAGGCTTTCGGTTCCTATCGCAGTGGCCAAGGATAGTTCCTTATCGAGATGGGCATCAAAAACATCCGAAGAACTCGTAGAGGAGGGATATGCGGCGTCATTAATACGCTTGCTTTCCTCTGAGCATACTAGTATTCGGAAAGAAGCTCTGACTAATATCATTAAGGTGGCTGCGAAGGTTAAGGATTCGACATATGAAAATAGTGAGCAAGTGTGGCTCTTACTTATGGAACTTGCGGAATCGGCTCGTGGTTCGATCGCTGATAGTCCTCTGCCGAGCGTAATCGTCACCTTCGCTTGCAAAGCTCTCGAAGTCCTAAGCAACCCTCTACATTGTCTCTACGAGAAGGTCAATCTGTTCCTTACTAGCGGACCAGTGTGGTCTCTAGATAGGATACCTCTTCTACAAAGCATTCTCCAGGAGGGCCCAACCGAAGATGGCGCATTCTACTCCGAAGTCAGCTGGCTTTTAGGCTTTCTCCTCGACAGCTTACAAACACCTGCGGATGTCGCGTTATTCCACCAACGCAAAGTCTTCGAAAGGTTGTTTGCCTTGACCTGCAATCCCTTCATGGGTCCTAATCTCAGGACCCAAATTCTGCGGATTGTCTATAGAACGACAACAATCGAAGGGGGAAGCGATACCCTGATCACAAGGTTCGGGGCCGTGAGCTGGGTATTAGCGCAGAGGGATGCCACTATGGACGCTGACGAACGTGCAATATACCAGGCGTTGTTGGGGAGATTATGGGATACATGTGACCAAAAACGTATTTCGGAGTGGAGTAAGGGCGGCGTTGAGAGGCTCGTAACATAGGCAGTGATAGTGTGTACCAAGCCTTTCCTGAATATTCAACAGCATGATTTGCCTAGCTGCTGTTTATAAGTTTCGACTTGTGGTTTGCATATAAATGAACGGTTACATAATGAAGGCCTGCTGTCACGTTTCTACGCACGTGAAATAAAGGCCTCAGGCCGCTTAAAATGGCGACGTTGAAGAAATGTTCGACTCCGATACGATTACATAATCATTTAAATGGCCAATTAGACCGATTTAGGCATCAAGGCTGGGGTGTCGACCCACTCAGGTCGCACGCTAAATTGGTGGTCGCTGCTTAATCCATGGTACAGTAAGGGGGCCAGGACGACCAGCTTAAAATGCCTTAAATGCCTTAAAATGCAGTCATTAAGTACCTTGTGCCTACCCCATGAGGAAAAGGCACAGGCCACTCGACATTTCCCACATGCAGTTCCTTCGTATCTTTAAACTTCCAGAACCCGAAGCGTTGCCTACTCAAGAAAAACATTTGGACAAAATGTTTTGACATTGACCTACCACTTTCACACATTAACGTCACGCCTTCTTCTGTCCAGCCGTACCGACAGTACTTTAACAAATACAACACCTACATACACTAAAATTTATTTCTGCATCAAACCAGACCCCGTAACAACCATTTACCACTTACCACCTACCACATTTAACGGTTTTATTTATAGTTCTTGACTCTGGTCTTCGGTCTTCGATAAGTCGTTGAGAGATTGGTATCACAGCCGCTTCCACTTCAGGTCGTCGCCTTCCATCCTGAAGTGGCTCGCATCATTCACATCATCATCGTATTTCCACCGGTCGCCTTTCCAATTGATCCTTCCTGTCGGACGATTTTAATCACCATTCCCAAGCCAAATCGGCTTTGGCGATATAACAACTGTGACCCTAGACCTGGAATTCCCTGAGCCCGACACATCTCACCACCAAAAATCCTCCTATCGCCCTCCACCTTTCCACCCTTTCACCCCGCACACGCCAGGTGTTTCTCCAAAAAGAATAATAAAACAATCCAAGCAACCTCGTCCATTCAAGTTCACCCAAACCCGAATCGCCGTGTTTCGTACCACTCGACTACAACTACGACTACGACTACGTGCGCGTAGACCACGGACTTAGTCCATTATAAATCTATATCACTCAAATTTAGACAACTTGTCATATCAGATGCTATGGCAATACGATATTCAGTAGACGCGTTAGTTTTCCTGCGCGAGTCGCCGTTATGTACCAAACCAAGCACACTTCCTCCTGCGGAAGAGTGGATGGGGTACGTTGAATCCGATAGCAATGGGATTGAGTTTACATCTTATGCTGACTGATCCTGTAGACCACCTCCCGAAACCTTTCGCAATAGCCAAGGCAATAAGCCTGGAGGAGAACGAGGTAGAAACAATGACAACTTTCTGTTGGACCAATCTAACCGACGACTAGGGGTCGATCGACATGCTTCGCGGAATGCTGGTAGTATGTCCACGCACCCTTCTCCCTCCACTTTCTCTAACATGAACCTAGATGCCGAGGATATTATCCTTGGGCCACCACGAACGACATTCTCGTCGGCAACGCTCTCGAGAGCTAACAAACCTTTCGACAGTGAGAAGAATCCAAAGGAAGCTGATACCCGAGATCGGTTTGCTTTCCGTTCTAGGAACGGCGACGCTGACAACTCGGATCGTTTCCGTGAGCGAGATCGCGAGGGCAGGAACAACTTTCGCCGCCGCGGCGATGCTGACCAAGACAGCGAGGGCTGGAGCACGGTGAAGCCCCGTAAGAGTTTCGGGCACGAAGGTGCTGAACGGTTCCATGGCCGCATGGGTGACCGCACCGACCGCTTCGGAGGAGATCGTCGACCACGCGACCAGGACGATCGCGACAACAGTGATCGACCTCGTCGAGCTTTTGGCGAATTCAGTAAAGACAAGGAAGGGGACGAAATCGAGAAGCCTCGTAGAAATGGGGTGAATAGAAACAGAGCGGAGCAACCTTGGATGAGAGACAACGGCAATAACGGTAATGGCGATGCCTCTGGGCCTCGAGGCTTTGATCGATTCAAAAGTTGGAGGGAGAGGAATGATGATCATCAAAGCGACCTACATCAAGATAAGCCAAGAGAGAGAACTTTTGATCGAAAATGGGATCGAGATCGGGATCATCGTCAAGAGCGTGAACCCGAATGGCTCGATGAACCTGCCGAGGAGCCGGCTCAAGCTCATACGCAAGAAGATTTCAAGAAGTTCATGGAAAGTATGAAGGCAGGAAAGAATCCAGCTAAGGCTGAGCCTGCCTCTAGTTCGGCCGCCGAAGCATCTACAGCACCGGAGAAAGTTGAGAACGAGAAGGTGAAAGTTAAATCAGCGCCGGCTATTGAGATAGGACCAGACAAGTTCTTTGCCGCATTTGGTCAGAGCACAAGCATTGAGACGCCTGGAAATGTTGGCGAAGCAACCAAGGAGAATGCTGTTCCTGTTATTAAGCCCAAGTCGGGATCCAGGTTTCAGAAGCTTTTCTCATCACAAGAAGAGTCAAAACGTCAGGTCGAACCCCCAACTCCTGCTGCTAGTGCACCCCCACCAAGCGAGATGAATCCTCTCTTAGCTATGACCGGGGCACACCCACAGAATGACACAGCCGAGAAGGTTGCTTTCCAAGCACTACTTCAGAAACTTCAGAAGCAGACGCTACAGGCTACCACCCCACCATCCAGCGGGTTTGCAGAGCCTCCCCCGAACCACGCGATTGCCTCGCCCGGCCCCTATCAGCCTTATATACAAGAGCGTCGTGAGGAGCCGCTCATTCGTGGTCCTCCACAGGGTCAGGAAATTCCTACCCCTAGACAGCACCTAAACCCGCAATATGCCGGGATGCGCTCGGAGCAGCAGGTGCTACAAGATCTTATTGGACAACGTCATCTTAGCCAGAGTCAGAACGCAGGGCGCTCTGATCAACCGTCAAGGAACAGCAACAGTAATGCCGAGTTCCTCATGACTCTCATGCAAAGCGCCCGCGCAGCTCCCGAGGGCCGGGGAACTGAGCAGCTTGCTATGAGAATGCCGCAACCCTCTAGGCCAGCGCAGATTCTTCCAACACCCGATCGAGATTTGGACTATCATGAGCGCGCCATCTCGCAACACCAGGTCGGTCGCTCTACCAACCTACCCAGCTTCTTTGACGAGGCCCAGTTGCATCACCGCGAACAAGACAGTCGCCCACAACAGCCCACCCAGATCCTTCAACGTCAGCCCCCTCCTGGCTTGGATCAGATACACCCAAGCGCTTGGATGCAAAACAGCGGACAGCAGATGCCACCCCCTGGGCGACCTATGATCCCCCCTCCAGGTTTGGCAGGGAACCCGCGCAACGGTCCCATTCCGGGAGGCTTCCCTCCCGGAAACTTCCCTATTGGTGGATTTCCTCCGGATGGAATAGCTGGTCCGCCGCGCAACATGGCTCCACCTCCTGGCTTTTTTGGTGGACCGCCGCCGCCAGGATTCATACCTCCTGGAATCCCTGGGTTCCAGGGACCGGAGAATGTAGCATTTGGTTTCGACCACCGCGGTATGCCTCCTCCGCCCGGTGCTTTCCGCCGAAACTAGGAACTAGGACTTCTCTGAGGATAGTAATGTCGGTCAACCAACGCTGAATAATAAACATTATCCTGTACCAACCCTCTCGCATGTGAACTCGGATGAAACGTCTCGTTACACCTTGAATATCTCCTCCCCCAATGGTGACTATTGCTTGAACGTAAGGAAGGGGCGCTTACTTGTACTGGTAAAGTTGTGAATGTAAGGATTGAGGGTCAAGGAGCAGAGAAAGGCAGGAATGGGTTCGATTCCTTTTTTGTACTTGAGAAAAGGGGGACCTATAGGCACCGTTTGTATGATTGTAATATCCTCCTTTTGCCTCGCTACCAAGTCAAAACCGATACATCGGAGACGAGAAGTAACCCTGTTAATTACCGTGTTTTGGGTCTTTGGGTCCTTCGACGTGGTCGTAGTGACATGGCATTACAGGTATACCGGGCCAGTCCGTTTTGTATGATTTCCAATAAGGACGTAGTTGGACGAAAATATACGGAGCGCGTTTTGCTGCCGGGGAAATGGATACCGTACTCGCTCATTTTCTCTTCTGCCTCCCATCTTCCTGACCTCCGCATCCTTTTCCGTTGTGTAAATCGTATACGGCTTGAAATTTGGTTTGGTTTGTGAGTTACTAGCTAGTTACGTAGGCAGGTATTCTGCTTGAATTATAATTTGGCGGCGCAGGATTTTTGACATCCTGGACCTCCGGACTATCTCCCAGCGTGTACCGGACTTCGGGCGAAGGGATGATGACGGATCTAGCATGATGAACAAAAATATCTCGCTTGTAGGGCTTGAAAGCATTGTGCTTACCCGTATTATGTTTCTAGAAGTTAGTAGTAGCAGTCATCGTATCTAATTATCATACGGTTCATGGAGACCAAGTCAAGAACGCATACGATATTATTTAGATCTTATATGCCATTACTTATGATAGCCAGTTTGCGGGATACGTAGGTATGTGTTTACATATTATGAAATATGACCAGAGCATTCATTATAGGCGGCATATTGGTTCGTTGGCTAGTATTAGCTATCGAGTTAGATGCATGGGTTTATACCTAACTACTCTGGGCACCTAGGGGTAGTCAGTTAGGTCTCGCTCGATTCATAACAGTCTCGAAGGTGATCTAACCCCCTTACTCCTTTCCATCCAGAATTACGCAACCACATCTCAACTCAACGCTCGGTCTCTCGACATGACTATCAACAAGAAGGCCAACTCCTCAACGCCATGCTCTAGTTTACCTTGGGTAATATGCACGCGCCAACCCTCTTTATCCGGAATCTAATTTGATCTGGTCTGTCTCCAAGCGCGCGATCGGGCCGTAGCCAAGAACCAAGAAACGGCACACACAATTCTCTATCTGTTTTGGCGGGCGCCTCTCATTGTATATCTGCGGAACGAGGACCGCCCCTTTCTTAATCGACGTGAATCCGGTTCGCCCACTCAACTATCCCTTCTTCATGCCGAAGATGTTGCGTTTCTTCTTCTCCTTTTCTAGCTTATGGGGTTTCCCACTGCTTGACGATGTCATATCACTCGCGTTCGACGGCCTGGAGGAGTGAAGTGACATGGTACTCATCGCTTGCGTAGGTAAAGTGGAAGGTTCGCTGTTTAATCTCGGACCTCCTGGCAATCCGCCGGGTCCGGGTGGTCGTCCTGGTACTTTCTGAGCACCTCCGGGTGGGGGACGTTGCCCCGGCGGTCCTGGCGGAGCTCCCATTGGTGGAGGAGTAGGCCGTTCGCGTTCGAATAGGTGTGCGGGCGCTCTTGGGGGTGGTCTCTCCATTGGTATATCAAGTCTCCTCTTATCCACGCTTAGGTCACCTACTTGCCGTACAAATAGCTGCGGCGTTAACATATGGCTAGTAGCTAAAAAGACATCACGGTTCATAGCCGCGCCGACCTCATAGCACGAGCGTGATTCAGAGAATGTCGCCCCGCCAGCCATAAATACGATGATCCGTTGCCTGTTATCTACGACACGCCTCCCAGCGCCGGCCCAGCTAGGTTTTGCCGCTCTCAAGGAACCCTGACCAATGAGCGCATCCTCATTAGGATCTAGCGGTGGCTTGATATAGGGAAACGCGGTCTGATCTAAGGCGCCTCTGCATAAGTACTCCAGCATAGTCTTCACAGCAGGGTTAAACCGTGACATATAATTATCCTCAGCGACAGGTGTTTTGGTGTCGATAGGAAATAGGAGTCGAATATCCTTACGGACATCCTTGAGACCATGTGTCGTACGACCACCAAGTAGTTCCATATTTGTTATGATCTCTCCGTCTTGCGGCGGCAACGATGCGTGCGCTAACAGTCTCTTGACATCCTCAGGTATTACTCCATCGCGAAAGAGGAGATATATTATAATGAGACGAAGGCGGTCTGACTGGGTCACCGCGTCGTCATCCAGAAGGCGAACAACTGTATCCAGGACATTTTTGGGTTTCCGATTGTCCTCATCAAGGCCCGTAGCCATATCTTGCTCTATAGGTGACATCTCGTTCAGTTTGTGATGTTGAAAGATGTTCATACACTCTTGTGCCATCGTGAGATGGAGAGAATAGGCATCTTTCATTTCCTGGAACTGTGGCAGTCCCGCCATCATATCTTTGATCGCATTTAAGCTAGTGGTGTCGCTGTTTGCGTTGGTAAAGTGCGGGTTTTCGTCCAAGAACCTCTGGAAGTCGCCCATCAATTTATCGATGGTATCCTTCATATGCCTATGTCGATTTTCTACCCATACTTTATCCTTGTCGGTGAGCTCCATATCCTTCTCTTCAGCATCTGGAGATCCCTCATTGACGGTCATGTGAAATGTCGTCTTGTCCCCGTCCTTAATTGGCAGTAGGTCATGCGCCATTGCTTGATACGTAAACTCGTGTATCAAGGGAGCCATAAGATCCATAGACCTATCGGTCACTATAAGAACTCCTTGCGGACGAGAACTCGGCGGTGGGAAATTGGGATTCCATTGCGCATATTCGTCCAACTCCTCAGATATAAACCGGGCAAGGTGGGACGATAGCACGCTGGCCTCGTGAATTGGATTCTGGGGTCGGTAATAACGAACCTTGGGATATTCGCCGAGGGCCACGCACAACCCAGTAATCTGTCATTCTTTCAGTCAACCAAAAGGCGCAAGAAGTAAGATCGCGTCTTTCTACAAACCTTCTGAGCTAAGTCTTGCATGTGTTTTCGTATCAGCCCATTACAGGAAGGGTGGTATAAAATCGGAAAACTCCAGGGATCTCTGAACGTGACGAGATGCGATTCGCGGGGGAAGAAGTCGATGGACAGAGTCTCGAAGCCGGCAATGGCCTGCTTTGCTAGAGCAGAGCCGTCTATCCGCCTCCTTAGCTGGGGATCGAGCACGGTGGTCCATACTAAGAAGGTCCTCTGATACCTTCGACGTTCGATATCGGCCATAAGACAGTCGACAATATGCGGTTGCGGCGACAGGATATAAATAGCGTCCATGGTCGGGTTCATCTCCCTGCGATCTTCGATGCTTTCGATGTCTGTAACACCCCCTTCAGCCAATGCGCCAGAAGCAGAACGTGGTCGGGCAACGTACTCGCAATGTTATGATTGAGAATATCATCTTCCTTGACGACATTGTCAATAATTCTCTTGGAATCATGGTCGACAACTAGAATTTTCCACTATTTGTATATGCCTTGTCAGTATAAGGATCTGGACGACGAGACAACCTAAGTAATATAATAATAACAATAATTGCATAATTGGGTGTAACTCACATCACCGGCAGTGATATTCTTAACAGTGTTTATGATAACTATGCGCAGGTAAGAATCCACGGTGTTAGCAAGACGTGCAACGAGTTGGATCTTGCTGACCAGAAGGTGGAATATGGGGAGGTCTCACTGTCGCGTTGCTCTTCGATCACGGATACCCCCATCTTGGCTATTAGCCCGAGGGCACTATCTAGCCCTTAGAGGTAGGAGGTTATTTAGACGGGGGTTACCTAGGTAGAACAGACGTATGGTGGTGGTGGTGTTGGTGAAGATGGACACTATGCAAGCTACCTGGAGGCAAGCTCCTATAAGTACCTAAGGCTAGCTAAAGACCGGTGTAATGCACCAATGCTGCTGGCAGTTGCTTGCTCGTAGTACCTAGGAAGCTATAACAAGCTATCAGGTGCACCAGTAGGAGAAGACAGCGGGTTTCGCAAGCGGTGAGTGGTGGATGTTGACCGTTTGGGATGTTGAAAAGGTTGATTAACGCATTAGAACTGATAACTGACAACGAGTGAAGGTGGAGGGAGGATTGAGTTTCAATGCGAAGGGGCTACAAGAATGTGATAATGTGGTACTTCCTCCTTGGCGGGGTCGATATGCACTAAATGGCTGGTCGTCAGCGGTTGGGTTTCAGGGAACTAATCCACTAATGCGACCAAGTTTTGGACGCTAAAAGACAGAAGCTTCCCCACCTTCCCACTTCGTCATTCTTAGTCAAGGGACAAGTAAGGTTAACTGCTGCTGCTGTCTCTGACTTCAATCTAAGCAACTTTGTATTTAAGGTTACCTAGTATGCTGTAGTGGAATGGATATTACATATAATATCCATATCGACTATCGTAACGTGGAAAGGAATACAAGAAAAGGTAACCACCTACCTAGGTAGTACCTATTTTTATACACTCACGCTTTGTTTTTCGATATACGCGTGGCTGTATCATTTGGAAACAAATGCTAGTCTATAAAAAAGGGGTATCTCAATGCGACAAGTCGCTCTCAAAATGGCATACGTTACAGTTACAATAAGACAACCGTTGAATCTTTGCCCTGTCAGCCTGTTCCCAAATATTTCTCCACATCAGGGTTGCCATAGAATTGTCTTCGGAGCTTCTCATGCCGTTTCTTATCCTCCAACGCCATCTTCCGTATCTTTTTAGCGTCGAAAGTCTTCGGCTTCTCTTTTTTGGCTGGTAGATTCTTTGGTACCTGCACACCTATTCCTAAGGTATCGTTCTTCGGCTTCACTTTAATGGGATATTGCATGCCTTGTTGCTCAACACCTAGTCCCTTTCGAGAGTCTGGATCCCAGCCTTGTGATTGGAGGACGCTCAGACCCATTCGCGAGCGGTCTAGTGCCGAAGGTGGATGGGAATGAGCCATGCATACTTGATGAGCTATTGATGCTTCGTGCGGTCGGGATTCTGCTTTTAATTTTTCGCTAGACTTGGGATCCTCATCTAGCGGTAACTGACAGATTTCACAGATCTGAGATGTGGTGGCGTCCGAGTCTTTTGTTGACGCAGTTTGACTAGGTTCCTTTTCCTTAGGCAATACTATGCTCAGATATAAATCAGACACGGATTGAGAAGAATTCCCAGGTGCATTATCTTCAGTGGTTTTTAAGTTACCCGAAGAAGCTGGAACGAAGACCACTCGCTTTCGTTTGAGTCCTGATCCAAAAGGTCGTTTGTCTTGAAGAGGGATGTCATATTCGGGATCGCTCCATTCCTCATGCGCCATTGCAGGAATCAACAAGTTCGTGTGTTCGAATTTAGGCGGGCTTGAAAATGGCAGTAAGACTGAATATGCCAAAGTGCTTATTTTTCTGGTGAGCTTGGAAAACTGAAGTGAGGAAGGGAAAGTTAAAAGCGATAAGAAAGGCTGATAGGCGCCAATGTGATGAGGCGAAAGTCGAGTGACAGGGATCTTTCTTAAAAGTGGAGATGTTTCCTTGGCGTTATCAGCCTTGCATTTCCGATCTTTCACCCCTGTCATTTTCTGTTAGCGCAAGAATTTCAGAGAGCTGTCGTCACAGCCCCCTGCCTTATAATTACAGTTTACGTAGCCCGTATTTTGTACTACGGGCCACGTCGGAGTGATGGAAGTATCAAGCAATTGAATTTTACTAATTCTTCTTTCGTTCACTTCATCTCATTCCACATCCTCGTTACTTTCGTTGACTTATTATGCCTATCCCATTACTTTGGGAGACATATGTAAATGGGCCCCCGGCGTGGGTGCCCGGCTGGGCGCGCGATCCATGGACGTTGTTCCAGATCGGAGCTGTTGCCGTATTCCTCATCGTTCTGAAGCGCTACTTCAGCGGCGCCAGAACTCTGACGGAACGTAATATGCACGGCCGGGTAGTTATGATAACCGGCGGAACATCAGGTATAGGCGCCGTCGTCGCTCGAGAACTAGCCGCACGAGGAGCCCAGATCGTACTCCTAACCCGATTGCCGCCGTCAAACCCTTTCCTCGCAGACTATATAGGGGAATTGCGCCAGCAAACAAAAAACCATATGATATATGCCGAACAAGTCGACCTCTCGTCTTTACATAGTATCCGTCAGTTTGCTACGAAGTGGATCGACAATGCACCACCGAGACGCTTAGACATGCTTATCCTATGCGCTGCTACGATTACACCTCCTGGAAAGAGCCGTACAGAGACGGAGGAAGGGATTGAAGAGATGTGGATGGTCAATTACCTCGCCAACTTCCATTTGTTGGGAATTTTAAGTCCGGCGCTCCGAGCCCAGCCTTTCGACCGCGACGTACGAGTAATTATTCCGACATGTTCTTCTTACATCCGGTCCCCATCACTTAACAATGAATTGGTGAAAAAGGAGTGGACTCCAGGGAAAGCTTATGCTAGAAGCAAGCTGGCTTTGATGGTATTCGGACAAGCCTTCCAGAAACATCTGGATGCGTATGAGCGACCAGATAAACTCCCAATGAACTCTCGAGTCGTCTTTGCCGACCCTGGTTTTACTCGCACTCCTGGAATGAGGCGGTGGTTGACCCGTGGCACGATCTGGGGCTTAATTGTGTATCTATCTTCTTACTTGGTACCATGGTTTTTCTTGAAGAGCCCGGAAATGGGTGCTCAATCTATTCTACACGCCGCAATGGACCCGGATCTAAGCAGAGGAACTGGCGGAAGATTCATTAAGGAATGTATGGAGGTCGACTTTGCCAGGATAGATATTAAGGATGAAGAGGTCGCAAAGAAGCTTTGGGAAGCAAGCGATAAGCTGATCGAAAAGACTGAAAAGGATCAGGCCGCACTGAGAGTCCTAGAGAAGAAGCGCCAAGAGGTGAAGGAGAAGGAGAAGCAGGAAAAAGAGAAAGCGGAGAAAATTGACGCCTTGATAGGTTCCATCAAGAAAGGAAAGGAGGCTGAGAAGAAAACTTCACGGCGGAAAGGGAAAAAGGCGGCATCATGAATGTACGAATAAATAGATGGGAAATAGATGGTATAATATTGACGATCCTCATCCTGGTTCCAACTCCCCTCCGGCATGGCACATAAAATGGCAAGGTAACAATAAAGCCTGAAGATAGAGTGCTTGAAATCTACATAAAGATCAAATCTATTATAGATGAGTCTCTAGTTCATTTATACTATTCTCTAGTTACCTACCTAGACATTTCTAGTCGCCAAAGTTATATACAACTATAGTATTTCAACATCCTGTAGAATTGCACGTTGATTTGAATCTTCCCAGCCACTATTGGTAGACGCCGAAACCGCTAACTTGTCTTTATACCCCTGACGTCCAAGGAAGCGTACCTAGTAGGCTGCATATCTGTACATATTGTCCTAATACGATAATGGTAAAAACATTGAGAATGGCTTGCTAAAAGATACCGAGATGTGGAGGACTTTACTTCATCCTTGCGACATCAAGTACATATTTCGGAATAGAAGCCGAATCTACACCCGTTTTTACCAAGGTCGTGGTAACACTTATCGGAATTCCCGATTAATATTTAGAGGCAAATTTTCTGGCTTATGAATTTGTTTGAAAATGATAGACATATTCTCTCATGAATCCAATAATTAACAGAGCATGATGTTACGGCACTCGATTTCGCAAATCTTTGGTGGAAAGCACCCTGCTTTATCTCCACGTGGGGATGACGACATTGGACCTCGGGTCAGTTCAGTCTCGAACTTAGTCGCATTCATCTATCTATTCCCACGTCTTTACTAACCTTAATTCCAGCCCAATCGACCGTCAAACCCTACCATTTCATTTTCAGTAGTTGGACAATTACATCAATTTCCCCATCACGATTTAACTCCACCACATTTTCAAGAATCCGCTCCCATGGCGGCCCCGGCAATCCAACCACCGCCGCGCGTCAGTCACATGCCATCTGCGCCGGCCCCTTTCTCTTCGGCGCCGACCATGATATCACCAGTAGTAACAAGAGATGCTTCGAATCTGCACCCGGTATTCTTTACGGAGAGGTTACGAAAGTCGCCATTCGTACTTGACGCCGTAGGACTGACTAGTCCTGTCGCGCATGGCTATGCTTATGAAGAAGCACGGAGGAGAGCCGGTGGAGCTATTCCAGCTTTGTTATGAGGAGTACTTTTGCGATGGAAAGTATGGAAACGGAGAGACTCATACGGCTGCCGAGTCAATCTTAAAGGGTGCATTATATTACCATAAGGCGATACACACAAGGATAAAAACCAACTTGGGACGATCTGTTTGAGGCTAGGAGTACAGGTTGTATGTACATGAGATATGAGCAGAAAGCCTTTAGATTCTCGGGTATCGCCGTCAACAAAAGGAACGGAAGGGGTCGCTATTCCCATAAACTCGATATCAGCTGAAGTTCCCCTAATTTACCCTATCCTACCTAGGAAAAAAACGCCTGTAGAAATACAATTCTGCCTCAACGTACGAGGCCTGTCGCTTTCTCTCGCGAATAAATATGTAATCCCGTAGCGCAAGTGCACCCTATCCGTCAAAAGAAAAGAGATGATTAATTTTGATTTGTTCTTTTTTACTTCGTCTTTCCGGCTCATCCCGTAGCGTTCTTAACCGCAATCACTATTGCGACCACGATCAAGACAAGCACTATGATAAGCAGCGCCATGAGCTTGACGTTCTTCCACCACATCTGCCGTTTGAGACCACGACTCCGAACCCTGAACTCGCGCGCGCTGCCGCCTAGGCGGTCCGTCTTATCAACAAGCAGATCGATGCGCTCGCCCCTCTCGAGAAGGCCCTCGATGTTGCGCGTCATGATGCCGCGGACGTCATCTATCTCGCGGTTGGCATTCGTGATGGCGTCGTCGCGGCCGCCGCTCGTGGTGCCGAACTCGACCATTAAATTCTTGAGCTCGGCGTTGAAGCTGCCGGCGCCGTAGTTCGGCATGTCCGCGAAGTCGGCGGATCCGGCATCGAACTCGTCAAAGAAGCGCTTCCGGATCTCGAACAGGAAGCCGAAGGGCACGCGGCGGCCCAGCGACGACTCCGCGATCACAAGGAAGGTGAGCCCACCGGCGGACGGGTTGCCCGGATGCGCCGACGACGCCTCCGAGATGTAGTGGATGTGGTGCTGGCCATGCGTGTACGTGAGCTTCTGCGGCGAGTCGTGGTCGATCTTGGGTAGGATCAGGGAGGCGAGCGACGAAGTCTTCGACGACGAGGACGTCGTGCACTCGGAGAGGATAGTGGTGTGGTGCGCGATGCACGAGCTGCCTGTTTGTTAGCCTACTCATTGGTTGTCCTTCGACGTAAGGCATTGTAGATCGAGACGCACTAGAGAAGTGGAGTTTGTGTCGATGAAGACGCCATCGCGGATGCTGTGCTAGGGCTCCTATCCTAGACCTAGAGAGGCTGATCGTTCGGACTTTTGAATTAAATATTTGATAGCTTAGGGGAACTTAGGGGGAAGGAATTGGAAAATTGATGGAGACAAATCTTGGAATAGAAAATGATTTGAGCAAAGTTTAAGTCAGCAGTTCCGGAGCGTTGGGTCTAAGCTGCCTTCTAGCCAAAGGTAATGACGACGGGAAAGCGCTCTATGATAGGCTGACCAATGAGAAATCAGGTTTCACAGTTACCTAGTCATTTCCATTAGGGAGGTACCTAGGCACCTATATGCTAGTACTCCGTGCGCAAAGTAGATGCAACACGGTATCCGTCACGCAAGCCACACAGATAACGGATAAACCGTGGGGTTGATAAGAAATTTTAAGAATTTAACTAGTCAAGTTCTTTTAATGCGTATCGATAACTGACATCGAACAAAATGTTGAAGTCGACGATTTCACATTTGCCTCCAGAGTTTTCATCTTGAAGGAATCAAGCGAAAGATCCTCAATTACAGGCCAATCTGGATGGGAGGGAATCAGTTCTAATATGATTCCTGAAATTCCCACACTCCATATGCGCCATGAGCCTCCTTTTCAGAATCGGATCGGCTAGATCAAGCTGCGCGCTTCTCTTATGTCGCAAACATGCTTTTTCAACTACAGCTAGAGCACCCAGGACGGGCGTAAGCATGCCACCATGTTACATATTCATTGATGTGCCTATTAACAAACATATAGGGAAAAGCATGGAAGAAGAGAAAAGAAGCTGAAGCTTCTGCCTACGGGGCCCTGTTTCCTTCGAAGGAAGAGGAGATGATACGGCATGTAGTGGGACGAAACACGAAGAAGACATACTCCATCTTCCGCGGTCTTATGCTTGGCAAATATGACCTGCTCATGAATACATCGCGGAGCTGGGCAGCGAGACAGAATGAGTATAAAGGATTCGGGCTCGTCTCCAAACTTGACTTGGACCGCGAGGTCAAGCTGTTCAGAAACTCTCTCGAAAAGGCTTGCGACTTGGCTGGCGAAAACCAAGCTATTTCGAAGAGCAACAACCCCCTATTCTGGGGTTTACGCAATGCCTTCATCGAAACTGATATGGACGGCCTCACCCAACACCTGGTATATAGCTTTCAAAATTTCCTCATGCGCTCGAGATTCCCCAAGACTATCATCGCCACTCATAAAAAAATTGCGGATTTCCGATATCCATATGAATGGTTTCCCGCTACAAGAGCCTTGCAGCGCACGATTCACCTACACGTCGGCCCAACAAACTCGGGGAAAACTTACAATGCCCTCAAAGCATTGGAGAATTCCAAGTCTGGTATTTACGCAGGACCGCTCAGGTTATTAGCACACGAAGTTTATTCTCGGTTCATGGCCAAAGGTAAGAAATGCGCCTTGGTAACCGGTGAAGAACAACGAATCCCAGAGGGCGAGGACAACTATTTCCGAAGCTGTACCGTCGAGATGACCCCTCTGAACCTTCCGGTGGACGTCGCGGTCATCGACGAGATCCAAATGATCGGGGACAGCGAGAGAGGATGGGCATGGACACAAGCGTTCCTTGGTGTGCAAGCTAAAGAGGTTCACCTCTGTGGAGAGGAGCGTACCGTGGATTTGATCCAATCCTTATGCGAAGTTATCGGCGATAAGTGCATTGTCACACGGTATAAGAGGTTAAACCCATTGGAAACCATGGAGAACAGCCTGGGATCACTCAAGAATCTTGAAAAGGGCGACGCCGTTGTCACCTTTTCGAGACTCAGCATACATCTATTAAAGAAGCAGATAGAAGAAGCTACTGGACGTCGGTGTGCTATGATCTACGGATCACTGCCACCGGAAACCCGTGCTCAGCAAGCCGCGCTCTTTAACGATCCTGACAGCGACTATGATTTTCTTGTCGCTAGCGACGCCATCGGCATGGGCCTCAACTTGGAAATAAGGCGAGTCGTTTTCGATCAGACACATAAACGCACCGTCGGCGGTTATCGGCAAATAACGACTTCCGAGATCAAACAGATAGGGGGCAGGGCTGGCCGATACAGAACAGCACGTCAGGCGGCCAACCCGGAGCCAGAATTGAGTCAGCCAATTACGGCTAGCCAACCCGGACTTGTAACAGCCTTCGAGGCTAGTGATCTCAAGGTCATCCAAGAGGCTTTTAGTAGCGAACCTGAACCTATACAGTCGGCTGGCATACAACCTCCGCCTTCTGTGATTGAGAGATTTTCATCCTACTTTCCTCCAAGGACACCATTTGGCTACATCTTATCCCGCCTACGAGACATCGCACAGACTTCTCCAAAGTTTCACCTTTGCCGGGTAAAGGAAATGTTGGCCATTTGCGACTTGATCCAGCCCTTTCATATGTCTGTCTATGATCGTTGCGTCTTCTTGAATGCGCCGGTTGCCCTACGAGAGAGAGCGGGATCTGCGGTTGTGCAAGCTTTCGGAAAATGTGTTGCCACGATGAGCGGCGGTGAACTTGCCGATATTAAAGCTGTTGACCTAGAACTACTCGACGTCGACGAGAGGCTGTTCAAGAGTAAGGACAACCAAAGCGAGTACTTGCAACGGTTAGAAGCCCTCCACAAACAGATCACGCTCTATCTCTGGCTTAGCTATCGGTATACCGGCGTGTTTCGTAGCCAGAATTTGGCCTTCTATGTCAAAGGGATCGTCGAGAAAAAAATCGATGACCACTTAGGCAAGGTCAACGTCACCGAGACCGAGCGCAAGGCGAGATTGGAAAGAATCCGGATGAAGGCCGAGAAGACGCGGCGTAAGAAGAAGGCGCTCGTTGACGGTGAAGTTCCAACCGACGGCCCCAAATTGCCTGGCGAGTGGAACGAGGAAGGGCATGAAGAACCCCTTTTCAACGGTCCTGATGAGGTAAAACCTATCGGTCGACTAGATCCAAATGCCATAGAAACGGAAAGCGGGCAGACTCATAAGCCTATACGCTTGATAGGAGTATAAGAAGTAGCATGATCAGGTATGTAAAAACAATGGTGTACCATATAGCCAACTAGAGAAAGAAAGGATTTTGTAAGATAAAACTGATTATTGTACAAGATCCATATACTCTAGTGTTAGGCCAGGATCCAATAGGATATGCCTAATGAATAGGTCAACCACTCCAAGAAATTGTAGTAAAAAGATTTCCCCCTGACTCCTTTTTGTAGAATTGACATTATATGGGAAGGTGCATGGAAGCTTCATTCTCCACCTGCATCACGCATCGCGCAAGGTGCCTAAGGAAGGAGACAGGCGTCAGGCATATATTTTATTTACAAGTTAGAGGCAAGCGTGAAGGGCTTGTCAATTTAGAAGAGGGCAAGGCAACTGCTTTGTAACAAATAACAAAATTCACCGTCGAAATCGGATACAAACGTAAATGGATCCCAAAACCAAAAATGGCCTATGCTGACTTAAAATCGTCTAGATGTTTGCATTTATCATTAGGCCTACTCGGCCTTCTTAGCCTCTACCAGACTTCCTATAAATCACAATATCAACAATGATTCTTTAATATCCTCATCCATCCCTATCTTTATTTTTAAGAATGCCGAAATACCATCATGGAGGACCGTTCGGAAGACATCAGTCCTTTCTCGGAATGGCCTCGTCGCAGGAGTACCACTAGTCGATGGAGACTTCGCAGCATCTCCGGCGTCGACGGACCAACAAGCAGGTTGCCCTCGTCGTCGGTGGCATCCGTAACGACTGCGAACCTGACCACTCGGCAATATACGAAGGAAACCTACAACAGCGCGCCCGTCTCCCCTAACACCTTCATCGACCCGCCACGACCGGCCAGAGATGGGTACGAGTGGGTCTGGTTCCCGGGAGGCTACTGGGCCGAACGCGAGATCATCGAAAGCCCTAGCAAGGTCATGAAGCATTTCAGGTGGCGCAAGCGCTCCGGCAAGAGCAGCTCCGGAAAAGACATGCAGGACGACTTACAGCACTCCCCAAACAGTAATGCGTGGGCTCAGATGCCCCAGCCCAGCCCCTTTCTCACCGAGGAAGCACACGTCCAGTCTCTTCAACGACCTACGTTGTCGCGCAAGGGCACCAGTAGCGAGAGCTGCGGGTCTATGTTCCCATTAAATCGAACGCTCGTACAGACGCCTCTAAGTAGCCCCTATCTGACCGAAGAGGCCCATGTCCAGTCACTCCAAAGATCGCCCTTACTATTTGGTTGCCATGGCTGTGACAGCGGTACATCCATCCCGAGACTGACTTCGAAGCCTATTCAGAGTTCGCCGCTCACGAGCGGTCACGGAGGTTCAGACTCCGCTACTCCCACCGGAACGCCTGTAGAGAAGCCGACAAGCACTGCAACAGCTTCCCTTTCTTCCATTATTCACATATCGACGACTAGCCAGGAGGGTAAGTCCAAAAAGTCGTTTATGGCGAGAATCCTCCCAGATCATAAACCGGTAAGTTAAGAACCCGAGCCTAATTCCGGCTTCCTCCTAATCGCCTACTCTCGGTAATCTTACTCCTGCCGGAACGCTAACGAGTATTTGCCGCCACTCATGTAGAGGTTCAAGAAGACGCCCGACGACGACGAAGATTTCAATTATAGCTACGTGAAGAGTAAGCTCATAAGCCATAGCCAAAGCCCGTCGGCCATGCGGCGCGTAACATCGCTGCTGCGGGAGGAAGGTAAAGATAAGAAAGGCCGAGGCGATTGGTCGCGCAAACTCTTCGGCAAGAGCCCCTGGCATCGCGAAGCCTCTGCTAGCTCCGAGGCTAGTGTCACAAGCTCCGTTTCGAGCTCCGTCCGCGACGTACTCCGCGGCCGGACGCCGTTTACTAGTCCGGTTTCCGAAATAGGTGCGTGTTTTATATAGGGTATATCGCTTCACTTCTCGCTCTACTTTCCTTTCGCTTCTCTACCCTTCTTCCTACCTTTATGGGGAGGAAACTAATTTAAAGTAAAAGGGGGTAGACGAAAGGGGAGTCGGGGTAAGAAGACTAGAAAAAGTCATGAGTAAATTAGGTTGACTAACATGATATTAAAGACCGGTTCAACTCTTTCAGCGCACAATTCCCAGGTGGTGTAAGTCTATCCCTTCTTGATTTATCTGCCTGATGCCTTTATCACAGACTCTACCATTCCGAAGATTTTACAACTAATCATCACAAATAGGAAGCAACGCGCATAAAGACGCCACCGATCCGCGAGAGCGGCCACCGCGCTGGTCGACCGCGCTCATTCTTCTTCGACATCTCGACGCCGCCGGCACGCGCTACCAGTTCAGGAAGCAGTGAAGAGCATATCGAACCCTACAACACCCCTTTACCTACTGCCATTATCGAGCGGGATGAACAAGACAAGGGTGAGCCAAGGAACGAAATGGAAAAGGAGAGGGGGAGGGAGAAGCGGGATCTAGGCGACAAAGAATGGTGGGAGGTGCCGGTAGCCGTGCCACGGTACGGGGAGATGGCGCCCAGTTCCTTCGAGTTTGATATGCCAGAACATCTACCCAGCAGTCCCATGTGCCCGGCCAACACGCGCCACAAGTCCGGTGGCACCGGGGTCTGCGTGTACCACGGCCGAAGGAAGAGGAGCGCCAAGGAGAGGACTACGAGCAGCGGCGAAGCCCTGGATAGAGACGTATGGGTAGAGGCAGAGAAGAAATAAAGCCAGTACTACAGACTACACTGTTTATATGCAATACGTCGTGACCATACCACTACCACAATGATTTCATAATGCCATATATGTATTGCTTGCTGCCTTTTTTTACAGTGGCGATGTTACATGCACCAGATAACCGAACCGAACCGACGGAGGAGAAAAAACAAAGAATCACGCATTCCGAACCAAATCAACCCAAACCCGTATCCCCAACTCCGTTATGTAGAAATCAGAACCACCTTTCATTCACACGTGACGCCACAGCCATTCCTCCCACGAGTAATCCCGGTCCCGGAGAGTCCGAGGCAGCCTGAAATCCCGAAGGTACAAGCTCGACACCAGTGACCGACGCCACGAGCGATTCACGGGCGGAGTCGTAGGCACGGCGTGTACGGGGACGGGGACCTGGTAGTGGTAATGGCAGTTGTAGTAGCGCGGCAGCAGCGGCGACGTCTAGTCCTGCGTCTGCACCTTGTGGTCGCCCTTCACGGCCTCGGCGTAGGTCGGGGGCGCGGGGTCGTGGTGGCCGTGGCTGGGACCGGCAGCAGACGGGGTGCCGTTGTTCGCGGTGCCGTAGTTGGCGTGCGAGGGCGAGTGCGGTTGTGGTTGTGGTTGTTGCGGGCTGGCTCGGGGCGGGCGCTCGGATTGCGGCGGCTGCGACACGAAGACGTAGGTCACCCGGCCGCCGGGCTCGGCGTCCTGCGGCGCGCCGGACTCGTACTCGTACAGTTCGGGGAATTTGGAGATGATGTACCACGAGTGGATCAGGCCGGGGAGCTGGGTTTGGGTTTGTTAGTTTTTGAGGGGGGCCGTTTGGTGGATGGGGGAGGAGACGTACGTAGCCGAGTACGCAGAGCAGGATGTTGATGATGGAGTCGGCGGAGCAGAGGCCGGTTTTTACCCAGACTGTAGTTTGTTTCACGTCAGTTAGTCAAGCGTTCTAGAGAGTATGAATGAATATATTGGGATGCTTTAACGGGGAACCCTAGGTCGTCGCGGTGCGATGTATCTTGCGGAGCTTCCTTGGCTACCGGCTGGCTGGGCACGCGATAACAAGGCAGACGAATAGCGGCGGGCGGGGGCAAATGGGCGATGGGCTATGGGGGAGATGGGTCATGACGTACCGGGCAGAGGTGGAAAGAGGATGGCCAGGAGGCCGAGGAATAGGTCTGCGGAACAACACATGGTCGAAGATCCTTTGCTCGTAAATGAAATAGTGGTCTATAGAAATAATCGCGGTTGTCGATAAATAGGTAGAAAAAGGATTGAAGTGAAGTCGAGGCAGAAGAGAAACGATGTATGAGTCGTAAGGTGAGCTGAGTATAGTCGTACCGCAGACAGTATGGCGTGAAACTTCATACATGCAGTTTTACCTTCCTTCTTAGAGGGTTCAGCTGCGCTAGGCTGCAGACGCTAATGCAAGCCCACACTGTGTTTTTCCTAATAAGTGGTAGCAGAGGTACCTCTCGTCTCCTCATTGTGGCGGTGCTGTACGGATTAGTGGCTTGCGAGCCTCCTTAACCCCTAACTCCTTAATAGTTATGAGGTTAACTTTACATAAACTTTTCTTGCGAGTTGTCATTAACGGATCACATAGGTAAGCGATACTTGCTTGAGTAGGCATTGGATTCGATACTTAAATTGATTGATGACTGGATCATCCATAGGTATAACATACTCATAAAAAATGATGCCAACGATTTAGGAATCAATACATCCATAGAAACGAGGAGCATTAATCAACAATCTCAATGGTAGGCGACGTAGTTCCCTCCCTGTTCTCCCCAAGGTCTTCCGTACTCTCAACAGTAGCTACCGCCGGGCCCGCTTCAAGGATTTGGGGCTCCTCGTCTTCGTGTGTGCGCGCTTTATCCTTCTGTTTCACATCTTCAACAGCTTCTTGAGCGTGGGTTTCCTTTTCTTCATTTGTCTGTTCATTGTCAGCTTTGTGGCTCTGACCCTGAGGTTCCAGGCCCTTGTTCTCAATATCGTCAACAGTGGCCCGGTCATGTTCCTTATATCCTTCCTCCTTCACCTCTAGCTTCTCATTAACTGTAAATGGATGGCTACTTTCAGATTCTTTGGTAAACACAACTGCCTTTCCCCTGCGCTGGTGTTTCTCACGCTCTGTGTCCGCGTTGCGCCTCTCTGCCGATATGATCTTCGGGGAGGATCCGAACATCCGTATATTCGGGCGCTTATTTTGAAGATACTCTATTAACTCCGACTTGTCTAGCGTGTCTAGCTGCTTGACTTCTTCGCCTTGGCCAGACACAGCACTTTGCTTATATCTACTTTGGCTTATGGGACTATTCGGTTTTGTCGACTGGTTACTCGAGATTGCTATCCCAGACCCTTCTTTAGACTGATCAAAAATACTCGTGGTGGCACGGGATGTTGATAAGGGTGATTCCCCCGGAGCCAAACCTGGGCCACCTTTCCGAGACCGAGGGAGGAAACTTACAGAGCGCCGCTCTCCATGGGAAGCTGCCGTTGGTCTCTTTGCTGGACTCGTTTTCGGAGCGTACGTTTTGGTCATCCAATCTTCGCTTTCATAGGAATCATCAACCCATTCATCTTCCTCGGATGATTTAGGGCTCGAAATTCGACGGGTTGGATGGAGTCTAGTCAATTCCATGCCTTTTCCATCCTTTTTCTGCCCCAAGTCATCATTTTCTTTAGTCGTTGGGTGTTTTTTGTCCTCGCTTGGGCCACAATACACAACCTCCGGTTCTTCTCTCGTACCTTGTCTCTCCTGTCTTTGTCTGTTAAACCGTGATTCAAGCTTAGGCGATGGTGAACGGTGCATGAGTCGACCAACACGCCCTTGGATGGTTGGAAACTTTTTATCAATTTTTACTCGGAATGCCCATGGAAGATCTTGGTAATCCTCGTCAGCTCCCTCTAGGGCTTGTTGAGCCGCTGGCCCTTCGCCTTCTAGGCAGTACTGCAACATATTGAGTATCCACGAATCCAGCATGGATATAGAATCAGAGAAGTGGGGGATGTCGAAAAGTCTGGAGATGTCCAGCTTCAAGTCTTGCTTTAAGTCATCGGTATTGGATATCAAGTATTTTGATACCAACGTTTTCGAATAGCCGCAAACATCCCCTTGAGTAAGACTTTGTAGATTGCAAAGTTCTTCGAATTCTTCATCTGGGTTTGCAGACAATAAAATAAGTCTTTGCAAGGCTATAACTTCGGTTTGGTAGTCGCCAAGTTCTTTTGAGATTTTCCTTGCCAACCTGACAGGACGTTCAAACCTGGGTGCTGCACTATTCACCTTCCAACCCGGATTCTCACCTTGCAAGGGTACGTATTGAGGCAATTGAAGCCTTCTCGAATGGAATACCAGACCCGGCCATGACTGAAGCTGTTCCCCATATGAGCGGGCGTAATGGGGACCTTTAACATCAATAGATTGGGCCTTTGCCAACATCCATCTCATGAATGACCGACTTTTCATATTTTCGGGGTCGTTTTCTATGATCGAAAGTGCAAGTGGTTCAGATTGTCTCATTATGGTCTCAAGGCTGTCATCAGCTCCCGTTGAGTGTTCGAGTTCGTAGACTATTTGAGATACAAGAATATCGAGAAGCGCAAGCGTTGTCGATGTATCAGTAGTCATTCTTGACCAATCTTTAATGAATTTACGGGTGTTTCCCCAATATTCGGTGGCACCGACACGTGAGGAAATGCCCGCTACGGCAATATCACGAAGATCCCATACGCGGCCATCCCGGAGGAGGGCTACATATAACCCTTCATGAAATTCCGGCGGAAATACTTCCTGAAGGCGCTGGGGTATTGCAGAATCGTCTATGAAACTACACAGGCGATAAAACAGAGCAAGTATTTTGACCTGGGTAATTAGCAAAAGTACACGATGTCAGGGGATAGAAAGTAGACTTACCTCAGTCGAAGTTATACTTCCTTTGTTGGCGGTTACCACGGCGTGAAATTCATCGACAGCTGCTTCAATAACTTCGCGTTTCGTCGAAAATACACGGGGTCTATCAGGCTTATAGTGAACAGAGAGCACCTTTATCAGTTTCCAATATATCGTAAGCAGTCGTCTATCATCACCGTCCACAAGGCTGTCACATGCATGACACATGGTGCCATCATCTATCTCAGACAGAGTATTATAATCGCCTTGTTCCAGCAACAATTCGGCATATCCAATCAGAACTTGGGGTCTTTCCATGTGCTCGCGTAGATTTTCAGTAAAGAATTCTCTGGCAGAGGTAAAATGGCCTAGCCTCTGAAGACGGCAGAACTCTTCAAGGCTTTCGTCAAGATCTTCCTGAGCGGATAATGCTAGATGAACGGTAAGATCATTGGCATGACACGAATCCCAAACGCCATTAACTCTCCGTTTCAAAAGGACCTCATGTGGAACAGGAGGAGGTTGTGTAGGTTTCGTAGGGGCCACTTCGGTAGCTTTCTTAGAAATAGTGCTGGGAGGACTGCTACGACTCGGCGTCACATACTCATGCCGGTTCGCACTATCATGAGCTACATAGTGATCGGCTCGGGGTATGATCTGTTTTTCCTTATTTTGGCCTTCATGAATAAGGAAATTCCATAGACCTTGTTGATCGTCCCCTGGTTCAGATAGAGGAGACTTGGGATTTGTTGGCTTTGCTTTCGTTTGACTATCCGACATGGTGCTAGATGTAAATACTGAATCGCACAATCTACGTAATAGTATAAGTCGTGAACGAGAGTGCCGCGAATCTCATTGTTGTCGTCTGCTGAGATTGATCGAGGTGGAGCCTCTTTAGAAAGCTTCACGAAATGAGCGCCGAAACGCCACCAGAGATGGAGATTGTCCGCGAACTACCTATAAATAACCCCGCGTAAGCTCTGTAGACGCCTCCATCCCTGCTTATCCGGCGCAAATGAGGCAGCCTGATAACCTGCATCTTGAGCGGCTTTGCATACCTATAAGCTGTATTGATTGGTCAATCGGCCAACTAAAAGGCTCAGCCCCCTCCCCTCCTCAGCTCCTTCGGTCTGTCTGCGTAGGGACGACTTTAAAATATGTGACCTACAGCCTAACCGGACAATTTCGTGATAGTCTAGGCCTCGTTCAGTGAATACAATGTCGATGTTTGAAACCAGGCATCATCCGATTTATAGTGGTGTTGCGCTTCCTTGGCAAGAACGTTTCCAGTTTGGTCGGAAGTATGGAAAATACGACTTTGGGCGGTTTGAGCGTCTGGAGGGTTCCAATCATTACCTTGGAAAAGGAAAGATCGGGGACGTGGAAGTTGCATGTAAATTTCGATTCAGAGAGTCGCGATGGGGTGTTTTGACTCCGGATAAGAACCCGGGAGGCGTCGTCTACCTGGATTTGACTTTTACAGAACCACAAGAGTGTCGTCTTAGGGGCGCGACCGTCTTGCTAACTTTGGACGAAGAGGACGAAGATCTCCGCCGCCATTTCAGTGCTAGAGATTCATCAACGAAGGTCAAAGTCCCCGTTCACATCACCGAACATGGCCCACAAAGCCTCCATGGACAGCTAGACGAAGCTTTCAAGACTGAGAAGAATTCATTTGCTCCTTGGATTGATGTTGGCGGATTTGCCGGGGCCGGGGGCATCGGACGAAATTCCGAGAAGAAATATATTCAGCGGAGCCAGTGGAAATTCTCAAGCCAACCTATCCCTAACAAGATGTCGAGAGCTACAATCCTTAAATGGGATCTTGTTGAGAGCGAGCTCGATCGGCAGCCAAGGCATGACAACACTTTTCACACAGCATTCGCGTTTGAGCATGACGGACAACCGTTCTTTATGCAGGTCGAAGTTGCCGGCTGTCTGGAGGGAATAGCTTCACACATACGACAGAAGGCAAAGCAGAGATTTAAGAAGTTCAAGTTTCCAATTGAACCCCAATCCGCAACGACGTTGGTGAATTTTGGTGGTAGAAATAATCCTTACCACGACCCACTCGATGAATTGGCCAGGAACATACCCCGCGACATGGTTGAGAAGAATCGGAAGCCCGTTATCCAGATCCCAAGAAGGCAACCGGACAATGGACCAGATTACCAGATCGTTGACGAGGGGGATTCGTCGCACGCTGGGTCGGAGGACAATATTGATGATCAACCACGCCCACCCCAAAGAATTGAGGTCTCACATTCTGTGGCTCTAGAGGACATTCAGGGGGAAGCAATGGCGTTGTTGTCTCTAGGTCCCTCGGTGGGGGAACATGGATCGGATCACACGACAGAAATACTGACGCCTGCCAATCGTCCACAGCGAAAGCCTTGCGATGGAAGGTTGTCAGCCCCTGATACCCAGGTTGAACAATCAACAGCCTCCAGCACCATCGTAGAGCAGGAGCAGGACGAAGGGGTTCGTGAAATAACTCTCCTCGAGCCTCGTGCGAACCACGAAGAAGTTCGGAGGCTTCTCAACGAAGCAGCCCTACCGGCAGTCCTTCGACTGATGATTCTGTGCCTCCTCACAATCGGAATGAAGATATCACTTCTTTGGGAAGAACGACTTGCCACGCGCAGCAAAAACATGAAACTATCAGCAGTAAGATAGCAGTATCGTGTTGAGGGTGTAAGAGAGGTAAGATATCCTCATTCAGACCGTCTATAACAATAGGAGTAGCTAATGGTAAATTTCGAGGAATTATGTACTGTGTATTACGGATTCTCAATTGCTGTGTGTATATATGGGGGAAAAGAAGGTGTTAGGTTTTGGAGGCATTTACTTAACGGACACCGGAGTTGGTACCTATGAATTCATGATTACCTATCAATGTTACACAAAGCTAGATGCAATTTCGATTACCTAATCCATCACAACGCGGGTAAATATTTCCATACACAGAACATTCATGATGTGAAACTTAGGGACTTGTCGATCGTTCTACACTCCATAAATGACACCTACACGTCACCTATAGAGTGGACCCAGATGATTTCATTGCTCTTTTGGGAATATATGGTTTGTTCTCATTGGTTTCAACAATTCGACTTGATTCAGAGTCAAGTCTAGACTTACAAGCACAATGAATAAAAGTTATGAGATTAGTAAGCGCGAGACACAACCTTTGAACTTGGAACATCGTAGAATACCACTAGCTTATGTAAGAAAAAGGAGAACTACACATCAAAACGCAAACTACCCGACTTTATGAAACTCATAGTAGAAGTCGGGTTCCCAAATTTATAGCTTTTTATGTCCTGTCAAAGTTGGGAACAAGTGTCTCAATGGCACGCCTGAAGCTGTCAACTTTATATCATCTACAGTAGTGATCAAACATCGCTCGATAGCTGACAGATACATAATGTCTTTCCAAGGTAGGTATATTATTCACTTCAACTAAAACTTTCCAGTATCTATGTTTCCACGTATGCTACCTATTAAAATATAATGAAACGTAAGTTAATCCGAGTGTAAAGCATCCGATGCCTTACGTCGTAATAAATATCCGCCAAAGGCAGAGGGAAACTGCTATGATATAACACTAAAGTAGGTAACCAATTATAGATCAAACAAGGGCTTTACTGAATTGGGTCAAGCAATGACCGAATCATCAATACCTATCAATTCAAGGAAGGCACTTGGAAGTTAAGTTGACCACTCCTTACATTAGGTAGGCTCCATCCAGGTCTCACCTGCCTTTACGTCTTCGCTCCCAGGGCTCCCTCTCGACAAGATATATACGCCACCATTTTAACACCGTCGATGTTTCCCCTAAGAGACTAGGTACCTACTAAACAGTCAACCGCGATTGCTCCGTAAGACCAACAGGTTATATAAAGTCTAAGATCAAGCAATCACACTCATGTAAAGAAAGATCGGATTACTTCCGGTTCAAGGAAAGAGCGGATTCAGAGGCTCAGTAGCGTAGTGGTTATCGCGCACTCTTCGGGCAATCCTGTCCATCTCTATCATAGGGAAACTGAGTGAGGTCCTGGGTTCAAATCCCGGCTGAGCCCCTTTTTGGTGGTTAGTTATATTGCTAAAGTTATATAAACTGTGCCTTCTTCGTGGCGAAAATCATGACAACTGGCGTTCTGATTTCGACCTTTTTGCCATCTAAAGCAAGCTCCAACTCATCCCAAACTTCCTGCATTTCGGTCTCAGGGATAGACGGCACCCAGGTGGCAAGATATGCCTTGAACCACTCGATGTCTTTTGCGTCGATCCATTCTTTGTCGTCCTCTACCCAGATTTTCTCTTCCCCTTCCTTGACCTTCCTCTCGGCTATTAGGTCGTTCATCACAAAGGCGTTGACGTCCCCCCGAGAATTGATGTACACCCTCTTAACCGCCTGCCATTTGTCTTCAGGAAATTCCAAGTTTTCTAGGGCTGTATTCACTGTCCTAAAAGCACGGTCGTACACCTCGCCTCGGGCTCTGTTAGAATGTGTAGCCCAAACCCCTTTCCAAGCATCTTGCGCCCGTTCGCTTCCATCAATCAATGGACGGACATAATAGGTGATCGCGAGCGTACCGCCAGCCTTGAGCTGCCTGCTGAATTCACTAATCGCAGCACTGGGGTTAGTCCACTGCATGCATTCGCATGCGGCGATCAGGTCAACTGTCCCGGTTTCAACAGAGCTTTCCTCCGCAGGTTCTTGGAGGAAGGTGAACTTGGATTCTGGGAGCGATGCTTCTTCAACAAGAAGTTTCTTAGCGAGCGTAACATAGCCGTCGTTGGGATCCGAGACAATGACGCTGTTGAATCGAGCAGCGAGGGTGGAGGAGACAATCCCGCAACCGGCCCCAACATCATGGCCTACGGACCATGTTGCCTCCGGCTTTTGAGCATGATAGTCAAAGATGCGCCCGAAGAAAGATGCCTGGTATACAGGACGGCAGGCGAGATAGTTCGACCAGTTAACACCTTGCTTTGGAGAGAATCCTAGTTCATCAACCGATACATTTGCCATTCTCAGGCTACGTGTAAAAAGTCGAATAGACACTCGTCACGAAGAGAGATCTAGGCTGTCTTGGTTATGGATCTCAACTAGTATATGCCCCTGGAATTATCAACTGAGAACAAGACTTTCGATGGCATATCTTCACAGAGCTCAACTCCTTTTCGGGAAAGGACGCGGAAGGTGGGGAAATGGCCCAAAAGCAATGGTCACATATCATATCATTGGTACCTTATATTCATCCTTCCTGCTTATTAGCCTACTGCTTTTGTCTTCATTCTTGATTTTTTGATTGGCAAATGGCAGTTGAGCGTGTCCCTATCACTAAAAGTATGGGTATATCGTTGAGGTAGCGGCGTTGGTTTACGGGTCTTGTATGAAAGTGCAAATGCTTGAATTTACAATTATTGAAGTACACGATCACTGTTTTGCTACTTTTGCAAAAGAAGGCACCACAAGGTAATTGAATCCATCTTATATTGTAAAACTTGAACTTGCGACTGCTGTAGGTAAATTCGATGCCGGATGTTAGTGATGATTAGCTGTGTTCGCAAGGGTCAGTTGCCTGGGACAAGACGAAAAAAACAATGAGGAAAGAACAACCGGATATTACGCAAAAAATGCTACGGGCTCAACCGGGATTTGAACCCGGGACCACTCACATTGCCTCATTGGATGAGACGGACCAATGTTAGCCCGAAGCGAGTATCCTACCACTAGACCATTGAGCCTCTTTAGCGAGAATCTTCATGAGAGTCCCTAGGAAAGGCGCATTGGCACCTTCCCCGCTTGTCGTGACTGCCCCAAAAAAGCACCTATGTTTCTTTGTTCATTTCGTCCCTTGCCCCTTCCTATTATAGCTTAGCCCCGCTGTAACTTCGGAAAAGAGCAACTGGGATATCCTTGGAGGGTCCTGATTAGAGTTCCAAGGTTGAAGTCATACGTGCCTACCTAGGTCAACTCTATTTCTCCTAGGTCAAGTACCTACATAGGTAGGTAGGTGTGAACTTGCATCTCCTCAACGCGACTTTCGTTTGAGTCGCAAACTTAGAACCTGCTTAATTTCATCCAGCTTCATCTCTTGATGTCTTTGTCTGTCTTGATGCTCTGTTCCGTACGATACACGTCTTTTGATGATCATCATCACCGGCCTTGCTCTTGTTGTACACAGGGTTATAAGTCGGGGAATATCAACTTCCCAATCCATAGCTGATGCTAGCAGGGCCCCCGGTCATATTTTTACTTGAGACGACGCGCGACGCTTTATTAAATTCACCAACGATGCTTTGCCTGTTTGACTACACTTGACTCGACATAAGAAATGTTTCTTTCAGGTTTTCTCAGCGGCTCCTCGGGTCGGAGGGGTTCCTTCATATCGGGCAAGTCTAAATCGTCTAGACATTCTCCTGAAGTTTCGCCATCGCGACCTCAAGATTCCGATGCCTCCTCTTCTCCTGAATATCTCTCCAACGAGTCGCAGCTTCAGTACGCTGCTCCGACGCCCCAAGATGTGCTCGAATTAAACAACAACCTCGAAATGCTCGCCGCCTTGTTTCCCGATGTTCAAGTAGAGGTCTTCCGGGAGATGCTTGCATCATTTTCCGAGGAGTCGCGGCTATTTATCATCACGGATAAGTTGCTGAAGAATCCTGGTTTGTACGTGAAGGGTCGACGGAGAACTGGCGATGGCACCAGTTCTGACTCGAACGCTCTCGTTCCGCGAACCGAGGCCTTTAGAACGGTAGAATACAAGAAGGCAGTGCGGGCTCTGGCGATGCAGGAATTCAAGGGCCTATCCAGATCTTCAATCGACGCTGTTTTATCCGAATCCAACTATTCGTATCTCGACGCGCGACCGACCCTTGTAGACCTATCTTCGAAGTCGTGGAAGTTCACCATATCTTCCATATTCTTTCGCCGCAAGCCGGTTACGTCTACTGAGGCCGAAACGCACCCCCTTATAATATGGAGAACTTCTGACGATGGATCGTTGGTCCCAACTTTGAAGGCGACCGGCAGCGCTGAATTGGATAGAGAACTATTCGAAGAGCTGATTGTTCCATTAAAGCAACGCGAGCGGATCTCGAGGGAAACGAGCGACCGAGCCCTAGCTATCTCCCTACTTACAGAGGAGGCCGAAGCCATGGAAGCCACCTACGAGTGTAGCTGCTGCTACTCTGACGTCATTTTCGAAGAGCTTACTACCTGTGATGCCGATGGGCATTTAGTCTGCTTTCGCTGCGTTCAACATTCTATCACCGAGGCGATATTCGGACAAGGTTGGCAACGCAGCATCGACAAAGAGACGGGTACTCTTCGATGCCCGGCCGTGGCATCGACGGAGTGCGCTGGTTGCATTTCGTCCGAGCACATTCATCGGGCTTTGCGCGAGGAGAAGAACGGGGAAGAGATCGTACGCAAGCTTGATCAACGTTTGGCCGAGCATGGCCTTTTATCCAGTGGTTTGCCTCTGATCCGGTGTCCTTTCTGCACCTATGCGGAAGTCGATGAGCTATATATACCGGCTAATTCGCGTAGGCCTAAGATCCGTGCAAGCAACCTCATAAATATTATCGCCTTCTTCATTTGCTTAATCTTATCGCCTTTCTATTTTCCTATTATGACACTAGCGCTTGGCCCTGCCATACTCTGCTTAAATGGGTCGTTTAGGGGTTACGTATCCCGGCACCTAAGAGCGGCCATCAGCCGGTACCAACGTCGCCGGCGTGGGTTGAAATTCACCTGCCAGAATCCGGCGTGTGCTCGATCATCTTGTTTGTCATGCTCGAAAGCATGGGTGGATATTCACATTTGTCACGAATCGTCTCTTGTTGCTCTTCGTACGCAAGTTGAACTAGCAATGTCGATGGCAATCAAGCGCGTTTGCCCACGGTGTAACACGTCGTTCGTCAAGACAGCTGGATGCAACAAATTAACCTGCCCCTGCGGATATAAGATGTGCTACGTGTGTCGCAAAGACATCGGCCCACCAACCGAAGGCTACGCCCATTTTTGCCAACACTTCAGGCCTGAGGGCGATGGGCGGCGATGCAAGGAATGTAATAAATGCAACCTATGGGAGACCGAGAACACCGAAGAAATTCTTCGGGAAGCCAAAGCAGAAGCCGAAAAGAAGTGGAAAGCATCCGAGAGGCGCGAGCTCTCTGATGCTGAGAAGGCGTACCTCGAGGACGGCGTAGGCACCATCGGCCAAAGAGGTCAAGTCACTAAAGGTTTAGGACAGCTACTGCCAGGCGGCAAGATTCCAAATATCGAGGAGTTCTTCGATTTCATCATAGAGACCTTGTTCGTTTAACGGGAAGCATAAAATGGACTTAAGAGGTTTTTGGGTTTTCGAGGTTTTTGTTCTTATAGAAGAGGTGCATTATCTGGCTACCGGTTAAGCGTTGTCTTGAAGTCAAACTTTTGAAGAAAAAAAGCGAGCATCACATCGGGATTTGGTCATACAAGAGGACGCCGGCGTTATATCACTAGGAATGGTATTGGATGGGGTACGTGTTTTGTATACCCGTCGACAGCATCGTACATGCAACGACTCATCGTAAGCTATAGCCTTACAACGTTTGTCATAGTAATTTTGGTGTATTACATAGTTTTTAGACAAAGTATTACTTGGATTATCTTCATATCGATGATTCTATCAAATGATGACTAATACAACCTAGTCTTTTTAGCATTAATCACTTTCCCTTACAACTTACCCTCTTTACCCGGGCCTATCGTAGACGGGCCGAAATTACGAAACAAAACCAAAGAGCGTAGGTAGATTTATGTAAAACCCAGATGACATGTATCCATTCATGCATGCTAGATCCATCCGGTACGATGTACTAGTTAAACAAACCTGTATCAAATTATATATATCAGTGATTTTTGTAACAAAGACGCCGAACTCAAATTCCAAATTCCATATTCCACCATGCAAAACAAGGAAGAGAAAAAAAAGGTCCACTATGCGACATAATCTTCATCAACTCATCTTATCTCCTTGCGTCCCACCTATTCTACCCGTTTCACCATACTCACTTGCTCATCCTAGACACTCTACTCACAACTTTCCCTCTCTTCCATCGCCGACCAGCTCCGCGGCCGCGCCGGAAATAGCCAGCTTGCCGGTCTCCTTGACCTTGGTCTGGAAGATGACCTTGTTGGCTCCCTCCTTCCACATCTCGGTAACCAGGGTCTGGCCGGGGAGCACGGTGCCCGCGAACCTGACCTTGATGTTCTTGAACGGACCGAACTTCTCGTAAACGGCCTTGCCCGCGATACCCATGAAGCAGAGACCGTGTAGGATCGGCACCTTGAACCCGCCCATCTTGGCGAAGTTAGGATCAACGTGAAGGGGGCTAGGCGAGATACGTTAGTTTAAGACATTCAGATATGGGGAAGAAAAGAGAGAGGACTCACTTATAATCGCCGCTAAGCCTGTAAACGGCGGCCTGCTCCTCCGTGGTCGTGCTCTCAACGACAATGTCTGGCAACCTCCTCGGAGGCTTATTCGCCGCCGTCGCTGCTCCTCGTTCCGACGGTTTCTTCTGTCCGTCGAAGCCACCGCAGCCCCTTAGGAACACGGTAGCCTCGTTGTAAAAGAGCTCCTCGCCAGTCTCGGCGTTGACCGTCGTTACGCCACTCTTGAGGATTGCCGCGTTGCCCTTGTCCACAACCTCGATCAGCTTGGCGTAGTTCTTTGTCTTAGCCGCCGTCGGGATCGGGTACTTCTTGACTTCAAGGTACTGCTCGCCGTGCAGCAACATCATGGGTGAGAAGTTGGGCACCACTTCATCGAAGCTGAATGGCATGTTGGCGTCGAACTGCGGGATCACACCGAACGTCGGCAACACCTGGAAGTCCTCGTGGCCCTCGAACACGTAGGCCAGCTCGGTCCTCTTGGCGCCGATACCTAGGTTGTAGAGCATGCTGTCACGTTCGGTGTAGCTGAACTCCGTTGCCGGGGATGCAGCGGTGATGGCTTTCTTCTGAGCAGCGAGGTACTGGTTACCTGCCGGGATCTCCTGAGCAAAAAAGAATGTGTCAATATCAATAGTTCATTCATATGCTAGACTACATGATAATACAGATACATGATATTTAAACAGTATTCGAACAGAGGGCATCAAGGAAAGTGAAGCTTCTTCATACCTTAGATGCCGCTCGTTTGTTCTCGATGTTGGCCATGATCTTCGCCACAGAGTCCTGGCTCTTCTCCGGATGGTCTGCTCGTCCGTCATCGAAGTCGACGATCTTAGCCCAGTTCTTGGCGACTTCCTCGGGAACCAGCTTGACGTCCACGGGGAAGCCGGCGCCTCCAGTTCGCTGCCATCTCGTCCGGCCGCACCAACCGCTGCCTACTTCGTATAAGTATCCCGTAGGGTTCTCGGGAACCTTGTCACTGCAGAGAGCAAGGACAAGAGGAGCAATATAATCAGGCTTGAAGGCCTGGACTAGCTCGTCAGGCAATATAGTACGCGTCATGGCTGTGCCTGCATTTGGTGCAATAGTGTTGCAGTAGATATTGTATTTGGCGCCCTCCAGAGCAATTGTGCGGGAGAATCCGAGAATACCGGCTTTCTGTGATGTATTAGTTTCAACTGTACTTTTATATCTTTCTCATTTCGTTACTTACGGCTGCCGCATAGTTAGCTTGTCCAAAATTACCATAAATACCACTGGTTGATGTAGTGTTTATGATACGTCCGTACTTCTGCTTTAAGAAGTGAGGCCAGGCTGCCTTGGTAACCTTGTACGTGCTTCGGAGGTGAACATTGAGAACGGGGTCCCAAAGGCTGTCATCCATGTTGGAGAAAGCCTTATCTCGTAGAATACCGGCATTGTTGATGATGATGTCGATGCGGCCAAAAGCATCGATAGCGCCCTGCACAACCTTTTCGCCTTCCTCGGAAGATGCCTTAACGCCAGCAGCCTTGCCACCCAGTTTCTTGATTTCCTCGACGACTGTATCGGGGTCGACTAAATCGTTGACGACGACGGATGCGCCATGCTTGGCGAAAGCAAGGGCGTACGCTCGTCCGATACCAGCACCACCACCCGTGATCAGGGCTACGCGACCGGTGAAATCTAGTGTCTCACCCTGCTCACTTGGACCCAGCTTCATCGATTCCTCGAGGAGTTCCATGAAGTTGTTGGGACCAGTCGGATATTGAGGGTTCGAGAAGTCGACGACCTTGTTCCATTGCTTAAGAATGGCACCAGGTGTGTAGCTGTCATCTGCCTTCAGGAGAAGACCGCTCGACCTCTCCCACCTCAGCTTGGCGACGTGGCCACCACCGACCTCGAAAATTCCGCCGGTCTCCTTAGTGTTGCTCCTATGCACCAAAACGGCGACGAGCGGAACGACCCATTCGGGCTTTAGGGCCTCCAAAACCTCCGGAGGCATAACAGTCTGAGTCATGCGGCTCGCGGCTATGGGGGCGATGGCGTTGGCGATGATATTGTATTTGATGCCCTCCTTCGCGAGAGTCTCGCTGAAGCCGACCATAGCTAGCTTGGCGGCCGAGTAGTTGGCTTGACCGAAGCTGCCGAACAAGCCGGCAGCGGATGCGGTGTTGATTATGCGGCCGTACTTTTGCTTACGGAAATGCGGCCAGGCAGCGCGCGCGCACTTGTAAGAGCCCTTAACATGCACCTTCATGACCAGGTCCCAGTCCTGGTCCGTCATATTCTTAAAGCTGACATCCCGTAGGATACCGGCGTTGTTGAGTAGGACATCGATTCGGCCGTATGCTTTGATGGCGGTTTCGATGATCTTTTCTCCATTCTCGACACTGTCGTAGTTGGCTACTGCTTGACCGCCGGCCGCTTTAATCTCGTCTACAACTACATCGGCAGCCTATGGTTTATGGTGGACATATTAGCGAAGGTGTTCAATAGCTACTAAGGTATGATTATTGAGGGGGCATTGGTGTTTATTTTACCTTCGTCGAGTTGCCCTCTCCCTTAAATGAGCCTCCGAGGTCATTGACAACGACCTTAGCTCCCCTTGAAGCGAAGAAGGTAGCGTAGGCCTTGCCTAGACCACCACCAGCTCCGGTGACGACGACGACTTGGTCGTCAAATCGCAACTCGCCAGCCATCTCGTTGAAGTTCTTGGGTTTAGGGTATCAAACGGAATTAAGTTGTTAGAGACAAGGTAGTAGTACAGGTGTTAAAGGTAAGATGGCCTCTTTTACACAATTGACATTTCTAAAGGAAGAGAGTTGATGGCAAAAAGCTGATTATGATTGGATTTATTGGATTGGAGATGGAGCAACCAAAGGTTAATAATAAAGAGCAAAGAAGCAAGAGCTGCCAATGTACCGCATTTGAATTCCGGCTATTCAGCCGAGGCAGCTTACAGAGCTGGCAGGAATGCCGAGGGGACCCAGACGCTGGAGTAAGTGGGTCCCGGACAATCATAACCTTCGCCATACCTCTTTCGGCATAGTCGGAGTTGAGGTCCTCCTACATTTTTGCTTTGCTGGACATTCACATGTCGAACAATTCCAAAGTGCCTGAGTGCTTATGGATCTGAATGAGGTCATGTGTGGATTTGCGCGTCGTCGTATACCTTCACCATCACGTGTATTTTAACTCGTCATGTATACCTTTTTCTTCAATTGATGTTTGATATAAACCGTTTGACTAACAGCCGTTTATTCCTGATAATTAAGCCTCACAAGCCAAAGTTTTCGTCCAACGTTAAGCTTAAGTTTGGGCAATTAACCGATATAAATCCCTGGGCAGTGTGACAAGAGCCGAATATTGTTTTAATTGCCGATTGTAGGGAATGCAGTGTTGGAACTTTCAATTCTATGTCGAAACCCCCTTTTTTACATGACTAACTATAATCTTAATCTTAACTTGATAAGAGCTGTATTCGACCAAAGGCGAATTATTAATGTTTCCCAAGAAAATATAAATACCAGCTTGAGATAATTATTGGATAATTGATTTACATGAAGTTGCTTCACAAGCAGACTGTAGCATCGGAACATTTAAGTACCTAGAAGCCATCTGCAGCCCCCCGCATTTCCCCATCCCCACAGCTCTGGTTAGCCCGGAAAGCCGGTCCCCAACGACATGGTAGGGTACCGTAGAAGTTCCTCGTTAGGATTCCCGTACGTAGTGTGCCCAGTTTGTGTTAGCAGACGTCAGCCGCCTGGATGACCGAGCATATTGTACATGCAGCCGCAAGTAGGCCTATCACAAGCAAATCTTTAATGCTGAGCGAACAGCAGGAAGGCTGCCAAAATGTCTACCACGGAGATAATTGACGACAAAAGCCCTATATGTATACCCTTCATCCTTGAACAGTATAGAAACTACAGCGCCTCCAATCCTACCAGACCCTTCATCGTTGGGCTTAATGGGGTACAAGGTGCCGGGAAGACGACTCTAGTGACAGCTCTTGCTTCAAAGTTGCAAGATGGCGAGGGTCTGCGAACGTTGGTCTGCAGCATTGATGATTTCTATCTACGGCATGAGGATCAGAAGGCACTTGCAGAGTCTCACCCGGACAACCTCTTAGTCCAGGTTCGAGGAGAGCCCGGTATGTTGGCTTAGTTATAATCACAAATCGAAGTCTGTTTTCTTTCGTTGGTTCCTAATGTTATAATGTATAGGTACACATGATATGAATCTTGCTCGAGATTTCTTCACAGCATTGTGCGAGGGGCAGCCGGTGAGAGTTCCCCAGTATGACAAATCGGCATATTCGGGTAAAGGTGACAGAGTCCCAGAGTCGCAATGGGAAGAGGTCAATGGCCCCGGTCAACCCAAAATTCAGGTAGTCATCTTCGAAGGCTGGTGCGTTGGCTTTCGACAGTTGGACTCAGCCGAAGTGTTGCTTAAGTGGAACGCGCCAAGTCGAACGCTGAACAAGCATCCCCTAGAACACCTGGATTTCATCAACGAACGTCTTGGAGACTACGACGTCATCACAGACACATTTAATGCATTCATCCATATTGATGCCGAAGATACCGAGTGGGTATACGACTGGAGGCTAGAGCAAGAAACAATGCTGCGGAAGCAAAGAGGAGCAGGTATGACAGACGATCAAGTCGTCAAGTTTGTCGACGCTTATTATCCTGCATATGAACTCTTCTCCGGCAAGTTGAGAAGAGGGCTGTTCTCGGACAAGTCAGGACGTCAGTTGAGATTAATTGTCGGTAAAGACAGAAAAGTCAAGCAGACAGTTATCATTTGATACATGTGAGCAAGTGGGTATCTTACCAAGTAACCTCCCTCCATGCATACCTAATAATCCCGACGACATCGTTCTTCACCTAGCACAGGAGCTGTGATGAACGAGCAAGCGACATGAAGCCAGCTAGTGTAAAGCAATGGTAATACACACTCATAATACCTCTCGGAAGCCCCTTTAAAATCCGAGTTCACAAAAACCCGTTGATCATAGCAACCCGATGAGGTGATGAATAATATACTGTTTTCTGGTTTATCCCATCTCAATCGAACTCTTTTCCTATCATCATGCCTTCACCTTCGCTTTTGAGCTCGGCGAGAGTATGGTCGATCCCTTGGATTTTATTCCTGACAGCCTCGCCTCGCTCGGCAATTTCATTCTCGAAATTCTCAATCATAGCTCGCTTCATTTGACGGGCCTCCCTGAGTCGGTGCATGATGTCCCCGAATCTTTCTAAGAACCAATCGCCAGAAGCCTCCCAGTCGTTGATGGTCATTCTAGAGAAGAATTCTGTTTGACTTCGCTGATCTTTGTCGAAGAAGATATCGAGTTTCTCTGGTAGAGTGCCCCGGGGTGGTCCAATCGCTGATTGAGCCTCCGCCTGGGCCGGATCAAAATCGAATGCCTCCTTTTTCAGTTCCGCATAGTCCATTGCTGCTAAAGCGCCGTCATCATAATCTGGTTCGTGTTGACGCTTCTTGGAGTTAGAAGTGCGCTTGTCTGCCGATGGGCGAGGCATCGCGCTTTCACTAAGCCCTGTTCGGGCCTTATTACTTCCTGCTGCAAAAAGCTGTCTACTTAGGTGAAGCTTAGGCTTCGCCACGGGCTTCGGTGGTGGCGGTTCGATAATGCTTTCGTTTTCTGATTCGTCGTGATGGCTGGCCATAGGTGTGTCAGTGTCGGCAAAGATAGTTGAGCGTTGAGGGTCGTGTTGCGTTTTCACTCTCAGGTGGATAGAGCTTTCCGACCGCACTTCGTCAAGGTCATTACTGGGAACTTGATAGGGTTGACGTGTAGGTGAGGATACGATGTTTTCTACTTGAGGATAAGCAGCTCTCTCTGAAAAGGAACCACGGCGGTTAGTACGTAAAGCTAGGGCCTTCGGGTGATGGAGCCGCTTGGCAGAAGGCGTCTTCTCTGGGCTCTGATACGGACTATCCTCCGACTCTTGATCAGGATCAGGTTCGGGAGAGGTGACTATTCCCTTCAGACCGCCACGATAATTCCTAGCATCCGGTGTCGAAGCGCTCCTAGTAAGAGGGCCACCTACTACGTCTATCAAACCGTTCGGTCCTATGATAAAGGGGGCATGTTGATTCGGCCTATTGGTCTCCTCCTTAACGATAGGGCGAGGTTGTGGGGTGTCTCCTCTCTGTTGGTGTTGGTAAGTAGGCACACGAAATCGGTATGCAGACGCGGCGGCCGCGTTCGCATCAGGGTTGCTACCGCTGTCGCTAAACAAGGAACCGTCGACGGTTGACCCTTCCCAAAATGGTGCTGGTCTCCTAGAAGAAGATTGAATGGGCTCGGAGGCGACGCCCCTTGCTCGTGACATATTAAGTGACGTATCTCGGGCATGGCCAGTACGACCGGCCGGAACGGGTAGCCGAGCGGCGGCGGCGGCGGCAGCTCTGTTAGAGTTTGCGTTGATAATGGGGGCGCGTGATCGTGGGGGTGAGTTCTGGGTTGTTTGTTGTGTCGGCTGGGTCGCCTGAGTCGTCTGGATCGGCTGTGCTGCTGGAGGTGGTTGAGGTAGATAGACGTGGCGCTGGGGAAGATGACTCTGGCCCTGGCTCTCGTGTCCTGGACCGGAGGCGGTGGGAGCAGGCTGGCTACCATTGAGCCCGTTGCTGGTTACCCAAGCCTGCATTTTGGTTTTGGATTGCTTCAGGAACTGTGTAGGCGGCATCTGAACGTGGGCAGATTTTGTGATGGTCCGGAAGGAAAGACACATAAGCAAAATTTGTTTACTTTGCGTAAGCTTTGACTATAGCCTTTACGCGTTTCTGTTGTTGCGATATTGGCCTGGTCCAATCTCGACGTGTTCGACCACGGATGGTAGTCGAATGGATGGACGAGAGAGGACAAGAAAGATAAAGCCGTATTATTATGTATTATGCCGCCATGCTGCGCCCAATGCGACGACGAGGTTGGGTCGCAATGATCACTTTCAAAGTATGAAAAGGACTGGATGCAGGATTGCTGACGATAGTCCAATGGATGAGATAGTGAAATGAGCGAAGATGGTCAGGACGGTTCGACTGGTGGGGGAATTGAGGGTGACAAGAAGCCTGGCGACAACTCGTTCCTGCACTTTCTGCACTTTCTGCACTTTCTGCACTTCCACTTCCTGCACGCCTGCACGTCCGCACGTCCTCCCAGTGATTTTGCAAGGTTTAAGTCGCGTCTCCAATGACCAGTACCTGCCGAGTTTAATAGGTTGAGTGGGTCCAGGCGGATCTAGTGGGTTTAGTGGATCAACGTTTCGAGCACGGATCACCCCCGGATTCTTTAGTTCTTCTTTTTCCAAACCGCCGACCACCGACAACTTGGCAACCCCCACGACTTCATCTAACAGGTCGCCTCACCTCGTCCTCATTTCTTCAGATGCGCTAGATGACTTGTTCTTGCATGACCTTCCCGCCATCATGTGTTGTTCGACCATTCATATATCGCGAAGCGTCTATCTAGTTGTTCGAAACGAACAAATGGAACGATTCTTCCCGATGCAATACTACCTAGCTCGCGTCTAAGTCCTCATAGCCGTTGGGCAGCACATATATCTCTTATCCAAGACCTCTGCATTTGCAGAACGTAGGTCTACGGCTTGCTTCTCGAGAACCTCCCATTGCTCTTTATTCCGCCGGGCTCCCCACAGCTACTGCTCCTTTCCTATGCGGATGCCATGCGAGCACGGAGAAGAGATGGTGGACGTGTTGGAGTCACATCATTCAATACCCGCGGTCAAACTCCAATCGATCTATTATGAGGCTATGGGCTAGGATGGAGGGGCAGCATTCCATCCAGAATTCCTAAACTTCTATGGTTCCCCTGACTCACTCCACTTAGACGACTAGCTTTCTCATATACACCACGTTTACTATAACAGCCAGCGTTAGTGGTTGTTACATGGAATGGAAAGATTAAGTCGCAATTATGAGCTGTTAAACCTGGTCTACGAGTCCTCTGGCTCTCGCTTAGGTTGAAAGGAGGGGCGGCAGTACACGTTTTGAGGTAGGAATAAACAACCCTATACAACATCGAGATATACTTACTTGGCATGCTCTCGTTGCCATTTGCGAGTGTCACGAAGAGATGGTCTCCTCGTCTAAATACCTCATACCCCAGGCGAACATACCAATCTTCAGTGGGGAACTATGTGCGTCGACCAGTTTAGCATCATCGTAGCCGCGAGTAGGGTTATCTCATCTTACTTTCGGTTCAGGAACACGCCCATTCCCGTATAGGATCTCCCGTGTCTCTGGTTCGGTCTGTGTTTCCTTTGATAAGGTATCCAACGCGACTATTTTCGCATTCATCGGACTCTGCGAGGCTATTTCTTCTGTTTTGGACATGGTCCCGGCGCCAAATCCACCACCATGCAGAGCACGCGATATGTAGAGCCCGTGGATCCAGACTGTTCCGGTAGGTAGAAGACCCAGTTTCACATCTTCCTCAGGTTCGTGAATGGCGATGGCAACGTGGCCAATTGGGGTGAACTCGGCCATAGTTGGCTGCCGCGGGACGAGCCGAACTTCTGCAGCCGTCTCTCTCAATGGGGTCGACTCCTTTCACGAATCCTTAGCTCACTCAATACGTGGTCAAGTGACTACACCATTCATACCTTCGGGTAGGCTTCGATGTGCTTCTTGATCAGCGCCTCCCTGTCCGGGACTGTATCCGAAAACACCTAATCTCCAGGTTACCGTCCACGGACAAATCAGGATGGAATGGTATAACTTACAGCCCAATAGAATATCTTTTCGCCTTTCTTTGCGGCGTCTACCCACTGTACCACAGAGAATCAGGAATTGCCATTTAAGGGAAGCCTAAGTTGCCGTTGCCGCTGTCGTTGTAACGCCTCGGGTTGGTGTGACACTGCATGGGTTCATACCTACCTACTATGTAGGTACCTACTTTCCGGTATTTCAAACACGAAAAGCAAAAGGGGGCTTCTGAAAACGTACTCACCTGGGGTACTTCATTGGCCCTCCATCCACAGGCAATACGCTGATCATACATTCTTTGTACATGTTCAGGACTCGAGGGATCCCAAGGTATGAGCTACTCAAAATCCAATGCATTAGTGTTTACTCTCGGTGCACTTAATTCAGAGTAGTTCGTATGAACCACACTGGAGAGCAGGTTGGTGTCCGCATTAAACTAACCTCTATCTTCCAAGCATGTTTAGACATGATGACAGTTATATGAGATGTGCTCGATACTAATAGGATAGACGGTGTTACGAATAACACCGCTAGTGATGTTCGATGAAAAGGAGAACAAGCAAAGTGTTAGGGACCGGTTGCTAGATGCCTATACCCATCCGGACATTTTCTACCTAAGTATCAGCTTCATAGCCTATCCCCATCTAGTACGGAAGTGGAACATATAATCTGAGTCATACGGGGATACGCCTATGAATCAGAATGATACTCTGTCTATTAAGCTACATTTACCCCGGAATCTTATGTACTACCTTTTTTCAGAACTACGAATATTGCATGCGACAATTACTTGGGTGTCCGAACTCGGTCGATTATGTCGGTTGGGAAAGGGCGTGGTGAACGGACCACCTTCAGCACCTTCCATCGGACTTAAGAGGATCAGGGGGACGAACTTTATATCGGATCATCAGATTCAACGTCGCAATTCAATTCGCCGAATGCAAACACCGATTTTAACAAAGACTTATTGCCCTTACACTTCTTGCTCTTTCTTCACAACTACCTATCAACTAAACTCATTCGTCATGGGGAGGAAGCGCAAGAGCAGAGAGGAGCAAACCGAAGCCACCCCCGCCTCGTCTTCCAAACAGCCAAAGACAAACGAGGGTGAGGAAGCGTCCTCCCAATCGCAAAGCAACCAACCGCGTAATAATTTCGAGCCGTACCCCGCATCTAAGGTTTACCGTTTGATCGAGCCCGGCCCCGTCCTGTTAGTCTCGACGGGGTCGTTGGCCGATTCTACACACAATCTCATGACTATAGGCTTTCACATGGTGATGCAGCACGAGTCGCCACCTCTAATTGGGATCAGCCTGGGCCCGTGGGACGCTTCTTTCGCAACACTCAAGAAGCAGCGCGAGTGCGTGTTAGCTGTGCCGTCTGTTGAGATGGCTGGTGTGGTCGTCGATATAGGGAACTGCTCTGCAGATGACGACGAGGTCGCGGAAGCTGGCGGGAAATGGCAGCGCTTCGGGCTAGAAGCGCTTCCAGCTGCGAAGGTTAAGGCGCCGCTGGTGGGCGGGGGCGACATTATCGCGAATATCGAGTGCGTGATCGAAGATACAAAGATGGTTAGCAAGTACTCGATGTGGGTTTTAAAGCCGGTTAAGGCGTGGATCAACCCGAACAAAAAGCCCGGCGAGGGTGGGAAGATGTTCCATCATCGCGGTGACGGAACGTTCGTTGTCGACGGGGAAATTCTGGATTTGAAGGACAGAATGGTCAAATGGCAGGAATACCAAGACTGAACTACTGTTTTGTTACTGGACCTAACGGCTTTATAGTACCGACTACCTAGACTCGTAACGGCTACCGGCTTCTTAGTTTTCATAGTTTATTGGGCCTCCTGCTTCTTTTCTTCCGTTTCGCTTTCACCTGTGCTGGTAGCTACTTCTGTTGCCGCTTCGGTCGTCTTCCCAGAATGATTATTCTCCTCGCCGTCTTCTTTCGCCTCTTCCTTAGGATGGTTCCCCTGCGTACCTAGCCGAATAAATGGAGCAAACAGCACGCTCGCCGCGGAGAGCGCTACTGACACCTGGAAAGTCCTCGTGAATTTAAGCATCGGATCAGCCATACCTTCTGGTGTCAATTCTATGGAGCTGAATACGGCCGTCGAAATTCCCATGACGGCAGCATTAGACAGTCGGATGACTACGTTGAAGATACCGCCTGCTAAGGATTGTTGATGCTTAGGTAAAGACTGCATCACATACATCTAAGACAACATTAGATGAATCCTTCCAAATAAAAACCATAGAACCAGACTCACATTTGCCACATTGAATTGAAAATCCGCCCCGGCCACATTGAGGACCAACGCCGGGAACATGAAAGCCCAGTAGTTGCTTTCGGGCTTCATGAAGGAAAATAACAAGCTGGAGCCGAGAAAACATAGGGCCCCAAGGACCATAATAAGGGTGTTGTTAACAATATGTAAAATTCGGCCTGCAATAATGTTCCAAATAAGTCCTGCAATGGCCATTGGGAGTAAATGCACCGCAACCTCAAGGGTTGAATATTGCTTGATTTCCTGCAAGAAAAAGGCCGTCCAGAAACCGCTAGACGTGAAACTCATCATGCCTAGAAGAACAACGGCAATAATCTACTATCATCAGCATCGCGGACCCACGTGTGTCAAGTCTTAAGGCTTACAAGACTGAAGTTCCGGTCCTTCCAGATATGCGGAGGCATCAAAGGGGTAGGGTAGATCCTCTCCCAAAACACAAAAACAATCAACAATGCAATACCAACAACTAACAGTGCAATGACAGTTGCGCTTTTCCAACCATCTTCGGGGCCGAGACTGATTATATTAGCACTTGAAGCGTTGAGGGATACGAAAAGCACTTACGTCAAACCTGCGGTAAACATGCCCGTCCCAAAGATCGTCAGCACAGTACCGACATAGTCGAATTGCTTCAATGAGCTTAATCGTTGCCTCAAAGGAGCTCGGTCGAAGTTTTCCACGTTCGGCACTGCCCAGATCGCGTGGACAGTGAGGACTGCCCAGATAATACAGAGCATGATGAACGCTGCTCTCCAGCTAGACAGTTGCGTCGCGATACCGCACAGGATAGTGCCGAAGACGAAGCCCAGAGGGTTACCCGCGCTGAATGCCGAGAAGGCCATGTTCTTCCGTTTCGAAGGAGTTGAATACGCAGCCCCTAGAATCCCAATCGCTGGAGGCACTACCATTGCACTGCAACCACCAAGTATGCCGCAGACGATTAACATCCAAAAGGGGTTCCGCGAGAAAGCAACCAGGAGCACGAATGCACTGAACGATGCCATGCCGGTTATGAACATAGCCTTGCGGCCAAGTAAATCTGCCAGTTGCCCTAGGGCAAGCTGAAGGGCTCCGGCGACGAGACTACGGTGCTATCAGTATCGCGAAATAAAAGTTCGATAAAATGGTCTGGTCATACCTTGTCGATGCGCTAATCCATGCTATCTCGCCCTGGGTCATACCCAAATCTTTAGAGACGGGGACGGTGATGATCAAGGCGACACCAGTCAGGAACGAGGTGGTGGCAGTTGCGACGGTGGCCTGGAAGACGAAGGAGACCTCCTGGAACGTGTTCTTGAAGCATTCTGGCCGATCCCCGAAATGCGTCTTAATTCTCTGAAGTCTCGAGAGCCCATCTTCTTCATGACTGTTCACAGCCGGCACCTCATCTTGGATGCTTGCGCTTTGTGGCGTAACACCAGTCTCATCTCCGATTCTCGCCCGATCAAGTGAGACTTTAGTGATCTCATCTGGCGGCGCCGCCATGCTTTCCGTGTAAGTCAAGTACCTAGGTAATCTTGTTTGTTTGTTTGTTTCTTTCTTTCTTCCTACCACGCAACCCAAACGTCCTGTTTCATACTCATATAACTGGCAAACTCTGCGCTCGAGCTTGGCCGCACATTGACAATCCCCAACAGTTGGTTGTGCTACAAGGTATTAAAGCGCGAGCACTGTAACTTTTTAAACCCATCATGGATACCTCTAGGGCCACTAATAACGTCAGCTATCCCACATCCCACATTGTCCCCTGAAGACGCTCATTGGCTGGGCAATCTTGAGAATACTGGAGTCCCGTCCGGGGCGCCGTTATGGGGCTTATGCGGGTCGGCATTCATTTCGGAGCTTGCTGCGTAATTCGGATATGCACGCATCAAGTACTTCTATTTTGTTTTAAAGTGAGCTGTTTTGCATCTTGATCCCTCTAAAAATTAGTCAACCACATCGTACGAGCACTCCTCACTAATCACTTACATCCTCCTCTCACATGTGTGACCGCTTAAGTGTCCACGATGCCAAGCAAGAAAAACCAAACCTTCAATAGAGCACAGGCTGATGGACATACCACTTTGCCTATTTGAGAAATATACCACGATATTGGTGATACTTACAGCAGAATCCGGTTGTTTTTTTTTAGCGCGATATACCAATCCAGGAGCCAACAACTTCAAGATACACAAGAAAGACCGTTTTACAACTCACATATCACGAAGTCTTGTTCTGACTACCATCCTATAAGTTAGGTAAGTGGTGTCACTTAGAGACGAGCATATAAAGTAAAACGGAAGCTGTAGAGACGTAATTTTAGGCATTCTCATCTCAACCATCGGCATACGATCAGATCGAGCAACGATTCATCGTGGAGTAATGGAGATAATGAAAAAGTTCCACTCGTCCGCCCCCGCAACTTCGTACGCACATGGTGGGATGTGGGATATAGCTAGTTTGAACTTTACATGATATCGGAGTTTCTATTCCTTTCGTTGTTGCGATGGCTCTGTTATAACGTTGGTATCACTTCCACAGAGCCTAGGTGCGGCATGGTATCTCAACCCGACGGAATTATCGAAGTATTCCTATTCCTTATGGTTGGTAGAGTACATGAGGTCTGCTACTAATACTCATCATATTGCGGCAATACATTAGTATCACCTCGATTCATAAATAACGCCGCTCTAGCTTGAGCTTACTCCATTCGCGGATTTATAAATCAACGACATAACTATCCTCTTAGCTATCAAGACGCTATGAATATGTATAGATACCAATTGTACACTCGGCATTTCTCCGAGCACATCAACAAGGCTTCGAATCTGTTTCTAGGCTACTTTGGCCACACTGGAAACAGAGCTCTCCTCGGGTATTAAAGAAATAATATTTAATTATTGCCCCTTTCAGGAGCAGAGCAACCAACCTAGCGACGTTCAGGGGATCAATCCTCCGCCTACGAATCCTCAGAAGTCACTTCATACCCGTCCATATCATCATCGTCGTCGTCGTCGTCGTCCTCGGAGCTCTCGTCTTCGGACTCCGAATCTTCACCCCGCTTTCGCTTTTGCCCAATCATGCGAATGTATACGTTGCCCTGGATGTTTGTCGACGGTATCGCCTGCAGCCACCGCTCGAACCCGTCGGTGGACGAGAACATAATGTGCACGTCCCCTTCGATCCAGATGCGCGTCTGACTAACGACGTTTTCGGCCTGCCCAGGAGAGTCGACGCGGTTCTCGGGTTGCTCGACGTTTGTCTCATCATGTTCTGGTGTACCGTGGTTCTCTCCATCCACAGGTCCCGGGTTCCGGGTAATAGGATCCGTTCCGACATCTCTTTCCCCTCGCTCTCGTTCTTGCTCTTGCTCTTGCTCTTGCTCTGAGGAGGTAGTCCGAGCTTGATCAGTCGCAGCACCCGGCCCTTGAGGCTCATCCCCGCCAACCGCACGCGGGCCGTTATCACCGGACTTTTCTTCGCCTTCGGGGTTCGGGCCCGGGTTCGGGGAGGCCACCCTAAAAGACGCGGGGCTAGGCCAGCGCGTGATTGTATCAAAGTCTTCCGGAGCAGCGCGCTGGGCTTCTCCTCCGGCTCGCTCGCCGAGATCCAGGGTCTCCTGCCCTCCCCTGTTCCGCTCCCACGACCAGTTCGACCCGACGGCCGTCGTCCCGCTCCACTCGTCCGAATCTTCCCCCCGTCGAGCCGGCGCAAGGATCGGAGACCGGAGATGGTAGCCCTCGCTCAGCGGGCCAAAGTGCGGCATCCTGTCTTGCTGGTTCAGCTGTTCTTGTTGTTGCTGTTGCGGCGCCGGAGCTCGGTTCGGTGGCGTGTATGGCTCTCTCCGAGCCGGCTCTGCGTCGTTGTGTGACGGTGGTCTTTCGCCTAGGAGGATGTGGCGCGGCTGTAGAGGTCCGGGGAACGAATCGTGCGTCTCTCTGGCGGGCCCTTCGAGAGACTGGGCGTGCCACAGCTCGAGTAGATCCGGGTGTGGCGTCGGCCTGATCCGACGGCCTCCGACGGACGGCTCTCGAAATGGCAGCTGATACGCGTGCCGAAGTTGAGTGTATTGTTCTCGAAAATGGGTTCTCAGACCGTTGGAATCGCTGTACTCGGGGCTGGCTATCGGGGGGAACGTGGGCATCGGGCGGAGACCTTCGCTGCGAATTGGCATCGGCTCGGCGATGTTGACGGGTCCGTATGGCGTGGGATCGCCGAGGTATCCTACGATCTGGGGAAGTTGTATCCGTGTCGAGTCGTCGTTAAAGAAGGGAGAACCCTCGGGGTTTGAGCCATGGTTGGGCGACATGCTGCGGCGGTCCATGGTAGTGAAGAAAGGGCCGGGTTGATGTCCTAGATACAGCGCGGTGAGGGGGGGTCGTCTGGGAGACGTTCGGTCTTCCCGTTAGTTTATACTGAGTTCTGTTCTTTCGAATAGAAGCAAGTTTCGAGACTCTTTGGACAAGACTCTTCTTGTCCCTTGATGAGTTCTATTATAGGGTTTATGTAGGAGGAAGACCTTTGAATAACTGGGTATGTTTGTCTCTGGGCCCTGCTTGAGTAGAACAGGACAATGGAGAGTAAAATAAAATAAAAAAAATATTGGAAGATATGGGCGCGTTTATAGCTCGTGGAGTATGGTCAACATGGATTGTGGCTTATGGGCTTGAACTTTGCTGCTACTACCAGCGGGTGGTGGAAACTAAGCGTAAGTTCTATGAAGCTTAAAGAATGCTGCTATTTAATGGAAAGTAAGAACTAGAGAACAGAGAAATTTCCATATTTACAGTTTCTACAACAGTTTGTCCAGCGACAAACTGAGAGCGGAAATGATTCATGAGTTGCTCAGGCTTCTCGGCCTTTTTCGGATGCGAGTTTTCTTGTATTTATACTATTGCTAAGTCGTGAAGTAAGGAAGTGTGAGATTCCAGTACAACTTGACAATCGCTCAGCGATGCATTCTCGGGAGTCACACTGTTTGTCGAGGTACGAGTATGATATCTCAAACTCGGTATGACTGCCACGTCGATGAATCACAGGTTTGGCAGCAAGATGTTTGGATCCATTTATAGTTGAAGTTACATATCTGATATGGTATGCCCTCAAGCCTAAATTTAAGTCCGTGGACTCCTGAGGAAGTTCACTACTCCACCGCAATAGCTAACTAGGTTGTCCAGCCTGTCGCATTCCTGCGCCTGGTGTCTCTTCCATTCCGCCAGGGCCTTCGCTAGGGTATCACTCTCCAAGATAAGATCGAAATGTAGGCGAAGAAAGACAGCCATCCAAGCCTGAGTAAGTTCGTAGTCACGCCGTGCCACGAGGCGGCTAGTCATAGCACGAATGAACTGGAGCAATTCATTGGACTCGTCACTATCACCGACTACCAGGGAACGCAATTCTAAATCAGCGGTCGCCGGGGACAAAGATTTGAGGTGCTCGATAAACTCGTCAACTAATAAGCAAAGGTTAGTTTGTGAATGTTCATGTGGTGAAGAGTGTAGTGCTTACAATTGTCGGTAGAAGCCCCCGCCTGTAGTTTGCTAGCGAATGCTTGCTCCGACCTGTTGTGATCAAAGCGAGTAATCCTCGATTGACTCCGGTCTTGGTCAGTCTTCGACTCGGTCACATCTAAATTCGATGATCCAGCATTAGTTGCTGATGGTAAGAAGAATGGTGCCTTCTCCGGGGCTTTCGGTGCTTCTTTTGGTTTATTCCTCTGCTTGATCAAGTCAAGGTGTAGAAGGGTCTGCCATCTGCTTCGCGGAACCAAACTCAAAGTCATCATATCAGCACTAAGCTGATCCAGGTTGGGTGGAGCGACGTCATCCTCTGCCTCTTGAGATGTTGCTTCTTCGAACGCAGCTTCGAGCAGACCTTGACCTCCCTCTCCTGATGCTGTCGGACCAGATATCTGTTTAATTGACTCTTCGGATATTTGTCGAGTTGGCACGTGAGTGAAAAGAGTCTTGTTGTTCCAAATGCTGACGCCCAACTCTCCTTCAGTTGCCGCAGCCAAATATTCGCCTGTGGCCGAGAAGGCCAAAGCCGTACACGGTTTCTCTAACCGAATAGCGTCGATCAAATGGCCCGTTGGTAGGTCCCATACTCGTATTATAGCGTCTTGGGAAGCTGCTACTATCCAACGGCCATCGTTAGAGAAGATGAAGTCGTTTATTTTACCCTGACACCCCCAGAATTCACGAATAGTCTGTTTTGTCTCGATGTCCACGACCCGGACGGAATTGTCATCGCAGGAGAAGGCTATCAAGTCATTCGCCGCATGATAGCGGCAACCCGTGATCCCCGTCATTGGCGCCCAGTTGATTTCCTCCAACAGATTTCCTGTCAGGAATTCCCAGAACTTTATCTTTCCATCTAGCGAGCAGCTTATTATGTTTTTATTCATAGAATCGATAACGATTCCCGTGACAGCTTTTGTATGCTTCCCCGTCCCTGGTAGAAACCCAGTAGCAGAGCGAGCCTGAAGCTGTACTACAGTGTCTGCCTGCCTGAGTTGCTGCATTTTGACCTGCCTCGCCTGTGCTGGTGTAAGTTTTGATGGAAATCGTTGGCGGTGCAATCCTGACTGCAGGTTGAACATATCAATAGATCCACCAACCGATCCGACGACTGTGAAGGTCCCGCAGGGGCTCATGGCCACCGTCGACACGTTTGCACCGTCACCGGTTTGGAAGGCCCATCTACCTGCTCTTTTTCGACCCCAGAACCAGGTTCGTACAAACGAGTCGTTCTTATGCGCTGTGACGACGCTCTCCCAACCTGTCATGCCACTGACTTCGGCGTCGATGGGCTTCTTCTGATTTTGAGATTTTTGCCACAAAACTTGCTTTCCGGGCATGGCGCCCATCCCGCCATCTCTGTTCAATGAACATGCAATACAGGTAATCTCTGGCGCTTTTAAGTCATCGAGCGTGGTAGTCGGACCGCGGCTTAGTGTGCTACTGTCAAGTATTCCGTACTTCTTAGCCTTTTTACGGATATTACCCTGGCTCAATGCTGTACTTTGACCATCACGACGAAGACTCCACCCCCAGAGACTTCGGTCCCTGCCACCACTAAGAAGCCATTTGTTGCCTGCTTCAGCGCCTTCAAAATCAGACGGCAGGAATTTCAAACACGTGACCGGTGCCGCATGACCGCTTCTCGTATGTAGGATTCGTGGTATGGGTGAGAAAGGAGTCTCGTCAAATATCCAGGTTTTCAATGAGTTGTCCCTACCGCTAGTAACGATGACTGGTTGACCGGCAAGGAATTCGATCTTGCTCACACCCCCACGAATCGAGGCGCCCTCTTGCGTCGGGGGGTTGTGGGCACTTCTAAGAATGCCCATAATTCTGCCACCCTTGTTGAGGTCCCAGAACGTAACATCGCCGCTTGATTCTGTCGCCGTCGCCATGACCCCATCTTTGCGCCCATCCTGACCTGCACCAATGCCATCTGTACGGAATGATATGCTTGTCACGGGCGCATCATCAGTGCCCGCGTTCACCTCGAGCACCTTCTTGTCTGTGAGCACGTTGTGAATGACCAACGGGCCCTCCGCATATGCGATAGCCATTAACGAAAGCGCGGGAGTTGGCTGCATGCAGGTGACAGCACCATACTTCGGAGATGGCGGTAGGAGAGTATATATCAATTTGCCGGTGGAAACATTCCAGATTTCAACCCATCCGTTTCGGCGCCCGGCAAAGATCTTATTCAAGTATGTCGGCATGGTACATATACCACCAGTAAGTTCATTGTCGCCCTTCCTAGAAGCCATCGTGAACAGGGTAGTATAATGTTCCAGAGTTGCCGACTTCCACACTTCTATTCTCGTCAAGCCACACGCAACGACCCAGGAGCCGAAAACTAGAATTTGTCTAACAGGCTGATGAAGATCAGGTGGGAGTTGCAACTCGCCGACTTTCTTCCCTCTCTGGAAGATCCAAATACCCTGCTCGGAACCCTCGCGAGGGTCGCCCCAAGCGGCAAATACTTTCTGTTTCCAGGCGCATGTCGCAGTTATGGTGGTTGGCGTCTGAGGTCGGGTCATAAATACAAGGTTGAGGCCGCGTTTAAGGTCATAGGTTTGGAGGGAGCGGCCTATAGACGTTGTGACCTGGAAGGTGGTGTTCCCCAGAGGAACGGAGGTGAAGGGGACATTGGTAGGAGAGACGAGTCCGATAGTCTAACACCTCATTATTAGAATTGGAACTGGATACCTTAACACCTAAACATACCCGATATGGAGCAAAGATTCTGGACTGTTGCGACGCAGAAGGCTGAGGTTTCGCAACAGAATTGAGCTTCTGCCGCTTGACCAAAGGTCCTTCGTGCTCCAAATGAGGCATTCTGTTGAGATACGAAATGCCTCGGATAGTTAACAAAAGATCCCCTATTAATCGAACTTAGACGGTCGGGGTCTTGTCGCATTCGAGAATCGCAGCGCAACTCCGCTTGAAGCTGCGTGTAGATGGAACTTTTTTTTCTTGAGAACGGAAGTAAAGCTTTTTTTTGCCGACTCCTGCCATATAGTGTAGCCCCACTATGTAGGTATGTACCATTGTTTAATATTTAGGTATTTTGGTACCTATACTTGCTAAGAATATTATAACGTTCTCATATTAGATCGAAAAAACAAAAAAGAAAATATGGATCATTGGATTTTCTAATAAGATATATTTATATTTCGCTTTTTAACACCTTGAAACGCTTAAACTTTGGAAGGCCAGAGTGTATCATATATACATACCTAGGTACTTAAACGACCTTGATGCTGAATTTCTTATCGTTATCGTTGGCTCTCTGGAATTTTATATCCATCCGTGAACATGGACCCCACATGATGGATTCTACAACCTTGAGAAGCGTTCCTTCCGTCAGGTGATGTCCCGAGGTCACTTTTTGATGAATGCTTAAATGCGCATGGCGCACATGCGCTTTCGATACGACGTGATGCGGTCGTCATTGCATTTACAGCTCTGCTTAAACGGCGCCTAGCCAGGCTATTGCTTCCAGCTTTCACCGCCTCACTGCTTGCCGAAAACATCGAAAACGACGGTCGTAGTGTCAAACAACGGTCGCATGCCCAGTGAACACCACGCAATCCCAATTATGTAGTCCTATTGGCTGCCGGCCCCTGATCATTTAGCGTATAGCAGGCACGTCGATGGCACTAGGCATTGGCATTGGCATGTGCTTGATAGGTTGTCATAAGATAAAGGTACATGCCTTAGTACCTGTTTTTATGCTTAAATGCCGACCAGCATTGATGTCTTCATGTTCTTTCGTAATCTGCAATGTGCATGTGGGATGCAACTTTGAGATCCGAAGTCAGAGAATAAATACGTTATCAAGACTACCTCATAATTGCTCATATAGCTCATATAAAACTCACACGTAGTAGCTCTCTACTATTCTAGTGGTTTCCACCTTTAGCTCTTCGTTCTAGGAAACCACTTACCACCCGAAAAGTGAGACCTCGACCTTTGTTTGACGGTCTAGAAATTTTACTGGTCCGTTTGCCCGCCACGTATTCTTCTGACCACGGGTCACAGATGCAACTGTCGAAATATTTCACGCTTCCAATGAACTTCCAATGAGGCTCTCATAACATATCCTTGAAGCCGTCGAGTTCCTGGTTCCCGTATACGCGACCCACTTCCAACTATTACGGTGGACTGAAAAATGAATAGATAAATCGGGTCTCGAATCAATATTCTTTTCGAAAAGGATTGATGAAGCCAATGCTGGAGTTTATCTCGCTGAACAACGTTTATACCAAGATATTAAAATTCAATTATCGGCTTCATCGTTATTTGTTCGATCGCTGATGCCTTAGATTGGGTTGTGCTGCATTAACTACCCGGTACCTGGAGACAATTTTTAGTCAGGGGGCAAACAAATTCTATTTGCCACTGGCTTCAAAGTACAAAGTCCGCCTCGACTGCAGGCGTTAGACCGTCATTAATAAGGAGCGGGTGAGTAACCACATTACCACATATCCTGCAGGAGCTTCGAAAACAACTTCCCAAATTTCTCAACTTTCTTACGCAACACTCTGTATATACGTCACTAAATTTTGGGGGCTATTGCAGATAAAAAAAAAGGGGAAAATCAAACAAGGTTTAATTGTCTGCTCTGATAGGTTCTTGGGAACTTAGCCAATGACGAAATAATATAGTAAAACTTTCTCACTGCGACGGAGTACGGACTATAGTACAAGAGTTTAAAAGTTTTAGCGGATAACGGCTTCCCGTACCCGTGGACCTGTGTCTTTTTGACAAGGATGGAGACCGATAATAATAATAACCCGGGTCGCAGCAGCTCCGGCAAGAGACTTTCGGCCTCTTCTTCTTGGTCTGTGTCGCAAACCCGCACTCGCTCTTCATCATCCTTAGCTAGTAGCATCGCCAGTTCCATAACGGGCGGGAAAAGTCGACATGCTGAACCCGTCGGTACTACCGATGTATCTGTTGAGCCTGCACGTTTGTCAATGCCTCTGGCCAGACCACTAAAGCTACCCCATCTCCCACCCTCTCCATACAGTCGACGCGAGTCATCCGGTTCCGATATTTGGAGTCAAGATTTTCATCCCTCGGCTGCAGGTGTTGACGACGTGGCTGTCGAGGATATCGATAACACCCCCAAACTAGTGCCCGGCCATTCTTTTCCAGACACAAGTTCTCCCTACCATCTGCCAGATCCTGCTGTTAACCATCCTTCTTCTTCTGCTTCCGACTACGAAGCAGCAAAGCGAGTTTCTGTCTCTTCCGTATTTTCCCTCTCGTCATCCCGTGGCGTTGCAAGTTCTGCTCCGTCCACAAACGGTTCCGACAGCGGTAGTGCTCATCGCCCCACCGCCATCATGACCTCCGGCAAAGGCTTAGGCCCGTCTCCAGGTCAATCTGAGTCCGGCGTGTCCAACGTGACAATCACCACGTCCTCTAACTCTAATACTCAGAATCCCGTTAGCGGTCCTCAGCTTACTTCGCGGGAGACCCATGCCAACCCTCTTGAGCTTGTGAAGCGAAGTACTGCACCTCCGTCCAATCCGGGCCCTCGACCCCAGGTGACGAGATCTCGAAGTAGAGCAAAGCGCCGGTTAAGTGGTAGTACTGCAGCTAGTAGCCACAGTCCTAGTAGTGACCGGGCTCCTCAATACAGAGAGAAAGAAGAAGTCAAGCCAGCACCATGGGGCATCATCGGCGTTTGCGCTCTGGACGCCAAAGCCAGAAGCAAACCGAGCAGGAATATTCTTAACAGGTTAATCTCAAACCGCGAGTTTGACGTGATAGTATTTGGGGATAAGACAATCCTAGACGAAGGTGAACAAGCCCACTATTGACCCGGTGAGAGACAGAGCAAAATACTAATGACTAAACAGAGGTGGAGAATTGGCCTATATGCGACTACTTGATATCTTTCTACTCTGACGGGTTTCCCTTAGAAAAGGCTATTGCTTATGTTAAAGCTAGGAAACCATTTTGCGTAAATGATGTCCCCATGCAAAAGGTACTTTGGGACAGGCGACTCTGTTTGCGAATACTCGATAGGATAGATGTGCCAACTCCTAAACGTGTTGAGGTGAATCGCGACGGTGGGCCAAGTATATTAACCTCGGATGTCGCAAAGCATATAAAGGATGTTACCGGCATCGCCCTCGAGCTAAGCGGGCCAGAAAACTACCGTATCCCTCGTAAGGTGGAGCTACTTGACGATGGAGACATTCTGAGCGTGGACGGCACTTTACTGAAGAAACCATTCGTCGAGAAACCAACTAGCGGTGAGGATCACAACATCATCATCTATTTTCCAAAGTCGGCTGGCGGAGGCGCCCGGAAGCTCTTCAGGAAAATCGGCAACAAGAGCTCTGAATTCATCAAGGACCTCATTATTCCCCGCGCCATCACTGAACCGGAAGGCAGTTTCATATATGAGAAATTCATGCAAGTGGACAACGCCGAAGATGTTAAAGCTTATACGGTCGGACCACATTATTGCCATGCTGAGACAAGGAAATCGCCAGTTGTCGACGGAATTGTCCGGCGCAATACCCATGGTAAAGAAATCCGTTATGTTACCGCGTTATGTCCGGAAGAGAAGGAGATTGCAAGCAAAATTGCAAACACATTCGGCCAACGCGTCTGTGGTTTTGATTTGCTTCGAGCCGGAGGCAAGAGTTATGTTATAGATGTCAATGGTTGGAGCTTCGTCAAAGACAATGAAACGTACTACGATCACTGCGCGAGTATTTTGAAGGATATTTTCGTCAAGGAGAAGATTCGCCGTGGAGGACCAACGCCACCTATACCATCACCCACTATATCAGACATTGGCGACCCATTGGCCAAAGCTCTACTAACTAATAAAGAGAAAGATTCGCAGACAAGTACAAGGCACACGAGCCAGACAAAGCTCATATCGAGTACTACAGGTACGCTTTCACCGGAGGAAAATGCAGAAAGCAAAGATGAGCAGAGCCCAGGAATCCCCGTCCCACCCAAGTCTGATTCAGGGGTGTCGGGTATCGCAGCGGGACTGCGGAACAGCATCATTAGCCCGATAGCATACCTTGCTGGCGGCTCTACTTCAAGTAGCGTGCCGGCTACGGCCCCGCCGACTCTTCCGACTACTCCTTCAACGGCAGCAGAGAAGGTCGAGGAACAGGTTGAACAGCCAACGCCGCCTCCGCCACCACCTAAACACTCGTGGAAGCTCAAAGGCATGGTTTCCGTCATTCGACACGCCGACCGCACCCCGAAACAGAAGTACAAGTTCACCTTTCATACGCAGCCATTTATTGACCTCCTGAAGGGCCATCAGGAAGAGGTCCTTCTTATTGGGGAGCCAGCTTTAGCTAGTGTCCTCGACGCGGTCGAATTAGCTATCAAGGCGGGAGAGGAAGATCGAAATAAGCTTAGGTCTCTTCGCAACGTCTTGGTGAAGAAAGGTGGATGGGCAGGTACCAAGGTGCAAATCAAACCGATGTTTCGCAAGAAGAAAACCGCCGAGATGTCGGATGAGTCAACTCCTAAAGTTACCGAAGGGGTGAAAATGGAGACGGAGATTAAGGACGTTCCGCTTAAAGAGAAGCCAGGTAACAGTAATCAGGATCAATCTCCGACGGCGCAGCCATCAAAGGCCGAAGATGGTCAACATGAACTTGACACATCGGAAGCACTCGTATCTGACAATGAACTTCAGCCGAGAAACCCACCGCGACGCCAAGATTCAATGTCAGGGGTAACAATGTCAAAGTTCACCGCAGCCGACAACAGCTTTGTTCTCGATAAGTTACAACTCATCGTCAAATGGGGAGGAGAGCCTACTCACTCGGCCCGTTATCAAGCTCAAGAATTGGCACAAAATATGCGTAATGATTATCTCTTGCTAAACCGTGCCATTTTAGATCAAGTACACGTCTTCAGCAGTTCGGAGAGGCGAGTTACAGCTAGCGCACAGATTTGGGCAGCGTCATTCATCGACAAGAATGACATACCAGAAGACTTTATTACTATACGCAAGGATCTGCTCGACGATTCCAATGCGGCGAAGGATGAGATGGACAAGGTCAAGAAAAAGTTGAAGGGATTATTGCGCAAGGGAAACGAGCGACCATCGCAATTTGCTTGGCCTGAGGGAATGCCCGAGCCTGCCGAAGTGCAGACACGAGTTGTGCAGCTGATGAATTTCCATCGCCGTGTGATGCATTACAATTACAGCAAACTGCAGAGTGGCGCTGTGAACTCACTCAACGCAATCAATTCTCCCAACTCGGACAAGACGCACGGAGAAGGATCTAGCACGTCTATTACATCATCGATTTCTCAAGCAAATGCCATCAACAATATCCAGGCTCGTTGGTGTTGCGGCGAAGATGCCGAGTTATTCCGCGAGCGGTGGGAGAAGCTCTTTGCGGAATTCTGTGATCACGAGAAGGTCGATCCTAGTAAGATTTCGGAATTGTATGATACGATGAAGTTTGACGCCCTACACAACCGCCAGTTCCTTGAGTGGGTGTTTACTCCACCGAAACAAATGTTAGAGGAGGAATTTGGTATTACTATAAACCGCGAAGGCAAAACGTCACCCAAGGAATCCGAAGACGGCGTCAAAACAGCTGATAACAAGTCTGACAAAAGCCAAGTTCTGAGCTCCTCCCCAGAGGAGAAACTTGACAAATCAGAGCGGCTTGACAGGGCAGAAAGGGCCGATAAGTCAGAGGCACAGAAAGCTGTTAAGCGCATTTTCCGACGAAGATCATGGATGAAGCATCCTCACGAAGTTGACAGGCCCGCCGAGTATTTCCACTTACCCAAAGGGAATAATCAGACAAAGGCGAAGACAGATGAGTGCTTCGAACCTCTTAGGGAGCTCTACCAGCTAGCCAAGGTCCTGTTCGATTTCATCTGCCCACAAGAATACGGCATCTCAGATAGCGAAAAAGTATGTTCATCCCCAATATCGGTACAATTTGGAATTGGCATTTATTGACGTTATATTGCAGCTCGAAATTGGGCTCTTGACCTCTCTTCCCTTGCTGAAGGAGATCGTCCAAGATCTCGAAGAGATGCAGGCATCTGATGATGCCAAATCATTCTTTTATTTCACCAAGGAATCACACATCTACACGTTACTCAATTGCATCCTCGAGGGTGGTATTGAGACGAAGATTAACCGCAGGACGATCCCCGAACTTGATTACCTCTCACAGATCTGCTTCGAGTTATACGAGTCGGAGACGAAGGGAACAGTAGATGCGCCCTCCGCCGATCAGCCTACGTTTAACTATAGCATCCGTATCACGATCAGCCCCGGTTGTCACATTTTTGATCCGCTAGACATACAACTGGATAGTAAACACTGCATCGGGTGTGCGCCGCGGAGAAGCTTGACACCTCACGCGGACTGGAAGAAAGTCATCGAAACGCTCAGAGATAAGTTTCATCAGTAAGTATCCATAACGTAGCGTCGTCGACGTAATAGCGACAAGGAAGAGGTGGTCCCCGTTATCCTGAGAGGATTTCTGACCGATGATAACCAATAGGGTCAAGCTACCCAAGACGTTCCTTGCGGTAAACCTCTCGGACGCCTTCACGTTCCAGGAAAAGGAGCGTCAAAATTCCGAGGCGGAATGTGTCGAGAAGGACAACGCTAGCAACGAAAGCGACGTCCTCGAAATGAAGACTCGAAAACGTCCACACCCTTCATCGACGAAAGTCGATCGCGGTGACGACACCGAAGCACCAGCAGTTATCGATGAGCAGCCTCTTCCACCTCCTGCTGCAACGTTTAATACGGCTGCTCTCCCTCCGGCCGCAGATGCGCCGGGAATAACGGGCCCCTGAAGTCAGAAAATTTCCAAGGCGGGAAGACCATTTGACCATCAGCAGCAACAGCAACGATGACGCTAGACGAGATGACGGTCTGCATGAGCGGCACGGAATCCGGATAAGGAGCCGGCGAATTAATAGATGTTGCCTATATGGTACCGGGAAGCCAGTCCATAATATGATGTTTCGTCTCCTTCCCCTTCCCGGCCGCCCAGCTAGGCGGTGTGCAAAGGGGGAGGAGGGAAAAAAAGCTCATTATGGGATTATGGGACCAGGGATCGAACGAGTAAGACAAGCATTGCATACGGCGAGAGGTCAAGAAAGGAAATGGTTCTGAGATAAGCGCCATGACGTGCGTATGTATAGAATAGAAAAGAGACGGGCCGCCGTTCTATGTACTGGTCTTATGTATGTACTGTTACCCAACAAACCGAATAAGACAGCGCCCGCATGTAGGTAGTACAACATAATAACACTTGCAGCAGAAGCAGCCATCAGCCGTCCCTTAGATGGGGGAGAGGAGAGATTGAGAAGTAACAAGCGAACGGAACCCACGTGGAGTTGGTGTGCGTGTGTATATGCGCAGATGCGTATGCGCGTCCAATGTCAATGTCAGCAATGACAGGTGATTGATCACATACCTAGGTGTAGGTATGCAATGCGCGTTACGGGCATTTCTGGCACCACTCACATCGGAAATCTCACCATAGAAAATGAGAGACGTAAAGAAAGAGACAGAAAAAAGAGAGAGAAAAAAAGACGAAACCCTTAGATTTGCTCACACATAACCGATGCCGGATCGCCGATGCGAGATGAGGAGTTCCTAAGGGTGCGGCGTGTCCCGTTTCTGACTACTCCTCCCACGGACATTTTGACACATCACTTATCACGATGACGATGCATTAGAAAATTAAATACCCCGTTCCAACTTCATGTTTCTTCGTGTTTTTTCTTCTCCGGGTTTTGCCTCACTTTTTTTTTCCTTCTCACTCTTTCTTTTCCCTTCACCGCCATCGGCGGAAGAGTAGATTATTATTTGTACCTTACGTAGGGCGAAGGAAATAGGAACGACATGGAAAAAAATTAAAATATTGAAAAGACTTTTTTTTTCTTTTCTTTTCTGCTCCGGCCATAGTAATAATAACCGCCGCTCTTTCTTTTACCCCCTTCTCGGCGGCGCGGCGAGCCCACCAGCTCGTGCCGTCTTGGTCCCTTGCGTTATCCATCATCAATGCATCATCGGACGCCACTTGGGAAACCCCTTCTTCTAGAAGCAAGGTACAAAAGAAAAAGAAAAAAAGATGCTGTAAATAAAAGGGCAAGTCACAACAAGATAATAAAAGCGAAGCTCGAGCGTCCGGAGATGCGTCTAGGTTGGGTATGTAGCGTTATTAGAGGAGCTCGTTAGAGATAGATAGGTACTGAATACTAGATGTAGGTAATAGAAAGTAGGTAGGTATCTTTCTGTATTAGACGATCCCGGCATCTAGAGAAGCGAGGTTGCAACGTTCGTAACCGCGCCCTTCTGACCCCTTCCTCTCCTCCCAAAAGCGTCATCTATCTCTCGGTTCAGTCGGAGCTTCTGATGCAAGATATGAACGGGGGGTTAGGTGGTAGAATAGTGGGAGGGGAGGGGGTGAGTTAGTGGTGGTGATGATGAACGAATTCTAAGCTGTGTGTATTGGCTGGTTACGGGTGCGCGTGGGCTCTTGCCTCACTTTGTTTCCTCGCAGACAGATGACTAGCATAGCATAGCATGACTGATCTGATGGCGGGATGCGTAACCGTGACGAACCAGATTGTGTTGCGTCGTTGTGCGCTGGCGCGCCGCAACTCACATGTTTGGGTATGATGCGCGCGGCACTATTGCAGGTTGCGTACGGAGAAAAGCGTCGGTCAGCTTCTCCGAGGTCACTTTCACTTGCTAATTGGGCTAGTCTATAGTCGTTCTTCGCAGATGACAGATAGGCCAGATACGGATACAATACATACCATGGTAGTATGTATGGTAGTCGTTAACCGAGGGGCCGGTTTGGAGTTTTGAGGAGCAAAGGAGAAAAAAAAAAGGTGGGAAGAGGGGGGGAAAGGATTAAAAAAAAAAAGTGACAGCTCACATTTCCGGCTCGTCGCACGAAATCTGGGCTATCGTGAACCGTCGCTTGCCCCGCCAAATTTCAGGAACCGAAAGGCAAGGAAGGGGGGAAGAAGGGGTCTAGAAGGAGGCCGGAAGAGATTCAAGAGCCTCCGAAGAATCGAATAATAACTGTCGGATCGCTAGTAAGATGGGGAACAAGCCACCAAGCCGTCGACATCATACGGCGGACGGCTTGCCGCGTCACCTTAAATTGAGGCTGATTCTAAATCTTCCGGTAGGAGTTCCGCCCAGCAGCGTCGCAGTCGCAGTCGCAGTCAAAGTCGCAGTAGCAGTCCAACACCCAACGCCTCCTCAAACGAGGCTGATACTTGCCCAATAAGCTTCCCACTATCCCGTGATCAGGCTCGGAGTAGCTGGCCGTCTTAGTAGGTAGGGCTCAGGGGTGTGCAACATGTATTGCTTGCGTCCATCATCAACGTTCCGGTTCTCTAATTTTACCGAACCATACTTTGACGTTTGAGCAGTCCCTGCTTAGTCGCGACTCTGGCTCTCTCTCTCCTTGGGGCTCCCGTTTAAAGGCAAGGGACCCAATAGCAACCTAATGCCCGGAAACCGCCAGCTGCATGACTAGCATGACAGGCATAGTGAGAAAATATTACCTAGGTAGTCAGCTAGTACATAGCTAAAGGCAGGCCTGGTTACCCAAAACTAGGAAGTGGAGATCCAGCCCATTAGCCTTGCCTGTCAACTAACGAACGACGTGAATATGGGATGTTTTAATATAAGACAAGCTAGCCAAGCGCAGGGTCGGGCCCTGTACAAGTAATAAAAGCACGTCAGGCTTACCAGACCTCCGGCGCTCTACCGGTCGGACGTCCCCAGACATAGTAGGTTTTTCGACTAGGCTGTGTGACGTGGGATCATTGGATGTGGGGGCAGCGAGGTTGACGAGGATCATAGAAGGGAAAAGAGAGACGTCCATGGTGGGGGAGTGACAGGGAATCCGCTGGTAGCCCCTCAATAAGAAAACAAAAATAAAATAAGGATAATGGGTGTACCTTTATGTAATGACGGGGGGGAAGAGAGAGGCTAGTCTGGCAGCCACATAAATATTGTACCCATACAGCCCATATCGGGGCGGACCTGCAGCTAGCAGAACGTCGTGGTCATGCGAAAGAGCGGTAGATGGCGTTGCAATTTACTATAAGCGACGCCAAACAGGCACTGAAACGTCTCTTTGAATCTGGATGTCTTGGCAAGGCTAGGCGGGACGGGACAAGCTCATACCTTGCCAGTCTTACGTGGTAGTCGACGAACCCTGGAGAGCCTTCGTCTGGTTCCGCTTTGCTTACCTGCAGAGCTGCAGAGGGGGTCCCTCTTCATAAAGAGAGTTAGGTACTTATTAGCCCGCGAATAAAAGAGTGTTCGTCCTGAATCTGAAGATCATGCCGGGGAAAGCTTTCAGAACTTCAGAAGCTCATCTTAGCACTGACCTCATCACCGGACCTCATCACCGATACTTAGGCCGGACCCATTAACCATTCCACGATGCTTTCCTGAACATGCGGTGACGAAAAAAAAAACATGAGCATGGGCACCGACGTCCCTGACAGCCAATGGGATGGTTCCCAGCCTAGGTAGACGATATCGACCTACAAGGCCGGTGGGCTTTTGGCATGGCGTCGACACTGTTGCGTATACGCGTTGATACGGAGCTTTTACTTTTCTCTTCCCAACGACATGTTTCCCTCGTCTACTACGGTTACCACCGTCACCACTACTACTCCCATCATCGGGGATATCGGGATCGAGACGATCAGTGAGGGCCATAGTGGTGTATGCTATAGGCTCGTATGAGTTTGCGACCCCGGGAAGGCCTGTTTACTATAGACCAATTCGTACGGCAGGTCTGATATAGTAGGCAATGATCGTATTCGATCTCACAAATTCGGTGGCCGATTTAACAGGTTCATCCGTGTCTGGATGTTCCTCGATTGGCTACGGGGAGGCGGGTGATGATTGTCTGATGTTGTATTAACGGCTAGCCGGTAAAGCCCAATCCCTCGAGCTATAGTATATGAACTTGTTTCTAGAATAGTTAATATGACCGGTGACTATTCTGGATTCGTGCCCAAACAGGTCGTGCACGAGTGAGTCTGTTAGACTAGCTCTAGTGTAGCCGGTAGTTGGTGTTGTGGTAAAATTGGAGGACTTCCCTTTTAGGCCATATGCATGGCGGGTGAACCAACCAGAGGCGACCAACGTCTAATTGAGTGATGACACCTGCACACGATAAAGATGAATCTCGTACAACAAGGAACTTTACGATCACGATCCGGACGTCGAGAAACAATTGGATACCAGGGCCTCAAAAGCCAAATACAAATACGCGGCTTGTCTCTAAATAGCATCTTGGCGTTGCGTAGCCGCGGCAGGGTTGAGATGCATAGTCGGCATTGAGCTCTCTTCTCGGGACCATCCAAAACGACCCCAAGTACTTAGGTAGTTTACCCAGCAGTGGTGGTGAGGAAGATAACCGATTGGCGACGATATTCGGCCAATGTCTTTAGATAACGAACCATTGCTGGGTATCCTGGTTGTGGTCGGACGGTGGGGCAGGTATCCAAACAGGAATAAATGTGCCGAATAGGTGTGCGACCTTCATGCCTCCCCGGCTGCCCAGGAACCAACAGGCCGAAATGTCAAAGCCACGTGCGAATGCTCCTTCTCAAGCCCGACGCCAACCTGTGGTGGCGCGGTGGAAGAAGGCCATGGAAGCAGCTTGGAATCTTGACTCCGAGCCATAATGCTGGACCTGGCATAAACTTGCGGTCGGAGATTTTTGTGATTTGTTCTCCAAAATCTCAAAATCTCCGGGTTTTGAATCATGAAACCAGCAGGCTGGGGATAGACCTCGCTTGGATCTTTTATTAGCCAGACCGGTTCGCGGCTACGCATCCTGAATTAAGGTCCCGCTGGCCGCAGAATGGCCGCAGACAACG